TGGGCGCTCGAGCGGAGGCATTTCACCGGTCAAGAATCCAGATATTAATTAATAGAAGACTGGAAGCAACACAGCCACACTTCTGTCATGTGTACCTAACCTATGGCTGTGCTGCAAATATGTTGTTTGTTTCTTCAGCAAGCGATACAACCCTTTTCTGCACAAGTTAACATTTCTAAGCCTTTATCTTCAGGCGGTTGTGTGTAGACTTCTATTTTCTTTTTCGGAGGACTTGGAAGGACGTCACGGTATGCCGCTCCCAATTAGGGCTCGTTTCTTTTCTTGCGTGCTTCAGCCTTGCATGCTGACACGATCGGCAATAAGCGACTCGTCCGAGTCGTGCGGTATGCCTCAAGATGACATAAAGAGCGAGCCTCACGCTCTCTTACTCTCAAATCGATTATTCCAGCGTTGGATGATCGCAGAGTTGGGTGCCGATTGGCAGGGATATTAACCCTACGAATACGTTCTAATCTTAAGAAACGTGATCTCAACCCCTACTTCTGAATTTATTTCTCCACTTTTACTTGAGTTCGAATTGAACCCAGTGATTTTCTCCAGGCCACATCCGAGCGCTCCATCATCCATTTGGCCAGAGCTGCCGTCCTCCTGCGACGAAACCCTATCCGGAGTCGATCTCTCATCCATTGAAAGAGATCCCCACTCGGAAAATTCTCCCAGTACGCAGAATTTCGACAGCTCTACAACTACCGCTAGTCCGTCTACCGGGACAGACGTCGAGAACAGCCACGAGAGACATCCAAAGCGAGTCTTTGCCTGCCCGAATTGCGCTAAATCCTTTGCCAAAGAGTTTGAAAGGAGGTAAGCTATCACCGTTCATTGAACTGCCCACGTCCTTGTGTGCCTCTTAAATGGCGCCTCGTTGATAGCAGGGCAGGAAGCATATGTACCGCACACATAATCCACGATACCAATGTACCATGTGTAGCCAAAAGCCATTCGGATTGCGAGCCGATTTAAACCGCCATATCATGTCCAAACACCACGCCACCTCGATAGTCTCTGCCAAAGCGGCTCATCCCTGTCAATTCTGCGAGAAGAGTTTTTCAAGGAAGGATAATCTTTTGAGGCATTTGCAGAACTTGCATAGAGATGAGTCGCTGGAGGGCGGCGGCTAGTGATAGTACTACGGTCCCAGATCTTATCCAAGAGATATGAAGATTTAATTCGCAGAGCTTAAGATAATACACGAGCTCAATCGGAACAAAAGAATTAAATCTGGGTTGATCATAGAGACGCTCCTACCCATTGGGTAAGATTTGGGACCGTAGTGGACCATTTCCTTGTCGCTTTTCTTCTCTTCCTTTTAGCTTCACTTTCTTTCTCACTTCATACCTTCTTTTCAAAGTCAGGGGTCGCACTTTCATGGAACTAGGATGCAGATTGGATCCTCCCGAGGCCAGGACATTCATTCACCTCCAGCAAAGTCACATTGTTGTCACGATTTTTGTATGAACATGCTCGCTGAGACCTCAATTCTACCCGAACACCCTCCTTTCTTCTTTGCAGAATTGGTTTCTATTAAAAATATTAAGTCTACACTATTCGCGACAAGCAATCTATACTAGTCCAAAAGGGGTGCACTAGTTCTAACAACTTCCACACACCTCAACCCTTGCCGCTTCCCCATCCCTCTTCTGCACGCACACACCCATCTTTTCAAACTCCAACTGCCACTATTAGGCCGTTACTATCGCGGTCATTTTTCTGTTGAAGTTGACAGACGTCGTACTTGTCGAATCGGAGGGTGTGAAAATATGTCCTCGGGTTCGTGCCGCGTGTATTTGCAACGCCCCAGGCTCGTTGAGTTCATCCATTTTCTTGACGACTGCTTAGGTAGCACTGACACAGTTTGTTCCTGACTCTATGGCGCTACTATCTAATTCGAAAGCCTCGCTGTATGCTGCTTTTCCTGCACGTCGGGACAAAGTACATGCAAACAGCAAGGATAGATCGTATACCATGTCGTTCTTCAACCACTGTTTCTTCTAAGGGAAAATCTACCCTATCGACACTCTGATCTAGTTTTCGACCTTCCTCAAGTCGGAAATGCAGATATGCTACAAGTAAGGTTGCTGTTCCGAGTACCGTGAGAAGGATATTGAAAATGAGGCTAGATATGTTGGTCACTCCTTGATTGGCTAGTGCTTCCCCGAGTGCGAGGGAGTCGGCCATGGAGTTATTTAAAGCTACGGATGGCATCTTAGAAATGTGAGGGGGATAGCGCGAAATTGTGAGAAGAGGGTGTGGTTAATTCCAAGAAAGTGTGAGGTTTTGTTCGCACATTTAACTTTCACTGCCTTGATGTCACGCTCAGGAAACAGATGATCAGGTCCACGAGAGGCTTCGGGGCCAAAACGTCAACCCCACCCCAGCTGGCCAGAGCTCGGCGCTTGGTGGGGGCCCTGTGTAAAGTTATGCGGCTGTAGGCCTTGTCATTCAGTGCCCCTGGACCGTCGGGTAGAGCTCCAGCACTGCGAGTGGTGTTTTCCATCTAATGGCTGCCAGTTGCATCATCTCTGCAGGATCTGTACTCCTTCAGCCACATATCATCTTGTGCGAATTGTTGCAGGTCATCTGAGACTCTTAGAACGAATAGCTGATGTGTTGTCCCTCTTCGGATGCTGATTGTGACATTCCTCAAACCTTCATGGACGAAAGGCCTACACCAAAACAACTTTTGCTGAACAGCATAGTAACTATTCCGGATCATGGTTTATGGTGGGCTCGGCTCTATGAACTCCTTTGTTAGGCCTCGAAAGCTTACTTCGGATTTTCAAAGTTGGAACAGTCATCAGGCATGCGAGTCTTTTTCACTTCTCTCGCAGCTTGCCTCGAAGGCAAACAAGATTGGAATAATTATGATGGCTTTTTTCGGTTATCGTGAATTGAGGATGTATCGCCGCCAGCATTTAATGAGTGTCTTATGCCCACACAACCCGGTCATGCATATCTGTTCTGAGCCTCCTAGCCCTGTCCTGCGCGCACTTCCCGATAGTCCTTGCCCTCTAAACCTGGATAGGGGTAGATGGGATACACATTATGAATAGTTTACTTAAGCTGACTGGATGCCAGCGTATTCAGAGGGATGAGAAGAAATCGCGAGTTACTGCATCTGCTAAGCATGTTGAGACATAGCTGAGGATACAACTATTCACCTCCTTCGCTGAATTATTAGTTGGTAGTAGGTTCTATGGACAACATCCTAACACCCGCTCTCGCCATGGTCCTTAGCGGGCGTGAATATGGGGTGGGTGTACCACCACGAATTTAATTATGGTATGGATTTGGCTTTTGCACTCGAGCCTAGATGAAAAATTTCACTAGCTGCAGCAGCGAATGGAGATAAGGTTAACTCGGGGAGTTAGGAACCAGTGGCTGGAGCTACACCTGTAGGTATGCTGGATGAAGAAGGTAATTGAGATATTGCAGGTAGATTGCTGGCGCTCCCACCACTAGGTGGCGCTGCAGCGGCACTGAATTGAACGCTGACTACTCATTCGTAACTGGAGGGAAGGTGCGAGCTCTACTAAGTGGAGTCATAGTTGTCCTTGAAACAGCTGCTTGATACGGTTGCTGTGACGGGTCCAAGGGAGAGGGAACATAAGTCTGTTTGATGTTGTTGTTGAAGTTTAGAAATGACGCTGGGACAACGATACTTTCCTAATAAGATATTAAAGCGTCCAGGATGCGCCCTGTGCAGTCATCATTCATGATTTCCTTCCTCAATGGTCGGGCACCATAGTACAAAGTCACTGGCTGTGTGATATTGACTGCTTCCACAGGAGAAAGGTTCTACCAGCCTCCAGGGAGCAGGATTGGAATGCCTAGCTATGGATATTTAAGAAGATCAGGAGGGTGGAATTCTTGAAGGCTGTTGGAAGGATAAGAGCCTCCCGGGGGTGGGGTGATCTTGGCAGCAGGGACTACCTTGGTCAGGTGGGTGCGTTTGGCGGGAGGGTTGAGTACGAGAATTGCTATGGCCGTAACTAAACATAGCCATATCTGCACGACCGGGCGAGGAACAATAGAGGCTCGAGGGAAGACAACAAGAATTGAGGAACAAAGGCAACGATCAATGGACAGAGGTTTTTTTGTCCGAAGATAGAGATGATTCATGACAAAAGAATAAATTCCCCAAAATTCTCCCGTAGTTGCTGCTTTCATCTCGGACGACTGAAGGCGCACACTTTCTCTGGATTTCGACGAATCCCATGGGCGCAATGCACTGCTTTCGCATACCGGTTACTTAGTGGATCCGCCTCTAGTAAACGTGTTTGAGTTTTTCACCAACCTCTAAAGCATATCCATGGCAGGCGACTTCATGGACGGGCTGCAGTCGCCACTCATTTACAGCATACAGTCAGACGGGTGGGTATAGAGACCAAATGGGATAGAAGACGAAGGTGTTTATACTTCCGGGGAGGTTGAAGTCATTTTAGCAGGGTATGGGTGTCGAGTATGCCCTTCTCTGCTTCTCACGGGGGATTTGTCTAAGAAGTTTTCAGAATGCTCTGGCGCTGAGGCGTGATATCCCACTTGAGCAAGACGAAATTGATCCGGAGAGGCAATAGATCGCAGATCACGACGAGAATCTCTATGCCTTGCTGCTAGATTTCATCTGAGGTCCTGGACCACCACTTGGCATCCAGGATTGAGGACCGCACTACGGAAGACACTCATTGGAGAATTTGGAGTATGGCCATAGGTTGGTTTGTGGGTACTTTAGAGAAGGAATTCGATGCGAAGGAAAAGAGTCCTAAGACATGGCGAAGTAGGCTGAATTTGGGTTGTTGAGTGAGATCTGAGAGGGCTCATAGGTTCGCAGCTCTAAATATAGTTAGCGTTACAGTAGGGGCCAACAAAATTCCGATGCGTTCACGCCTCCGCCTGGGCTAATTTATGCTTAAAACAGGCGCCAAGACAAGAGCGCGTGACTTCAATTTGGACAGTGAATCCTTCGAAATTAAAGCCTTCATTTCCTTCCGCCCCTTCTTGATTTCCGTCACTCCTTTGGCCGCCCCGCCACGCTCTTTTGGCTACGACGCCGCACCCTTTTATTTTCAGCGCGCAGTTTCACGCGTCTCTTCGCTTTTCCGACTTTACTTTGTATTTCTCTAATACTGCTTTGTCGTAATGGAGTCCGAATCCCCTCAAACCTTCCGCGAGAGACTGGATGCTGGCGAGGAGTATTGGAGGTGGAAGTGCGGCCTACGCACGGTTCTAGTTGTTATTGGGCTCATCGGGATAGGGTGCATGGCCTGGGCGACTCAATACGCTGCAAGAGGCCCTTATACATACCAGTTGGACGACAGTTGGACCATATGCTGGACTCTGATCACCGTATGCATCTCCCTTCGTGTTCTGCCCTACAAAATCACTAATGAAGTTTCCATGTAGTTCAGTTTGACCGTCGTCTGGTGCCTCGTCGCCCTCCTTGTTCTATTCCTGAGACGCCCACCCGCCCCCGTTCACCCCGGTGTGGCAGTAGGCCTCGACCTCGTCATCTGGCTCGCCTACATCCCTACTGCTCTATTCGCTATCGTCGGCGTTATGAATGTCCTAAACTTTGGCTCAGACGGCACCATTGCAAATTACTCGTCGTACGGATACTACACACAAGCATCAAATGGGACATGGGTCTGGCACCAAACAGATTACGACTCCTATTATAACAGGACGAGAACGTGCGATGAAGGGTACTACTACAGATACGATAGCTATGGTTTCAGCTCTTGTGCAGAGGAGGACGCCTATGTGAACGGGCTCTGGGCAGGGAAAAACCGCCGGGCAGGAGTTGAGATGACGGGTGTGGTATGCCAATTCTTGGGCTTGCTGTTGCATCTAGCCCTGTTCATATGGGCTTGCGTGGATACACACAGGAGAAACTCGAGGAAAGTCAGCAAAGAAGCAGAAAAACTTGCGGCAAACATTGTTATGAGTATGGTGCGCAGCGGAGCCGTGGTCCAGAATCCCGGCACAAGTCCACAGGCCTTCCCATACCCTCAGCAGCCATATCCTACATTTACTGGCACCCCCACTGCCCCTGGCCCAGCTCCGATACTACAACCTGCATCTACTGGTACGGTAAGGAGCCCCGGCTCAGCTCCGGTGCCACCAGCTCCGGTTCCACCAGCTCCAGTGCCACCACCTCAGGCTGTGACCAATGAGAAAGTCGAGCAATCTGCGCGATTTGCATGATTATCTCATGGGCGAGGCATCAAATTTAATACATAATTCTTAGTGATAGTTACATAGACATATTTAGCCCTTTCCGCCTTGATTCTTCATTGATTTTGGTGTATTTGAGCGCCTTTTTTGGCTACCTTCGCTACAGAAGAGAACATCCTTGGGAGCGGCGAAGAGATAGTCACGTGTACACGCCCTTTCTCTTCTAAGGTCTGCGGCGTAGCCTCGCTCAGCCCCGGTAGCTCTTCCACTTGTTGTCAAACACGCATCTCCGCCAACGGCCTTCAGTGCATCTATAGCACCTAACAACTGCTACGCCGTTGAGGCGCAAGTCCCGCTCAATTCCGATCTCTTCAGGCAACATCATTATCGAACCATCTTCCACTTCACCAATATCAAGGTGTGGTTTTGGGTCTGACTCAATTCTACCTCACCATGACCATGTATCTATGTAGTCTCTAAGCACTCCTCATCCCTGTTCCTGGAGATATTTGACTACCCCTTCTAGTAGGACACGGCTATGTGAGACCTACGTTCCGTCCATGGAAGATCTGTGAAAGCATGCTCCTCCTTGTTCTATATTTGTACACTCGGTCTGCACCGGAGTCCCCAACATTTCCACCAACCTGGGACATGAGTTATTAGCTGCATCGCAACCGAAAATGATTCTGAATAGCCCGGATACCCGTCGTCTTATATAAATGGAGTACGGGTGTAGAAAGTACTCGCTATTTAGCTCTTGATCCTCCTTCCCATTCAGTGCTTCATTAACTCAAACGGGCATCTTTGCGTAGTACTTCGCAGACTCTCTACGTTGATGGCGTCTAAGCTTTTGTTCCTCCACGCAGCTCTTCTCGGGGTCGCCACAGCGATCCAGAATCCTAGTGCTGGAATCAAGAATAATTTCAGTTCTGAAAGACGGCACCTCACCACCATTCAAATCATCGATGGCCTCGGAAATCGTACTGTTGCCTACAAGCGAGTCGGCAATGGCATGGTCGTCATTGACAGCGATATCGCCTACGCAGAGGAATATCTATTGAGCAAGGCCGTGGGCCAGTACCAGAAACGCGCACATTCAGTCCACGAGACTAACGATTCCGTGGGCACCGTTTGGCCTAACAGCGAAGTGTTTTATAAATATGACTCCGAGGAAGTTAAGAGCAAATTGAAGTCTACAGTGGAAGAGGCAATACAGCGCTGGCAGGCTGCAGTGCCTTGTCTGAAGTTCACGGAGAAATCTATTGATGCTTCTTGGAAAGGCGTCGTGACCATATCTCAGAGCAAGGACTCGGGAGAACACGGTTCTCTAGGGTACCAACCAAATTACCTCATGATAATGGCACTTAGTCCTGGAAGCGGTCCAAATGAGACAACTCACGAACTTGTATAGTTCTTCACTTCTTTTCTTCCTCTAAATGAAATGTTGACACTTCCCTGTAGGGTCACATCCTCGGCCTCCGCCACGAGCACCAGCGCTGGGACCGTGAGAATTACACGCACTTCAACTGTGAGGCACTACCTGTTACATCAGATTGTAACCCTTGCCTCAAAGAACCGACCGATTGCTGCGGTCCGTCATGCGATGTTAGTTTACTTCTTATATTCGATCTGTATCTATAAAAAGAATTCGTCTTGACAAAAGCTCTAGTTTAACATAATTCCTTTCGACCAATCATACAGCACACAGGATGGCGATGCCTGCGGAGGTGCATACGATCTCAACTCTCTCATGCACTACCCACGCTTTGCTGGTGCTGTCAAAGGGAAACTGACCTTTACGAAAGGGCCGGATTTCTTCCCACCTACTCCAAGTGAAGGTGATATATGCCGCATCAAGAAGCTCTATAACTGCCATCCTCCACCTCCATCCTCTCTAAGCTCTCGAAGCCTCTCAAACCTTCCAAGCTCTTCAAGCACTCTAAGGACCGCAAGCCTTCCACACCCTCAAAGCACCTCGAAACCTCGCAGTAACTCAGACTCTGCAAGCACCTCAAGCTTTCCAAGCACTGCCAGCCTTCCAACCCCTCTAAGCCTCCCAAGCCCCTCGAGCACCTCAAGCCCTCCAAGCATCGCAAACCCTCCAAACCCTCCAAACCCTCCAAACTCAACATGTCCTGGTTACTGTCAACCCTACCCTAAGACTAATGACTGCCACCTCCCCTGTATACCAATTTTAGGGGAAATCAAGTGGTGTGTTTGCACCTCCGGCTACAAATCATGCTTCCCAGATAATGACACCAAGCATCAATGGAGGGTGAGATATCCAGAGTTACAAGATAGAGTTTGGCTAGCTGAAGGGGTTCAATGCGATACGCGCTGTGAGTATCCCGATTGCTCAGAGGTTTCCTTTCTTGACGATGCTTGTTGGAATAATAGCAACTGAGTACGAGGAGAGGAGATGCCATTGACGCGCAGTGCGAGTTTGGGCTTCGATACTCTGCTCTTTTTTGTATTGTTAGCATTTGTCCTTCTTTTAGTAAAATCCTTCTATGCCTTGTTACAAAGGATGACAGATTTAGCGGCTCTGATCAGGTGGTTGTGATTGATGCTAAAAATTCCCCATGGAGCAACCATCTGCAAGCTAAGCCTAAATTGAAACAGCCATCACTCTAGCTTCCAACATTGGATCAACGCTAACTTTCAATTCCTCGTGTGTCTAAGGATATCTTTCCCTCCAGCAATTGAATACTAGGGAGAGTAGTGGGCACGGCTTGCACAATGCGACTTCCCCCCGTCATTGCTGACGACAACATCAATTCATCTGATACGTGGGATCTCGCAAAGTTTCCCCGCAATTTACTTGCACGTACAAGAAACCCTAATTCACGGAAACGGCAGGGCATCTATTGAGCTATCCAATGCAAACATGAACGAACAAATGGTGGTAGAACTAGATTTCATACAGTCGCCCTTTAGCACGAACCCATACGATCCGAAGTAAAAATGACATCCTGTCACAAAACTTGAACCAGATATAACAAATCGTAGTCATTTCAAGAGCTTTACAAATTTGAGAAGACCACAAGGAATGGCAATGGACCCGGTTGAGCGGTGAGGCCATTTCGTGCAGGCCATCGAAAACCCTAGGGATAGGAGACTTGGGTATTAAGCGGAGCTTGGAAGCTAGGGCGTTCCAAAGATTTAGTTAGATAAAACAGCGGCACCATTTCCAATAGCCATGGTATCAGAGAGAGGGCTCCTGAGGGTCGTATGTTGATGGTTGGGGCGAGGGCGAGGCAGTGCTGTGCTATGCCGAGTGCTGGACGTGACAAGAACATGGAGATGTTGGGATTGAGTGGAAAGGTAGAGGGTGAGAAAAAGGGAGACGGGGAAGAAGGGTAAGCAGAACAACTATAATCACAGAGTTACTTCCACTACCGCTGATGACTGCTTGCCAAGCACGATTACACCACGCGACGACGGCAGTCCACCAACCCCCAATGACTAATCTCATGAGAGTAACGCGGACCTGGTCGATCTACTGAATTATTACAAACGATGCAGGAATCAATGACTGTGTAGAATACGTATTAATTCCCTTGTTCTAAACGAGAGGAAAAGTTACCAGAGATTCGGAAGGGACAAAAGATGATAGAATTGAGGAACAGATAGTCTTTTCTAGAAGCCCTAGGGATGAACTCGGTACTGGAAGTTCTGTTACTCTTTGTTGTGATTCATAGGGTGAGAATGAATAACTACGTGACCATTAGGCAGCCTACGAAGAGGAAATATGGAATTATCACTTCCTATAACTGCCGGAAACTGAAAGACCCATGGAAACAGAAGGGGATAAGATAACTTCCTTGACTCTGGTGTTTTGGCACTTGCAAAGAGCTCCTTTACTACGTTCCACCAGGTATCTCGCTTGCGGAAAGAGAATTCCTCCAATTCCTCAAGGAGCGTGGAATGTATCGCGGTAGGAATCTCGTCATAATGCAGCCCTTAATCCCTGATCTATCGACATTGAGGAAGGGACATTGTGTTACTGCTTCATCATTCGAAGGCTTCAGAGACAGTAAATATCGAGAGGCTAATCAGTGTCCTCTCCCGAATCCCGGACAGAATACGTCGAGGCATAGGAAATAAGGGATTGGGTGCGAAATGCCTAGAAGGGAACTTCACCTGGCGAAGAAAATTGGCTTTTTAAAAACTAGCTACTTCAATACTTGTAGCTGATCTGATGGCAGACATTTGAAAGGAGATTTGTACTTACACTTTTACGGTAAGGCTAAGAAAGGACGCAAGAGTTGAAATTTGAAGAACGGGAATGAATAGTAGTGAAGAATTTCCCACGAAGAAAGGGAGCGATCCAAGTACTCAAGGGCTAGTCTAGCATTCTATTGTTCTAGCTCACTCCGCTTTTCTTAGCGTTGTGATCTTGGGGCCAAAGGAATGGAGGATAGACTAATACGTTCGAGAGGCTCGTGGTAGATGCCATTGAAGATAAAGACGTCCGGATGGACATCGAACTTGTAAGCAGAGCCAATGGGGGCAGAATACCCAATAAAAGACATGGAAGAGTGATTCTTAGGACGGTGTCGAAGAATTCGGGGCGAAGCGGAGGGTCGAAGAGGACGACGGGGTTACTCGCGCATTATGCAGCAAGAAGAGTGGCGTAGACTCTCATACGGCCGGGGGAAGCACTAGGTTGGATTCGATTGTTATGTTCTTGTGGCTCTCCACTTACTATGACAGATGCCCCTTGCCCACAAGGTTTCGCAAACTTTTCCGCTTTTTCTCCTAGATGCGGATTGGTGCTGTTGAGCCGCGTCCTTCATTCCAAGGCTGAGCGAAGTGGAGGAAGGATGGTGAATGTAAGACGCGTGTCGCACGGACGGTGCATCCTCCCGAGCTCGTCGAAGCGAGCACACCAATCAGAACAAAGGCAAATCCCAGATGGGTTTAGCGGACCTATTCTCGTCCATGAACTTTTGCAGAATCATTTCGCAACCCTACGAGGCTTGGCTCTGTATACACAACTTGCTGAGACACCTGCTTCACTATTCGGTCTGAATTTGACCAGCTGGTTCTCCTTGAAATTTAACTTTTGCTTCCAGGTGATATAAAGTAAGGCCCCTGCCCTTCAATGGATACAGTTACTTGATTGCCAGGCTCACATAATACGCTGCCATTATGTTGTTTGTCGCTAAAGTCTCCATATTTACTCCTTTCCTCTCGCTGCTTTCTTATGCGTCTGGTTCTCCCTCCAGCTATTCCAATATTGACTCGAAGGTGGCTCCAGGGGCGACCATATCATATAAGCAAGTATGTATCTACACCACGGTGAGGCACTCAACATACTGACAGATCATAGACATGTATCTGTGAGACAACGCCAGGTGTAAAAGCTTTCAGCGGGTACATCCATCTACCAAATGCCCTGCTCTCAGATTCCGGAGGTGCTACACCTTACAATGCAAGCATGTTCTTCTGGTACTTTGAATCTCGCAACGACCCAAAATCCGCCCCTTTATCCCTCTACCTCGGTGGAGGCCCCGGCACAAACTCCCTCGGTGGTGCAACGTTCGAGAATGGGCCCTGCTACATCAACGCGGACTCCAATAGCACAACACTCAACCCTTGGTCTTGGAACAACAACGTCAATATGCTGTATATTGACCAGCCGGCACAAGTTGGCTTCTCATATGATGAGCTTGTCGTCTCGACCTTGGATTTCCTTACTGGAAAGATTGGTGTGGCGAATGGAACTATTGAGACAAATGAGACATTTGTGACAGGTGTGCTACCCACGCAAAACATGGGTGCCTCAGCGAATACTACGGCAAACGCCGCAAGAATTTTGTGGAAATTTACCCAGATATGGACGCAGGAGTTTCCAGAATGGAAATCGACAAATGACCGCATCAGCATTTGGGCTAATTCCGTAAGATCCATCACTTAGGTATTCACAACTTACCCATGATAACATTCGTATAGTATGGTGGTCATTGGGCCCCCGGAGCAATGTCTCATTTCCAGAACCAAAACCGGAGGATCGAAAACGGCACGCTTGACGGGATCAGTGCAAAGCGCCTCCGTCTTGATACCCTTGGACTCTCAAACGGTTGCGTCGACGCCAAAATCGAAGCTCCATTCTACCCTGAGATGGCTTTCAACAACACATACGGTTTCAAAACCATCCCAGAAGACGCATATCACGAATCTCTTAACAATCTTACGAAGCCTGGCGGCTGCAACGATCTAATTGACCAATGCCGAGAGCTAGCCGTGTATGATCCCAGCAACGCAGGCGTGAATGAGACCGTGAATCAGGCTTGCGCGCTGGCGACCATGTACTGTTTCCAGTTCGTCCAAGGTGCATACGTAAATTTATCCGGTGTAAGCCATTCCCAGTTAGCCTCAGCCAAACTCTCCCTAACGATCCTTCAGCGAAGCGCTTTCGACATTTCCCTTACTAAACCAGCCGTCTTCCCACCTGAGTACATCATGGGATACATGAATCAGGAATGGGTGCAGAACGACCTCGGCGTCCCGTTAAATTTCTCCATTAGCGCAAGCTTTCTCGTCAACGTCATCTTCGGTGTCACAGGAGACCCTGTCAAGCTTACAATTGATACCATGAACTCTATTGCTGAGGGAGGTGTTAAAATAGCACTCGTTCACGGAGACAGGGATTACCGATGCAATTGTGAGTAATTCTTGAACAGTGCGAATCCTTGACTGGCTTCTAACATCTTCTTATAGGGCTCGGCGGTGAAGCCGTAAGCTTAGCATTGGAGTACCACTCGTCCTCCCAGTTCCGCTCTGCGGGCTACGAACCCATTACCACAAACTCCTCATATCAAGGTGGCGTCGTACGCCAACACGAGAAAATTTCCTTCTCCCGCGTATTCGACGCCGGTCATGCCGTTGGCGCCTATCAACCCGAAACTGTTTCACAGATATTCGATCGTGTTATGCTTGATAAAGATGTCGCTACTGGAAATGTGTCAATTTCCGTAGATGGGCATGGAAATTATAGTTCGAAGGGCCCCATGAGCAGTTTCGGGATCAAGAACACGCTGCCAGAGAGTCCGAAGAGTGAATGTTATGTCTGGGATGTGGTGAATACATGTACGGAGGAAGAGGTACTTGCGCTGGTTAATGGAACGGCGGTTCTGAAGGATTTTATCTTGACAGACGTTGTAGTTTAGATGTACCACTATTTTTTTTTATCATTCGTATGCCTCAACTACGAGGGGTCTAATTCTAGAGTGCCGCTAAAAATTGTGTTCACACACGTACGAAGGATTTCTTGATTGAATGCCGTTGATCCTTTTTCCGTATTCTTTACTACGTTAGCGAGGAAACACTCTTCACTCGATCCTCCGTTACAGTTATTTAAGACCCGGTTCTGGGAAAATCTACGAACAAGAGATATGTAAGTCTAGAAGGCTTCGTTAAGTCCGCTCCAAAACTTGCAGCACGCCTATTGCACTTTGCTTGCTCTTTGTTGTCAATCTCTATTAGAATAATGCTTCGCGAGCCACCTCTAACCTGCATATCTAGAGCAGCATTGCCCAGAGTATTTCTACCCCGCAAGTTCAAGAACTGTTGCTTTGCATACCTCTAACTTTCATGCTTGAGGAGCGATGTTTAGAAGGGCCGGTTATGGGAAATGTTCTTCTGCGCGGACCTACTCTGTGACGCCTGCATTTTCATCCGTCCATATATATCTTTATGCTCTGCTTGGTAGAAGGTTGAAATTTTGCCACTTGCAACGTACTCTGCTCATTATGGGGAGTGCTGCATGGAGGAGCTCTATATTGCGTACTTTGGGGGGCGTTTTTCTGCATGTAACCACTGCCATGGATATTATCATGGCAGGTTTTGCTCTTTGCAGCTCTTCCCTGGTGTTCTAGGGAATTTATTCTATCTATTCAAGCCGCCCTGAAAGGGTTAATAAAGGGTTGAACCGTGTGCCTCGACCCTGCATATCTTGAGAAACGCTGCTCTTCCTGCTTTACGTAGGTGGCGAGGCATTGCTCTGCTTTTTGTGTACGGTTTGAGGTGGGCTGCTCTGCGTACTTTTACCCTGCATTTTCTAGGAAACGTTTCTCTGCTTACTCTCCCTTGTTTAAGGGATATCTTTCTATATTGCACTCCCCAAGGGGTATGAGAGTCATTGATCTGGCTGTTTTGAGACTATCCGAAGGGGTGCGTGGCCCAAGCTGTACCGTCTGCAAGGGGAATCGTGGAGGCTATTATTGAGTTGAGAAATTAGCACTAGGTCGTCTTAAAACTACCCTTATGCGTCGTAACCAGCTAATCACTCCAAGGGCTACACTATCAAGATAAATCTAAAACGATTGGAGGATAAATTTCCGCGGAAAGGGGTGAGACTCATAAAATAAAGTTCTTTATTGGGATTGAGGATGCAGTAGAATAAATGATTTGTAGCCATCCTCCTCTGAGTAATATTTGTCTACACTCCCCTTCAGGGTTGAGCGCTGCTTCCCTGGAGAGTATTTTTTATGTACTCCCGTTTGGTTTTTGGAGAGGAAGTTGAGGGGAGTGGCTAAGGCACCAATGTCCTACAAGTAAGGAGAAGGACAAAGTTTCATTCTAGAACCTATCGTTTCGTGCAGGACGTAGAATTCCGGGTGGCATCTGAGGCCCACAAGGAGATTCAGGTTTACGTCGGTATTATTTTTCTTCTTGCCAAGGGCTGAGTATACTCGGTGAGGGACTGGAAGTCGGAGCGGATTTGGGAATTGCCTTTGGGCACGGCACACTTACTTCTAATACGGAACATTGTTAGGGATAAATCGGTCAAGGGTCTTGCTAGAATCAAGGAGGCCACTCGCATTGTATTTTCGTGATCACCAGCCTTGGAATTGGCGGTGAATACAGAGGGAAGACACGTGATAGTTCTTTCATCAGCGCTAAAATATAAAAGGTCTTCTTGGGCAGAATCAAAAGCCTAAAAATGCACGTTCTGATTGCGTTCCGGCTCTTAGCTGGTGGTTCCCCACAACTTGGAAATTTTGCAACGCTACGAGCAAGCACCTCAGCACCATGCTTCATGCTAATCGTCTCACCAAGAACCACCGACTTAGCCACAGGTACGCACAAAGAGTCGCAGTTTCTCATTAGCCGTCCATCAATTGTGAGAACTCGAAATATTCGAGACGTTCCTTTGACTTCCATTTCAAGACTCCGGTATCTGTGAAAGAGGCAGCTCCAGAGAGCGGCTCTTTCATTATAGAACCTTGCACACTGAACCCCTACCACCAAGTAACTTGGAGAGCAAAGGGCTCAAACAATTGAGCACCTCTTTACCGCCCAGCCGCCCAAAGCGACCCTAGTTCGCCCATTCAGGTCAGCCATTGAAACGCTCAGCAGCATGGGATGAGTTGAAATACTGAGAATGTAATGCTTAACAAATTAAGCACGATAGAAAAGAGCACTCCACCATCGAAACTTGGTGTTGGTAGTGTCGAAGGGTGGGGAAATTACAGTAGAGGGCTAGTAGTGATGGTTTTAGAAGAAGTTGAGGCTCAAATCTATCTAGCGGTCTTGCTCTCAGTCCAACTTCCGAACAAGTTCCAAGAATGCCGCATTGCTCAAAGAGCGGTCAATCTATTTGAGCAATACTATAGAGGAAAGTGCGTGCATTTTCCAGAGCAGCCAATTAGGTGATGCCGCGTCCTACCTGCCCGAAGATGATCTAGATGAAGCGAAGGACGTCGCGGGAGAAGCAAATAGTTAAAGTCGAAAACAAGCAGGTAAGCTGAAAGCATGCAAGAATGCACGGAAGGATTGTAAGGACATACGAGATGCTATTAAGAAAGAACAGGATGACCTGGATAAACGGAGACATGCCTCTAGACGAATACAACAGAGGCACCTTGGAGTGCAAACTGGTTATCCCCTGGACACGTATGATTTTGAACCAAGAACATTCCCTCCCGAGGAAACGGATCCATCCGGTATCGCACCCAAAGACATAAAGCTTCCATGGTACGATCCGGTTCGGATGCTACCTCTCTCGGATTGTTCAGACCGCTCATCTCGCCTGATTCATCCAAGATTATGCGGGGGAACGCGATCGAAAAGCTAATGAGGTCTGTGAGCGAATGCAAAATGCACAGTATGCACAGTCAAATCTTGACCGCTACGGCGCCACATATACCCAGTAATACCAACAATACATTCTCGCGCATGGCAGACACCCATGGGGCGGTCCGGGGGAAGCATTCGGACCAACTTACATTCGCCGAAGCAAGAACGCATGAAACAGCTCATCGAAGCTGAAGTGGTCTTGAAATTTTCAATAACGCAAGAAAATGCGGGTGGCATCCTGGGTAATTGAATTGCACTTTACTCAAAATAGTTTTCGAGTCGTCGGGGAATGGTTACAGGTGTGCCTCCCTATGTCGGAAGCGTTGCTCGCAGTTCCGATTGAATTCATGCTAGATTGCTCATTCATCATCTACGCCAATGACGGCATCCAGACGTTTAAGGAAATTCGGATTTTAAGTATCCCCGGTCCTAGTGTCAGCCAAGTAGCAAACAGGAAAGTGGGGGAATGGATGTGCTACATACATTTACGTTCAGGGGAACCCTGGATCGTGACATCCTCTTGAAGAGGGTGCACCACCTCTGGTAGCGTGCTGGAAGTGCCAGAAGTGATGGAATAGGCTATGCAATGGAATAGTCGATGAGATGCAGTCAAAAAGAAGTTTGGTCATTCGCTGACATAACAACCGTCACAGACTAACCGATTTCGCACTCGCAGTACCGGGAACCTTGGAGCGCTCCTTCGCGTATCCTCAAAACGTCAAGCAAGTGACCCGAATGACAGATTTTGACCGTACGAATTAATCTATCCCATGGCTTACGTCTTGCCGACTTTTCCCTATCAATATGTCAAGCATGACTCTCGGTCTGTGCCTTGGAGCGCTTCCAACGGGACGTTCTCCGTATCGTACTACCCTAGAGAGGTCAGTTATGGAGGTCAGTTATGGAGGCCATATGGAGGCAGGTATATACAGCGGCCAATAATAGACCGTATAATACGTTTCCGTAATCGTAACAGGTAATAATAGTGAATTATGGACAGTATCTAGTCACGTGGGATCTTCCCAAGCCATTTAGACGCGACGGCATAATGGTGATCATACAGCTGCTTCAGGGATGAGGTTTGACGGTCAGTAGCACTATTATACGAGTGTATAAACTTATCCATGGTAATTAAAATAGATTTCGGGAACAAGGCGAAGATTGAGGACGACGAGCGCGTTCAGAAACACTTTTAAGTAATAGGAGAGCCTCGGTAGCGCAGGATGCTGCAAGCAGACCTACCAGCCAATTGCTCCTCAAAAGTTACTCGTCAAAAGAAGGCTTCTCCAAGTTTTGGGAATCTAGAGGCATCACCTGAGACATCTCCTAAAGCAACTCAACCATCACTAAGACAAGCCATACAACAGTGCTCTTGGATGTGCTCTTGGTTCAAAAGTACTTACAGAAGGATGAGATCACCAGCTACGTACGTATGGCTCACCTAATATGTATAACCATACTTCTACGGACCATGGTACGCCCTGTTAGAAGCACTAGCGTCATGAGCCTCGGGAGTGCCAGTTCATCTCAACGTTACATTCGGTCTTGTATTGTGAATCTAGAGGCTCTTGTACCTCTTCTGAGTGTCGAGGACAGTGACTGGCCAATTTGACACAGCGATATTTTGTCAAACGCGCTTCTAAGAGAAAGGATCTCACAACTTCATGATGCCTGATATTCAACACATTTTGCTTTCCCGTATGTCCGAAAGAAATCTTGCTTCAACCACCCAGAACCTCGGGCTCCGAAACCACAACTACTCATTCATGTCAACCACGAAGTATCATAGGTGATATTGAGCGAGATTGACTCTCCTGAACCTTGCTTCTACACTGTCAATATCACAAGCCTAATCTTTACGAAGGAACTCTAGTCTTAGTGCAGAATGTGATCTTACAATTCTCATACAATTTTGCACCTTGTGATGCTCGAAATGCCGACTATGATTACATCATCAATAGTTTAACACGCCCATTTCCTCACAAAACTGAAACGCAAGATCCAATCACCAAACGGAGTCGGACAACTTGCCGTAGATGGACGTTGGCTTGAAGAATTCCGGAATCGGACAAAACCTTCCTCCGTCCTCGCTTGACCGCTCCATGGGATCCACGCCACACATGCCATCGCGAACGTTAAATGCAGCCTCTTGGACAACACCGAGTCAGAGCAAAGACCCAACTACACAATAGTGGAGCTCTGCCGCGGATAACAATATGCGCGGAGAGAGCGGTAGAACCATTGTTTCTTATCCCTTGCTACCGTTAAGCAACGCTCCTGACTCAAATTTTCCGGGTTAGCAGCCAGACATGCCCATATTTAGACACCTTTCATCGTTTATTTAGAATATTTTGTTTCAGTGGTACCCTGCCGAAGATCTCTTGCTATATGTTTCATGCTCACATTACCATGCTATACATTTCTTGCCCTCAACTCATTCCTTACCCCACCATGACTCCACGTCTGCACTAATGTCCCTGCTCGCCTTGCGCCCTTTATCGGTCCTATTGAAACGCCAGCATCGTCACCGCTCATCTGCGCTGCTCAGCGGTAGCTGCGGCGATTTCCTACCTTGTGGCCTTCTGACTTCCGTTCCCTCTATCAAACGCGCGAGAGGCTGCATCATCTTCCGATCTTGCGGCTGCATTTGCTCGTTAAGAGAGCGGCAGCGGCGGCTTTCTGCATTTGAAATAGCATCAAAACATTGTCAATTGCTCGAGAGATGGACTCCGTATCCTGAAATTCCAGGCTCATGCGCTCATCGGGCAGCGAACTGACCGGCAGGACCCTGAATCAAGATACAGCAGTTCCAACCGCATCCGCATAGCATGTCAGCATAATGGTGTCCTTTACGCGTTGATTCTCTGCAATATCTAGCCGCCTTTCCTTGCGTCATAGAGCAGAGTATCAAGACGCCGGCTCCCGAATACGCCAACGCCCTGCTTCTGTGCGGTTTAACGAGGCTTTACGTACACTCTTCTCAAGGTATGACAGCTGAGATGTAAATCCTGTTGCCTCGGAGCCTCGTATCAATATCCTCCCCCCAGTTCTTCCTGTACGACAGCTAGCTTCTCACTGCCGTACCACCATTATGCGTGCCACCCATGCACAAAGAGACCACGAGAGTTGCACCAGCCTGACCTCCCATTCCACAAGCTGCCATGGCAGAAATGAATTCAAAAACCACTGCTCAATCAGTACCCTAAAACGGACACGCTCACGTTTGTGAAGACCGAAAGCCTATGAACCAAACAAGTACAAAACACGCAACCAATGATTTCCTCGTCCCCTGATCCCGTACTATGCATATGCGGCTAGAAATAGATGCATAGCGAACCTTCCTGGAGCCACTTAACTCCCACAACATACAGCAGTGCAATTCATGCACATGCTCGCCAACGGCGCAAGACTGGTCCACGCTGAGAGGGCAAAGCAGCAAGAAAAAACTTTCGAGGCTTCCACCCCGCCACTCGAATTCTTTCTCATCAAGCACACAAGGCAACGCAACTGCTGCCCTCAGAAAGCGCCACCGTTCTTCGTTTCCCACCTCCACTTGTTTCCTCGTAGAGGCCGCTTCTCACATTGTAGACGAAACTTAAACTCACAATATTGCACAGTCGGACATATCTTCTTACGCCCTTCAAAGCTCACCGTCCCCGAACCCGGATCTCGGCGTACATGTCCCTCAGACATTCTAGCCAACCACCTCACTCTCAAGCATGCGTTCGGCGCGGGGCCTTTGCATTTTCGCTGTCCAGGCCATCTCTCTCGACCCATAGTGCGCTTCTGCCTGCCAATCCGCAAGAAGCTCACCAGTGCCGCCTTACCCAGACCTTACCGCAACCATTCCGACATACGTTACCGTGGCCGATGCCCAGCCTCGCTATTGAACGCTAATGCGCAAACGCTCCAGCCCAGTGGTCTCCAGCGGGCCACCGCACAAGACGGCCAGTCTCGGGATCAAAATTATGTGTGGGTAACGCTGCCCCTCTGCTACCTAGCACTCCACAAACCATGTGCAGCGTCTTACCCAGCATACTCCAAACCTCACATGACGAGTTTTTACTCCAGCAGAGAGCGCGGCTGCATGTAGTAAAAATCAACGTCCGCCCTTGAGGTCGGGAACCAGGTCGACCGTGTAGGGCCGCATTTTGGGTCAAACATGCAACGCGCTTTTTGTTGATGGCGCAGACAATCACCAGAGTGACGAGGCAACCAAGTTGGTAAAACAACAATCGTTCAATTGGTCATTTCTAAATTTGAGGCGGGTGTCAGGGACTTTATTTTTTTGGGGGTTGCAAAAATTCATGCTGCTTCTTTGTTTACCTGTTAATGCGTGTGTGTGCCATCTGTGCACGGCAAAATACGCGAGCTTCTTGGTTAGAGACAACAACGCCCTGCCCTCTGCAGGCCACGGCAATGACTTCCTCAACCACCATCTCGATTGACAACGCTGACAATCTCCTCGACGCCTAATGTCAGACGAGAGACTACCATAGGTGAGACACAATCTATTGGTGAAGGGGCATTGGCTCGGGACAATCTTTGTTGCCTTTTCCCAGCGTGAGGCAGACTTGGGCGGCGTGACGAACTGGAGCATCCTGCAGCATCTCGCCACCGTAATGTCACAGCTTGCAAGTCCACAGCCGTGTTGTGCCATTCAGAAACCTGTCCACGGTGGGGTAACCGGTGAGGACGCTCTGACGAACGTCTGATCTTGCCATCTTGTGACGCATTTTATCAAGTGGTGTGCAGGCATACCCAGTCCAGTCCGCAGCAACAGGCTGGCGAAACGACGCGGAGGGTGTTGGGGAGCTGATTATTGATTGCGAGATGTATGCCCGGGTATATGGTCCCCTTGTAGATCAACCAAACCGCGGCCGCCACGTCAGAGGATCTCCGATGGGGCATGCTTTGGCCGGTTCTAGCGCCTTTCCGTAGCCCAGATGATTGATTCGACATGCGATGGCGGGTCTAGGTGCCGCATAGACTTCACGCCAGTTCGTTATCAGGGAGAAGTAGGCTTGTCAGCTTGCATGGCCGAGCAATTCAGCAATAGGCGGAATGCTGGAGAACCGAGCCGTTGAGCGGGAAGCTGATCAGCTGAATACTAACGGGGCCGACTGTTCAATGCGCTATGCATGCGGTGATTGCTAGTGAACCATACAGATGGCGGCAGGGTATGACCGGACATGATGCCCGGGAAGGTATGTTGCAGCATGAGGAGATAAGGTGACTGGCCAACAGTGCCTCGAACCCGTGGCAGTAGGGTTGGCATATTTTGGGTCAGCCAAGGAAGCGGAATGCCTGTGTCAGAGAGGCAAAGGGTTGATCAAGACACTTTCCGTGGAGTGGTTGAGGCTACACAAGTTGATTAGCTGGATGGAAAAGGAAAACTGGAGACGAGACTCATGGAACATCGGCATCCGTGATTTGCCCGAGAAACTAAGAACACAGGACTTGGGAAAGGGCAAAAGAAAGTACAGGGTCCAACCAATATGCCTGTCAATCACGCTGTACTGACACCAGCCAATGCGTTGCACAGCACTTGGTCAAAGTTCTCCAGGGTAGTACGTGGTAAGGGGCCGTGTTAAACAGTGGCTCATCAACTTCCACCGTGCCGAGTTGATGAAGAAGGCAAAGGTCGAAACGCCATTGTCCAATCGCTTAGAGAAAGTGACAAACGACTCGCGGAGGCTACGGTGGTTCAGCATCAATCCAGTGGCACGTGACGTATCTCGCTTCCTAAATGCTCAACCTCACCTTGGATGAAAGGCCCGAAAAACTCCAAAAGAAACCATCTAGCCCCCATCAACAGTCTTCGGCTGAAACATCGTGACAAGGACCATGAGGGATTTTCTGCTCCAGAGGGAGAAATTACGCGGTCAAGGAAGCCACGACGCCGGTGATCCCTAGCAGATGTGATATCTCTTTGCAGCTGGAACGCCGGGCACGGCCTAGGGTATCATCGCAGCCGGTCTCCACGGATACTTTAGCGGCATAACGAAAAGGTCTCAATGATTGTGGCGATATTGTTGGCCGCCGCCGGGTGGGGTACTACCACATCGACTGATGGATAGACCATGGCATCAATCTGTGGGTCGATAGCGAGAGCCAGACGGGAACCAAACGCGGTGGTCGAGCCGGTGATACTGTCTCCATCCTGAAGCATAAATAGTGGTATGCTCGCACTCGAAACGTCGCCATCAAGCTCGACTCAACTGTCTCTCCATTGAAAGCTCAGAACTCAAGAGCAAAGTCCATCTCTTCAGACCTTCAAGCCCCCTTGTGCCAACTCTTTCTCACATTCCAAACAACATCGACGTTGGGTGTTTGACTACTCTCAACCAACCATCCAGTATGTGATGTCGAGTGTTTACATCTTGACATTGGCCCCTGAGGCTGATAGTTCCCAGATCCACAGCCACTGGTCCAATCAGAAAGGCCCAGTCTTCCACCCACTCAACACAAGGTAAGTTGGCAGGACCTGTCAGCCAAACAACTGAACCATAGGGCTGACCTATATGCTAGTACCAGCTTCTCCACCTCTTGAAACATGTGCTTCTTCGATCAACACCGGTTCGTCTGCGGCGACTGGAAGTGGGGACACTTTCGGCAGCACTGCAACCGGGAGTATCGGATTGGTGAAACATGTGGCATGAAGCTCATCATGCAAACGGTGCCTGTCGGCCAGAAGTGCAAACTGTGCGAGAAGATCGACACCAAGATGCGGCGTCGGGCCGCCGAAGTTGAGCGCGTCAATCGCTGGCAGCGCGAGGGGCAAAAGTTCCGAGCCTCAATTGACAAGTCGATGGAGATCATTCGAGGTTTGGATGGAGAGATCTATGAGCTCAGCTGCGAACGCAACCGGAGGCTCCAGGGAATTGGCAGCCACTGAGGAAACTGCGGCATAGCACGGGCGTCTGGGAACTGGTTTCATGTACAACGGTTTGGGGTCTGAACGGGATGAAGTCCACTCGTTCGTGGAGTTTGGAAACGGGCTGACACGGAAAAGACTGATATTGAGATGGGAGTGACGGATAAGGAGCTGGCCGGGCGTTACCTCTTACAGTCGCTTGTCTTTCTATACCTTATTTTTCGGCTTTTAATGATGTAACGATTTTCTGCACTTACGATGATTGGCCGTGTTCTGGAGTTGGTGATGTAGCCGCTGTGCCATGAAATGGGGGCTGAGGCCGTCCAATCCGTGAGGGTCGCGTAGCCGCAATTAGAAGTGGGGAGGTGATAGCGCACGGCCCCTCAGGAGCGACGCGGCGCCTCATCCGCTGTCATCGTGGCCGGGGCAGCGTTCGAGGCCGCCGCGGCAAAGATATATGATGGGCGCAGCGATGGAGGCAGCGCGCCAGGAGATGGGCGGGGAGTTGTTGAGTGTTGTGTTGATCGAGTGCAGCGACGTGAGGTGGAGAAGAAAATCCGTGCGTCCTCGCTTCTGGCCTCACGTGATGATGCTAACCCCAGTCCGGCCGAGTACCCGCTATCGCCGAGAAACGGCCGGCTTGCTCCTTCTTCTCCGATCCAACCTCGTCCTCGCCGTCATTCCCCATCCCCTCAACTCTACATATGCATCTCCGACTGCGTTGCCCTTGGACCGGCAATGCAATCAATCTAACATGCGAGGCGCCCGTCGCCAGTGCATTGCGTCGTCGGCCTTCTTGCCCGGGTGCGCTGCCTGAATGCACCGCTGGACGCCTTGTCCCTTCGCTCAGTGTGCTGTCTTGTATTCGAGTCGAAGCGTACCCGACGAGGAGGTCCAGTAAGGGGGATTGTGTTGCTTTGTTCGCTTGATCCTGTGTCTGCATTTTTCTCTTGTCATTTTGTCTTTTTGTCGGGCTCGGCCTCGGTAGCAGCCGGTGTTCGTCGGCGCTGTTGTGTCGCGTGTGCCGTGTCGTCTTTTCCGTGTCTGTCGCACTCTCTATTTCCTTTTCAGTCCTCCAAAAGTCAGAATAGGAGTTAAAGCCACAACGACGGTTTTTCTACGACGGAAAGAACCCACCATATCAGCTACCAAGGAGCGAATCCCCGACTGAAAGCTCCCATCCCACGTGGCGGTCTCTGAGTGGCCTGCCTATGCCGTCGATCGCAGTCTCGCAAACCACACTACACAATAGGCGGGAGAAAGCCGTCAGGATTCAGACCCCTCCCTGTCACCTACTTTATGTCGCCTTCTGTCTTCCAATCTCTTTTGTCCCGCTGCCCGTGTCCTTAGTCTTGATTGTTTCGCAAGGAGTTCGTGAGTAGGGTGCGGGCAGCGCTGACTTTATCACAGGATCCGGAATCCCACTTCACCTCACGGCGAGCAGACTCGGCGCTTAGCTTATACAGCAAGCTTAACGCTCTTGTACCACACACAACTCTGGTTCTCATGACGCGGACAGGGGACATGCCAGGTCCCTTTTCCACTGCATGGCCAATGGCGCGCTGCGGAGTGCGCTCAGCTGGACATTCAGGCGACACCAATGCAGTCCAGAAGGCGACAATAACAATCAAGGACCGCTTCTGGATCTATCGAGCGACCCACGTAGTTGTGCATGTCTGCGACTGGAGCCTTGCGGCACACATCAAGCCAATGAGAGCGTCAAACGTTGCATCTGGATCCAGCATGCAGGTCCTTTTTGCCCATTTTCATTTCCTCTGGCTTGGAGTACGAGTTGGGCGAGTGTCTGGAACAAGAGACGCAAGACGTCTACATGATGCCAGGCCAATAAGGGCGCCAAGTGGTGCATTTTGGTTTGCGTCCACTTTCCATTTCAGACCCTTTGCCTTCTCCTTCGCTTGGTTGCTTGGGAGTGCGAGTTGAGCCAACGCGCTTGGACTGACCAATCATGTCGCCAAGATCCACAGCTCAGATCTCGAACGCATCTCAACCATACTCTTTTCGTTTCTTCTTGCTGCACTTCATCTATACTTTCCAAATACTTGTCCCATGTGATTTGGCTTCGTTAATCTCACTTCTTGCATCTCATTTATCTTGTTTTCACGAAGGATCGAGGTTCCGGCAATCTTGAAGCGAGCATTATGCACCTTAATCGCAAGCGTCCTAACAGAATTGCTCGAAGTCAATCGCGGGTACTTACAAAAGTCTCATTTACGAAAAGGGAATTTCGAGAGGCAAATTCCGACGGAGTCCACCTTCCCCTTATGTACCTCGACCCTGGGTTAGTGGCGGGCGCTTGCGTATTGCGTGCATGTCCCAAGCCGAAGTAAGCAACCCACTCAACGACATCTAACCAGCAATGTCAAGCGCCAATCGAATTTCACTCTTCTCTGCATCCAAGACTTTGCTCGTCCAATGGGTCCTCTTGTCACTCTCTCCACTTTACGCCCGAGCGACAACGCTTGCGTGCACTCCCAAGATGCTGCATAATCGACTCAACACCTGTACAGCCTTATAGGTGATACAATGGACCGTCCTCGCCTACACCGGATGATTAGGAGGGCAGGTCCGACACGATTAATGCGTTTGAAACAGCAGAATTTGCCTTCGCATAGACGAGTGCCAATTTCCAAATGCGCGGCCACCCCAAAATATTATCTGCATCGAATCCGGGCTTTTTTCGAGGTTGGCGTATTAGCTGAAACAAGGTTATACGACGTCATGAGTGGTATAGGAGTTACAGGCTGCCTCTCATCTGTTAATGCTTCTAGACCTGCCCTGCGATATAATTGACGTTCTACTGATTTCACAATAACTGGGAATCACAGAATCGCATGTCCTCCGTAAGGCCATTGTATTCCGTGATATTTTGGGGCACCATGTCTACATAGTTATTTGCAAACCTGAGCTCGTTTTGTCCAGCAATTATAACTAACAAATGCTACCTCGATAACATGGCTGGACGGACACACACATATGCTAGATATATAGACAGGCCGACTATTTCCGTTAAATTGATAGCTAGCACCTGTAACTTCCAAGGCCGTGAGGGCAGCCCTATGACTAATGTGACAAGCCTTCACATCCCCTGTTTGCATTGTATCCCCCTCAGTATGGGTTTAGAAAAGCCACTGTGCATAAATCAGATTAGATTAGACATATATCAATATCTCCTATACAATACCATGATATACCTGCTATCCATCCCCGTAGTCAAGAAAGCACGATGACAACCTTAGAACATAACATTTCAGCTCAGCTGAGCAAAAAGACGCAGCGCCACGGAAACAAAACTCCTCAGGACAGTAAGAGAAAAGCAGTGCAGCTAAGTATGCTAATAATGCGACGAATATGTTACTAAAAGACTAAATGAAAGCATTCAGACTCAATTCAACTCATCTTCCCCTTCATTAACCCTTGATCTTGATCTCTCTCCATCCTGGACGCCCGCACCCCTCCCTCCTATCTCCCCAATCTCCACGCTCAAATCATCAAACTCGGCCCCATTTTCCCACTCCCCTTACACTCAACCTTAGCTCCCAAATTGGGACTAGATACCTCCTTTGTCTCCTCCGTCATAAATACTCCCCCCTCTTCAACCTCGCCGAAAACATTGATTCTCACCGACGTTATACGTTAAGGGGCATTAACTGAGCAAATTTCTCTGCCAAGTTGATCCTAATAGCTGGTACGTCCCGCTAGGGTATAGCGTTATAGGTTACGAGATCGTGATGCCGCGGTCTGGGAGTGCAGGGACCATGCGTGCGGTTCTGTGACTATGTTCCCCTACGGCTTCACCGGCTATAGCTGTAGCATTTGTGGACAATGAGTGGTACTCTATGCGTCGGCGCGACAGTTTCGAGGGTTTCGTTGAAGCTGGTTGGGTTTTCCGACGGGCATGCTGTGCTATTGCAACTGGTGCCGAAATCGGAGTTCCGGTGCTGTCAAAAGAGCTGGGGGTTCCTATGGGGAATACTCCAGTGGAGTTTGCTGGGTAAAAAGAAGTGTTAAAGATGACAATAAGGATGCTGTGGAGTTTGTGGAATGCTTTGGGGTTGAGGGTGCAGTGTCGAATGGTGGTGTGGAGTTTGAGGAAATTGTGGGGTGGAGATGTGTCTGCTAAGGAGAAATTTAGGATTTTTGATGAAGGTAATGACATTGAAGTAATTCCTACCCTAGATGGCAATGCGGAGTTTGCTGAAGCTGTGGGTATGCCTGAGGAAACGTCTACTGACAGCGGAATCGTGCCATTCGCTGAAGACGTAGACATGCTTGACAGAACACCAGTTCACTATGGAACCGTCCAATTTGCAGAAGACGTAAGCACAATTATATACATACCAGCTAACAGCAGCGTTATTGACTTCACCGAAATTGATGGAATCAAAGTCGATCCCGTACCCACAAGCACTGTCAAGTTTGCCAATGGCACGGCAACAAACGGCAATGCAGTCTCAAGAGGCAATAAAAGTCAATTTCATTGTCGAAGAGTCCCTATACTCAGAGGTTCTGGTGGACTCAAATTCAGGGATAGGATCGGCACGACACTAGGCGCAATTCCGGAAGGAGCAGTACCTAGCTATAGTGGTTGGGTGATATTCAATGAGGGAAGGACGAGGGGCTGAGACACAGAAGGAGAAGGTGCAGTGCCGCTTCGATGTCGCCGGAGGTACTGAACATGAAGCTACCACTGTTGGTAGCCGGGACCAAGAATGTGGTGTCAAAGGAGGTGGACAGGGCCATGACAGATGGGTGTCCGATACTAATTGTAGATGCGATGTTTCCCGAGGAAAAGGGAGTTGGGAGAACGGCCAAAAACTGCCCTGTCCCTGGCGCTGAGGTACGGTTCACTAGAGTTCACGGGAAGGAGGTTCGTTCGTAGATGCTTAGCGGCCGAGAGTCTGTAGTCGTGATTGAGTTTGCAGATGGAGACAGTGTTAACGATGCAGGTCCCGTGCTAATCGGCGGTGTCCTTGAGAGTGTCAAATTTAAGCTTGTGTAGCCGAATGTTCCGGAACGACCCTAGTCACGGTTGAAGACGCGACAACACGTGAGGTGAGGCTGAAAGGAGGGTAAAACTGTGCTAGAAAATGATAAATTAGCGTTGAAACTCGCAGTTAGTGTGAAGCCTAAAGCACAAGTACTAGAGAAGATTCCTAACGGGGAAGCCACACCAGTTCCTTATGCTATGGAAGACACCGCCGCACTTCCTAAACTCGTTTAAGCCCCCAGCTGTGCTAGAAATCCTAGCCCATAGGAAAACCACTCCAGCTCCCTAGGTGAATGGTATCACAGTTGTGCCACTCCAAGATTGTTAAGTTTGCTCCGCTGCTAGTTGTAGATACAAGGGGAATTCATTCGAAGACGTGCAGACACAGACGTACCGGTGCTAAACCCCGTTGACAAGATCACACTCAAACCCATCAAGTCGCACTGATGGACATCGAGGTGAGGGTTGAATAGTGCCGAAACTTCTAGTAGAGTTAGCTGTAAAAGATCTTTTAATTCTAATAGCAATAAAGTTTCTTGAAGCCATGCTCGGCAAAATGAGTTTCGAAGTACTAGGTGCAGGAGAATCCTCGCCTTCATCAGTCGGGAATAATACTAAAGTGTTGCTAGAAGACGTGATCACTGGTTCGCCACTCACAAGGGATGGCAATGTTGTGCTTGCGCCGTTCGGCGACGGGTTCGGTTCCAGTGCCCGGCCCTCCGGTAAAGTAGGATGTCGATGTTGCCTCCGTGCTTGTTACAGTAAAGGTTTTTGATTCTATGGCCGTGCTTGAATTGAACTTGTTGTTGCAGATTATGAGGGAATGGTTCTATTAGTACCGGGAAGGGGGTTTTCAGCTCCACCTTTGTTAGTAGAGTTAGCTGCGAATGCTGATCCAGAGCTCTTCAGCTGCGCTCTTCCAGAGGCTGTTGAAGGCACTGGCGGTAAATATACTGGTCAGAATTGACGATGAAAGGCCTAGAGAGACAGTGCCGGCTTATTGTAAAGGGCTCACCGACGGGCCTTTTAAACCACTACTACCAATCTAATTCAACAAAGTGGTCGATCCTGAGGGGATAAATTGTTCTGCCAGACGTTACCGAAGGAGACCTTATCATTTTGGAGACAATACTGAAATCCTGCCGCGCTACAGAACTGGGTGGTGGAATCCTAGTCTGGCCCCTCCTGTAGAGATATACGTAGTAGTAGCGCTAGAGGAAGTAAGGCCTGCTGATTCCTGAGATGCGCCGCAAGGGGGACTCTGAGGAAGGGAAGATGACTGGGCAAAGTTGAATCCTGCCTTTTGAAGGAAGAGGGGTTTGAGATGTTCACAATGCTGCCCATATTTATTGTCATCCTGATAGCCATCGAGATGGATGCCCACGTTTAGAATGTGCGTTACAGATGGGATTTGCAGTACAAAATTGGACAAGATGGAGTTCGTCAAACTAGTTTCGCGTGAGGTGAGAACGAACCTGAGGCCTTGCGTAAGACTAGCCTCGTAAATTTTCATGATCTGGAGCGAAGGTCACAATCTCGAATAGCCCTGCTACTGGTGGTAGATGGTATCCCCGAATTTCGACCTCGCTATTCGTCTCCTAAAGAGAGACAGCCAAGATTCTTCACAGAAAACGAAACGAGATGTTGCACACCCTATCTCCAGCGTGAAAACCCAATACTGTTCCTGAGACGATGAGGGAGGATCGCATCGAGATACGCGAGACGACGGTACTGTCGGTTTCACGTAGGGAGCGAGTGTACGCTATAGGGGGGAAGTAACGGCGAAGAAACATGTCAATCGGACCCAAAATTAAAGAAGGTTAGGAGGGAGCATTGAAGAAACCCACAACAAAGAAAAAAAGGCTATTCTCATAAGGCATGCAAAAGGCGATCGAGAGAGGATGGGGTGACAATGGACAAAGTTGCAGAGTAGTGAAATTGGCTGAGTGGGGACGCTGTCAAGAAAGCGGCGAGGTTTGAGAATGCATTTAGAGTGGGGATATGGTGTTCAGAAATGAGTACTATGTATCAAAGGTTGGGAGGGTGGGATGTTGGGCGAAGAAGCCCATGTGAGGGGAGGAGAGGCGCAAGGATCGCCAGTTGGCAAGCGAGCGGGCCGGCACCGAAGCTCCGACACGCTAACTGTCTTTCGGTGGCGCTCATCACCCACAACGCCAGCCTCCTCATTTCATCATAACAAAACATGCCCAGCGGCCCGCATTCCCTCATGCGCACGCAAGCACCGCTGTACTAGTCACTCCCCCTCTACACATTCCATGGGCATCTGCTCTTCCTGTTTAGGCCTGAGGCGGCGGCCCTCAGACAGCCTGGTGAGTTTCAATTTTGTGGCCGCTGCAAACCCGCCAAACGTGCTGATCACCACCGTTACGTAGCGCTCCGACAGCTCGCACCTACTGGGCGACCCGTATCAACCGCATTATGGCAGCATCAACGGCCCTGGCTCCCACGGCGGCCCCCAGCTGGACCCAGAGGAGATAAGACGCCAGCGAGACGCGCTGGAGCGAATTTGTGCGCAGACGTCCGGGTTGGTCTCCCATTGCACCGCTTCAAGCCAGAGCTAATGAGCCCTCCCTTGTGCAGCAAATTAATTCACGTCTCACAAGCGACCTACACAGAGGACGGATCTAAGATGGCCTCGGAATACCCTCGCCTATTCAACGAGCGCTTCCCTCCGTCGAAGGCTCAATCAAGCCGTCCATCCTCGGCAGACGCGAGCGCCGACGAAGACGAAGCGACCTGGCTGGAACACGTGATTGGAAACACCGCAGAGACCGAGGGCAGCTGGGAGCGGGTGGAGCCCATCGAGTCTGGAGCTCTCACCATTCACTTTGGCGAAGCTCCTGGGTCCGACAGGCGGCAGGTGCGGTAACCAGCCTTGAGTGGTGCTCTGTCCTAGCGGGCAGTTGCATATTTTTTCATTACTTGATTCGGCATGCCTTAATACTGGGCCATTGTGATACCCACATTACTTTACTTCGTCTCCTTTTGTCATGTCTTGGGTGTTCAGATTTTTTTTGTTGTCTGTACATTTCCGGAGTTCTTGGCTAGCCTCATCTAGCTAGCTTCAATGACACAGTCCATTTGGCTCCCCATATTCTTACTGCATCTTGTCACCTGGCCTGGAACATGGCAGGGCATTTTGCATTAGAAAGGGGCATCCTGCTGACGCTCTCCCTGATTTCAGCAATGGGCTTCCTGAGCAGACTACTCTAACCGCATTCTATACTATGCGATCATATGCTGTGTTTGTGTTTAGCGCACAACAGCTGCATCTACCTTGGCAGAGGATTGAGCACGCTATATGTTACCAGTTTAGGCCTTTTTTTAAATCAACGCCTATCTATCCGCTTCGTCTCGCCTGGCACATCCTTAGGTTTCCAATTGCAAGGCTTGATGTCCCTTTATTTATCAAAAGCTAACCCTCATTTCCAGACTTGACACGAACACCCTGACTCAGTCTAAGAGATGGTCCGGGTCACTCTCGCCACTCACCCCAGCTAACCGTAAACGCAAGAAAGGAAGCCGCATATCGATCTACTGAAATAAACCCTTCGTCTCATCTCTATGCCATTGCACCATAGCACCATAGCACCATAGCATGACAAAATGATCCACGTCGTCTTCACCGGAAGCACAATGTCGTTGAAATCGCAATCGTGAGGGGCAGCCAATCCAGCAAGTCGAATCATGGTACAATCAGAAAATGTATCCATTGCGCCAGGCTCGCTGTTGCATATCGCACAACGGCTTTTGTCCTCCAATTTGGTTATTTTGATACTGGCGCAAAAACTGACGTTGCTAGTTCTTTGGTTAGCTTTGATTCATAACCGGACTGTGGAATGATATTGGGCCTTCTTACCACGGAAATATTTGTGATAGCTCTGTTTTCAGGCACATGAGGGTTCAGAGAAAGCGGGCTTCTCCTCGGCTGAGTTCGCTGGAGATGCCTCCGTGGTTGGGGTGGCAACATCCCTCGAGCTGCCATGTTTGCTCTTGGTTGGAGAGACTGTGAAGAAGCCAATTGGTGGCAGAGGACCAGGGCTTGGCATCGATATCCCACCGAACGGGGCCGTCTTGCGAGGGGTAGGCAGTGGAGCAGCCTCAAGATTCTTAATGATGCGAGCACCTTCCTCTTCGACCGCCTGGGTGAGCTCTTGCACTTGCCGGCTTCCCAGGTTCTCGGTTGGCATGTCAACAGAAAAGTCTATAAATTGTCGAACCATTTCCGCTGACTCGTCGTAGAACTTGTTCGTCATCTTCCGGGCAGCTTCGTTCATCGTGACGAGCAGACGTTTCTCTTGTTCAGCAGTCAGAGAGATGTCACGTTGGAGTCTCAGAGCCGTGGCCTGGACGATGGCGCGCACAGTTGGCTTAGCCGGAGCCACGGGACTTGAGGCCATCTCACTCTCTTGGAAGCCAGTGTTCGCCTGCACAAGCAAGTTAGTACATACTCTCGCAAATTTCGGATGCTTTTGAATCTGACTGACATTTCCAGTATGCTCAGCCTCCCATTGTGCCTCCAGCCTCGCCTTCACCTTCTCTTGAATATTCTTCTGTATCTCCTCGGCCCTTGGACGCGGCTTAAACTTCCGACGCACGAGCTCCGGCACTTGGATCACGGGGTTGCTGACCAGCTCAGTCTCGTATCGACCCAGAATATGTTGCCCTTGCCTGTATCCCCTCGTCTTGTTCTGCTTTCGAATCTCTTCGATCATGTCTTCGGCCAACATGTCATCCAACGGACGGCATTCTGGGGGTTCCGCATTGTCAACTGAAGGGACGGTCGAGGGCATGCGCAAGATTGTGTCGGGTTGGCCTTCGACATACGCGAGTGGGAGATCTGAGTGAGGCAGAGGAGTAAAGCTGCTGAGGCCAGGCATGGCCGTTTGTTGCTTTAGTGAAGTTTTGCTTGAGCGACGCTTCTTTGGCGTAGGAGTCCGAGTCATTTCTCTTGCAGCCATAAGATTAGTCCCCTTCTCCGCAACGGCAGCAGTCGTGGTTGCTGTCTTTCGCCGCTTTGGAGCCGGCGTTGGTGGCGAACTCATCTCGCATTCAAAGGTGTCCGCGTCGTCAAAGGCGTCGGACGAGTCGTCGATGACAGGTGCTTTTTCTTTGAGTACACGGCCTCGTTTGCTGGTTTTCAGTCCAGCGGCGGAGGTAGGTAGGTGAGCAGAGGTTGAGCCGAGTGCGAGAGAGATTTCTGGAAGAGCTGAATCCGCGTCTTGCATTGGAGTGTCTCGGGCCAGAGATACACCGCTACTACGACTCCTGTTGCCACTTGGGTTCGAAATCACTAAAGCAGTGGCAGCGTCACTACCAGCGATAATAGCAGCCCTGTCACCAGATCCCGGCGTCGAACTCGAACCCACATGCACTCCTACTCCCGATCCTGACCCAGCACCCAACCCACCAAACAAAAGCCTCCTCACGGGCGTAACTGGCAAACCCCCCATACTAGATCCCGCACTTAAGTTCCCATGGTACAAGGGCATCGTTCCGCGAGCGTTGAAGCATGGCTGACACACTTGATATGTGCAGCCTGGACACCGCCGCATGAGTGCCATGTTGCGCGAGTCGCAGATTGCGCATTTCGCTGTGTGGATTTGGACAATAGCGAAGCTGCGTGGGTTGGCGGAACAATCCATTACGGAGAATGAGGCTGAGGCGTTTGGGGTTGGGGAGGTCAGAGGGCTGGAGATAGTGAAGGGGCCTGGGGTGAGGCGTGGGTTGGCGTTAGTGTTGGGGTTGCTGCTAACTGGCCATAGAGTTGGGCCTGAAGTTGGAGTTGCAGTTAGGGCGGGAGTTGAAGTAAAGTTGAGATCGATGTTCGAACTAAGATTGGCTGGGCCGGGCGAGCTCCCGACTTGAGCGGTGAGGCCCGGGGGGGAAGACGAATTGTCAAGACTTAGCGTGCTGGATGTCATCGTGTAGACGTCGTATGTTCTTTCTGTTCAGTTCTTTGGGTGGGTGTGGTTGGCGTTTGCTAGGGTACCGAAGACCTGCTTCGGAGGGATATGCAAACACTATTCACAACTATCGTGAATGTCAGCAAGAGTCCTAAGCTACGACCGAGCGGTGTGAGGAAGAGTGCTTACCAGCCTGGGGTATGGGGACGGGATGTCGTACCTGTGGCAATTGAATGAAGATGAATCATGGCCTTGTGGCTTGTCACAACGGATGGATGGCAGACTAAGCGTAGTTAATGCACGTTAGAGTTGGACTTGGCGGATTCGACTTGGTTGGAAGGGTATGCTAGAGTTCCGTGTGCGTTGGAGTTTTGGTTGCAGAGGAGACTGAGACGGGCTAGGTTGGATTTGTTTAAGTATGGAGGGGAGGGAGGGACTAAGGAGAAGGTACAACAGGTACGTGACCCGAATAGAGTATGAACAATCGTATTTGGTGCCTCTAGTGTTGTAGGATCCTCGTATTGTACCAAATAAGACAATAGACTTAATAAGCGGCTCAGGAGCTCGCGATGACGCTGTCTAAGTCGATATGGGGGAGTGGAGGATAGGGCTGAAAGCTGAGACTGAAGCCTCTCGTATTGTGTGTAGTGAGAAAATAGTAGGATGATAACAGTGTAGAAAGCTAAGAGTTACAGTCGGCGATCGAGCCGAAGGATAGCAATCGGTGAAGGGGGATGAAAGAGTGTTTGCAGTTGATCAGGCTTTCACTTCGAGTGCCGAAAATTGGAATTGGGCGGAATGATGTGTACGGATGTGCTGCCGGTGCCGAAACAGATTTTGAATGTAGTCAAGGTATGTGCAGTGTCCGGGCCAAACTCGCTGGCTCCGGTGGCAATGTGCGCGGATGCGCTATCGAAACAAACCCCGCAAGAGGCCAAAGTATGTGGGAGTCCAAACCCAATTTCTTGGAGGATTCTGTGCTCTGCTACTGCCCCAAAAAAAGAGTGGCCGGGGTCAAGGTATTCTGAAGAGTATGTGCAAAAGTATGCTGGAGACAAGTGATAAATATCGTATTGTCCAAACCACGACAGAAATGTTGATAGGAATGGGGTCACAGACCAGGCCAGTAAAATGCAGTAATGAAATAAGAGGTGGGAATGTCTAATGTAGGTGACTTGACTTGCCTCGATTCGGTGGGTGGTAGAACAGTCGAGGGGTTGGAGTCCGGGAGGGACTTGACTTCGGTATGTGGGACGACTGGGTAGTCAAACAAGTAGATTTGCAGGTAGAGAGTGTGCTGGGTTGTCGTATCTTTGCAGAACTCAAAGGCCTAGAGCAAAGAGAGAAGATTTATATTCCTCTCATGAGTGCGAGCGCCTACACACAGCGGGAGGCGTTTGAAACTTCGTCGCGCGGATACTATTCCGAAGTCGGAGCCTGAAGCGGACGCCACAGTAAACGAGCGTGATCCAAACGCTGAACCAACAGGCTGGCATAGGCTAACTAGGCAAGAAGGTGAGTGTGTGCAGGCAGTGAATGATAAGGCTCCCGACAAATGGGAAATTAGGAGAATCGAGAGAGGGTTGAATTAGATAGCTGCTCGTGGCCACGAATCCGGGGACAGCATGTTAGCTAGTTCATGAGGTGGTGAATGTGTGGTGGTTGAATACCATGACTTGAGTCGTGGTGGTGAAAGAGTATTCGTCTTGCTGCGAAATTAGCTGCTAGACAGACCCAAGAGACTGTTCACATGAGGATGGATAGTTTTTATTGGTTACCGCATATTGATTTGATTATAGCATAGGACGAGGAAAAGTTGCTGCATGTTGCGGTCTCAATGATCCTCGGTGATCGAAACGCTGTCCTGTAAGGCCTTCACTAGACGTTGTAACTAAGTCCTTAAGCTATCAGTACTAAACTAATGTAACTTAGTCTCATATCTCATGACTGATTGCCTAAGAGAGCCTCAGCCTTGTTGAGAGGACCTATAGTGGCAACTTCTACCGGATGGCAAGGCCTCATCACGTGAAAGTTGCGCTAAGCAATTGAAAAGCACTTCTTCACACCACACTCTGTCAGCTAACTTCTTTATCGTGGCCAAACATCACACCGTAATATTCTCTCCTAGACTCGTGACGCATCCCTGGTGAAGTGCTCCTCGAATCATTTTCGGTGCATGAGTATTTCATCGTTTCATCTCTGACTCTAGCACAGTCATCAAGCGAGCTAGCTTGACCGGAGCTCTGAATGGTAAATGGGCACGACAAGAACCCTGAATATCTACATGCGCAGTATAGGTGTGATGGCGGGCACTCCGGCAGATGGCGAAGAGATGCTGCGGTGAGTCAGTCAGTGAGTGGGGCTTGCACTAATGCTTGAGCTCGAGCTTATGCTCACGCGCCGCAACGATACGTTCAGCTAGGGAGGGTTGCGAACGAACGAAATGATGAGTTGACAGTCCTTTTAGGAGTTTGATGAGGAGATTAGGTCGGGCCGGGGAGTTAGGGTGTGCAAACTTCGCGTTCTGGAGGATGTGAGGATTACGCCGCTTCAACGCACAATCATGGAAAGGGCGCTGCATTCAATTCCTTCTCTCTAGGAAGCGCATTTCAGTTTTCTCAAAAATTCAAAAGACCTCCTCCTCTCCCTTTCTTTCTTTCATTTATCATCTTCTCGCAGTCTTTCATTGGTCCTCACTTCACCGTTCTTTTGCGGTGAACTTGTGCCTGCGCCACACCCAAGCCACACGCACAGCCGAGCGGCGAACCCTTCCCGCACGTAACTCTCGGCAGCTGAAAAATCTGTGTCAAAGGACTCCCCCAATCTATCTGTGAGTCTAATGAGTAAATGGGTTGGCGGGCTCTGCCGCCCTTATTCAGGTAGAAATCTAACATTTAACCCAGATTTTTCTGGCGATTCAGGTGTCTAACGACCCTGCTGGACACGAATTCGAGGATTTCAATATCATTGTTTTAGAACTCTGCGATAACGATTACCACTACGGGAGTACCGGAACGATGAGTACCCAAGTTATGATGGGAAGTTTACCCGGAGGGAGGTCCCAGTTTATGGCAGCCAAGATGCTGGATTATCTCCATGCTCCCGTCGAGGGTTTCTACTTTCTTGGTGCTCTAACGTTCGGTGTCTGCATCCTACAAAAGCCGATCGTGTTGACGTTCAAGAGACGTCGAACAGTACTTGTACTGATGTTCATCAACCTCGTCAGCTACTTCGCCGAAACAATATACTATTTAAGTCGCGCACTCTCCGACGATGCGTACGCGGCTCCTCAACACGCTGTTATCCACTGCCTAGGATTGATCTTGGTGTGGGGTTGCTTAAGTCTCCAGCTCTCAAGGGCCGGGTCTATGATATGGCATCCATACTTTGGGGCCTTTGTTCTTGAGTTTTTGTTTGAGACGGCACTCTGCGTTCTGAGTGGAGTTTCTCTCTCTGTGAAGGATCGGTATAACAACATCCCTCTAACTTTCTGCGCACTACGAGCTCTGGCATCATTAGGCCTCAGTATCGATGGCCTTCTCATCCTCCTTTATCGCCAGACCGAGAAAGGCACTGATGAAGAAAGTCAATCCCTCCTCGGAGAACAGATCCCGGAGACCCTGGCCCAAAATGGCGGAACAAAATACGGCTCCATCGATACAGATGCTAGCAGTGATGAAGAATCTGTGGATGTAGACAAAGAGATCAAGGAACAACAGGCTAAGCGTCTCGCGGAGCAAGGCGGTTGGTTCGGCTACCTCAAATCCTTCGCCATCTTTTTGCCATACCTTTGGCCGAAAGACGACTGGCGGGTCATGCTCGCTCTTGCCATCCGCTTTGTCTATCTCATTCAGGGGCGTGTTCTCAACTTGCTGACCCCGAGACAAATCGGTATCATCACGGATAAGCTGTCTTCGGGAACACACGTCATGCCCTGGAAAGACATCGCACTCTGGACATTCTACTCCTGGTTCAACAGCTACTCTGGCTTTGGCATCCTTGACAACTTCGCCTCGTATGTCGTCCAAAACGTCGCCTACGAACGCCTCACCGCATTAGCCTTCTCCCATATCATGAACCTCTCCATGGACTTTCACACCAATAAAGACAGCGGGGAGGTTCAGAAATCGGTCGATCAAGCCAGCTCGCTGAATCAATTGATTGAGCTCGTCCTCTTCGACGTCTGCCCCGTACTCATCGACCTCGTCGTCGCCATGTGGTACGTAACGCACCTCTTCGACGCCTATATGGCCTTCATAATCCTTTTCATGGGAGTCGTATACATCTGGCTCGGAATCTACTTCACGACGCTCTCGCAACCCGCGCGACGAACATACATGGAAAAACAGCGTACCGAGAACAAAACCGTCTACGAATCCATCTCGAACTACCAGACAGTCACGTACTTTAATCGCGTGCCCTACGAGCAGGACCGCTATGGCGGTGCTGTGAAGTCGACGATCAAGGCGCAGTATACATATCTCTTCCGTTCGGTGGGCGGCCATGCGATCCAGAGTTCGGTCATGACGTTCGGCTTTGCCGGCTGCTGTATCTGGGCTATTGGCCAGATCATCGCTGGAAAGCAGCCCGTCGGGAATTTGATTACATTTATTTTATACTGGGATACGATGATGAGCCCGCTGTACATGATGGCGTACAGCTATCGACACATTTCAAGCTGCTTGATCGATTCAGAGAGGTTGTTGCAGCTCCTAGAGACGAAATCGACTGTAAACGACAACCAAGGCGCTGAAGACCTAGAAATCAAGGCTTGCAGGGTCGAATTCAAGGACGTGGATTTCGCATACGACCCCCGGAAACCTATCATTAAGAACGTCTCTTTCACCGCCGAGCCTGGCCAAACGATAGCGTTTGTCGGCGAAACCGGCGGCGGCAAGAGTACGATGCTGAAACTGTTGTTTAGATACTACGACGTTACAGGCGGCTCTATTAGCATCGATGGCCAGGATATTCGCTCGGTGACGCAGAGCAGCTTAAGAGATGCCCTTGGTGTAGTACCTCAGGATCCTGCCCTGTTTAATCAAACTATCTACGATAACATCCGCTATGCGAAGTTGACTGCTACGGAGAAGGAGATCCAAGATGCATGTCGCGCGGCTGCTATGCACGACAAAATCATGAGCTTCCCCGACGGATACAAGTCCAAAGTCGGCGAACGTGGTGTGCGCGTCTCCGGCGGCGAGCTCCAACGCATCGCTATTGCACGCGTGCTGCTGAAGAACCCGCGGATTGTCATGTTGGACGAAGCGACTAGTGCAATCGACAGCTCCATCGAAGAAAGGATCCAAGAAGCATTTAAGAAACTTAGGGCGGGACGGACCACGTTCGTTATTGCGCATAGGCTAAGCACGATTGTGGAAGCAGATGTCATTCTGGTCGTTGATCAGGGGGAGATTATTGAGCGTGGGACTCATGCTGAACTGTTGGAGAAGGGCGGGAAGTATGCTGAGTTGTGGGGGAAACAGACCGCGGGGAATCATTCAGCGGTGCCAAGTAAGGCTGGGAGTACGGTTGGCGAAGGCGATAAGAGCACGGAGTTGCTAATTGATATTACGCCACCGGAAGAACAGGGCAGTGAGGCGAGGGCTTCCGGGAGGAGTGGGGAGGAGGGAGAAGGGGAGGGCGTGGAGAGGAGGAAGCCTTGATAAGAAGAGGTAGGGAAAATGGATGCAGAGATGGATCCTAGCTGGGTGGAGGGGATGCGGCACAGGTGGCGACGAGACTTACGGAACTTGCATAGACAGCACGAAATTGCTTGCGAATCCACTACGACTATGACTGCGACTACGACTACGACTACGACTTCTAGGACGACGAGAAATGAGAAAATGATGGAGCCTAGAGCTCAAGCGTCAATTACTCGCTAGGCAACTCTGAATTTTCAAGTCGCTTTCTGCCTGGACCGGAATCCCTGTCGCCAATTACACGATGGAGGCGATCAATGTGCGGCTCTAGGAGAGGACCGTGCGAGTCGGTCGGACTCGGCAATGGGCATCAAGGATGCGGGGTATATTCACAGGGTATTTCTGATTGGGTGTCATCTATGCGATCATATCGAGAGGTGTGAATAATGTAGTGTTCATAATAAGGTTTGGAGTTGGGGGCTAGCGATTCTAATAGAAGTGGATATGCGAACCTATTGTTGGTTTGGTAGAACTCTTTATAGCTGAAAATAATAGTTTTTAGTTACAAATGAGGATTCCTGTTATCTTAAACCTTCGAATTAGTGTCTACGACGATAGTTTGTCCACTGGGCCAGTCCCGGAAAATGATAACCCCATCCTCAAAACTCGTCCGTTCAAGGTGAAAAGTGTGCTGGGAGTTGGAGTCCTTCCAATATCTCAACCCTTCATACTGTAAGTCGCATGGTGAGCCCTTCGACCCACGTTTGACTTCAACATGCCATTCATACCGCAGGCCCTCGTTTGATAAGAAGAAATCGCGGACAATCCAGCCATGCTCCTCTGCCTCATCGGAAGTTAGGACTTTCGCGACTCTGACAAGTTCGTGCTGCAGCTTCGGAAAAGCAAGTACTAGGTTTTTCAGCTGGGTATGGTCGCGATCATTCATTTGCGGGTAGTTGATTTGGAATTCTACACGATCGAGCTTCTTTCCGATGGTTTCAAGAGAGGATAGATCGGCGTTCCAGGGCTTCAAGTTCTCCATCATCCAGGGGCGTATCGATTCCGCGGCACCTAGCTTACATAGGTAAGGTGGCAACTGGATATCGAGGTGGATGTCCCTAAGGCAGTTTGGGTGATCTCGCAATGTTTTAATAAGGTCCCTGTCCACGTGGCGGGCGTAAACTGGTACTAGCCGGTCTCCAGCCTCTGGCGCTATGAGTGAGGGTTCTCCATTTTCTTTGTGGATTTCGAGGTCGTAGCAGCCGAAGCGGTCAATTGTGCGAATACGGCGAATGTCTAGGAGATGACCAGGCCGTTCTCCACAGCACTTGTCCTTGCAAGCACAGAGTGACGTGGTGCATTTTCTACGAGCGTCGCAGGCGGTTAGCCGAATATCGATACAGCGTGCTTGTCGGTAGAACTGCTGTATGCCTTCCTCGAGAATGGTCTTATTGGTGAGAAGCCACGATGGGAGCCATGGCCAGGAGAAACGTTCTTTATTGGGTGCTCCGTAGCTGAATTCGATGTGCAGAGAGAATTGGAAGAAGTACACGGGATGCTCGCGCCAGAGGTAGTGGTAGATCTGATCACGGAGTTCTCGTGCGAGGCTGAAAAATGGTGCGGCATTTGTTGGGTTTGTCTTTAAAGAGGCTGTGGAGGTGCCATCGGGGAGATGTTTTGATGCAAGACGTCTTGTAGCGCCGTCCATGGTAGATATTGTTGATGACGATTAGACTGGAACAGAACAGTGAACGGGTACCCAGAATGGTGGGAACCGTTGTTGGACGAGCTGCTAGTGCCAAGATGTAGAACCGCGCCCTTGGAGTGCCTAATCCAGTGCCAAGTTCGAGAGTAGATTTCGAAGGATGGTAAGCCTTGCAGAGAACCAACCGGGATGAACGAAGTCGTCATAGTGAAATTCGGATATTGGGGTCATGGCTGCGCCACAATATCGAGCCACACGTCGTGGGCACACATTTTCCCCACATGACGTTCCTGTGGTGACAGGCGTCGTCAGTTTAAGGCGGTGTTCGTCCGCAGTCTGTCCAGATCGGCCACATCAATTCTTCCGCGCACCGACCACGTGCAGAAGCTCGGGCCACGACTAGACCCAAAAGATCCTCCGACCGTATCCGTCGAGGTGCCTCTTGTGAAACGGCACATGTGTTAAAGACACCACGGCCCTCATCTCCTGCCACCTCCATCCTTCTTGACGTCTCTTTTCCTCCTCTTTTAATCGGCCAGCACCTCTTTATCCCCCAGTCACTGAGTGATTGTTTCGTCATGGCGATCCAAAAGAGGGTTTTGCTTCTTGCTGCGGCTGCTATCTCGTTCTTCGCGATACGATATATCCCTCAATTCACACTCTTTGAGTCTCTATTCTGGAATGCGGTGTCTGTGTATTTCGTCCTACTCACCTTGCAATTAATCTGGACGGTCATAGTGTATCCGCTCTGTTTTAGCCCCTTGCGTCATCTCCCTTCGCCCCCGGTACAGACCCAAGATTTGTGATCTCCAACCGTCATAGTCGTTAACTTTAGAGTAGAATTCGAACTTCCTCCTCGGCCACTTTAGTAGGATTTTTAAAGACCCTACGGGCGAGCCCCAAAGAGACTGGATCGATACTGTCCCCAATGATGGTGTTTTGTATTATCGATTCCTTTTCAATGAACCACGTGTTCTTATTACAAACCCAAAAGCACTAGCGGAAGTCCTAGTGCAGAGGAATTATGAATTTATCAAACCTCAGCGTATTCGGGAAAGTCTTGGCCGCCTTCTTGGGGTTGGAATTTTACTAGCAGAAGGCGATGAACATAAGGTAAGTTTTGTAAATTCACACTTCAATGCATACCTAACGATTCCAGCGCCAACGGAGAGCTTTGATGCCGGCATTCTCATTTCGTCATATCAAAGACCTATACCCAATATTCTGGTCGAAGTCTCGGGAAATGACCGCAGCAATTAAAGCGTCTTTGACAGATGATTCCGCAACATCATCAGTCGTCGAAATCCGTGAGTGGGCTTCTCGGGCGACGCTCGATATTATCGGTGTGGCAGGCATGGGCCAAGATTTCGGAGCCATTGAGAACCCGGCAAATGAACTCAATGTAACGTACCGCACCATCTTTGCTGCTGGCCGTGGTGCCCAGATTCTCCAACTCATCGCTAGTCAATTCCCGCAGTGGCTTTTCCGTGCTCTACCTATGAAGAGGAACGAGGAAATAGCAACCGCTATCAAGACAATCAAGAAGGTAGCTGCCGACTTGATCCGAGACAAGAGGGCAAATCTCGAGAAAGGCGGCCGTAGTGACCTGGACATTCTATCCGTGGCGATCGAATCCGGTGGCTTCAGCGATGAAGATCTTGTCAACCAGCTCATGACCTTCTTAGCCGCGGGCCATGAAACCACTGCATCAGCCATGACCTGGGCCGTGTACCTCTTATGCAAGCATCCCGAAGTGCAAATTCGACTTAGAGAAGAAATCCGCTCTTCCCTTCCCGCCCTCAATGACCCTGACGCCAAGATCTCCTCAACCGATATCGACCATTTGCAATACCTTAATGCCGTACTAAACGAAACAATGCGCATCTTCCCTCCCGTACCCCTCACTCTCCGAGAAACCGTCCACGACACCACCATTCAAGGCCAATTCGTCCCCAAAGAAACTACCGTCATAATCAGCCCCTGGGCCATCAACACCTCGAAAGCCCTCTGGGGTGATGACGCCCGCGAATTTAACCCAGATCGGTGGATGGGTCAAGGCCGGGCAAATACCGGTGGTGCAGACTCCAATTACGCTGTGACGACTTTCTTGCATGGGCCGAGAAGTTGCATTGGCAAGGATTTCGCCAAAGCCGAGTTTGCGTGTCTTATGGCGGCGTTGGTGGGGCAGTTTGAATTCGAGTTGGAAGACCCGAATTGGAAATTAGAGATTCAGGGTGGAATTACGGCGAGGCCGAAGGGTGGCCTTAGGGTGAAGTTGACACCGGTTGAGGGCTGGTAGGGTTTGGATGAGATATATGAAGGCTTTCTTGCTAGAGACTCTTAAACTCTGGCACTTAACTTGGCTTGCCATCCAGCATTTTATGTGCAGATAGAATAAATACATCAGTTTCTTCGATGAATTTGCAATGGTTAGGTGAAGGTAGTACTACAATTAATCTAGTAAATCTATGGTTCGGCGGCATAATCCCAAGTGTAATATCTTCTGAGTCTATACCACTTTCCGAAAGCCTCTCACCTTAGTCCTAGACATTGCATTGTAACAGCAGAACGGCTGACAGTATAACACCAAATACAACTCCTATGAAGATGACTGGTACCCCTTAAGTACTCGTTTTTACAACCCTCTTTAGCTAACATGGAATAAATCTTCGTATCTTCGTGTCATCGTACGCTGGGTTAGGAACCAGTGAAGTGATAATTGGGCACTTTATACCGGGATTATAGAGGTGGAAGTGGCTAAATATTGTTGAGGGTGCCTGTGAGATATATTTTGGCCATACTTCTAGTGTCTGAAGTCACCGGGGAGGACTCCGGGACTGGTTCAAATTGTGGTGGCATTTCCAACGCCGGATAAAGTCCCCAAAATTGGAGAAGATAATTAGTACTAGCTAAATTGCGAATATAGAGACTTCCGGTAGTCCTGTGGGAAGAGTGTCTGTTGAGTCTATTGAAAGTGGGGTTGTTGTTTTGGGGAAGTTTTATGTAATAGTCTATCTCTGTGGATATTTTCCCGCTGACTTTGAGTCAAACTATTGATAAGGGCTTCAGAGTTATTGAGGATGGGTCTGAGTAAATTACTAGGTCGCCTGCATTGAAGCATCAAACGAGTAAGTCTGCAGGTATATTTGAGACATCTAAAGGGAATGTGAGAAGCTAATAACGAGTACTACATTTAGTCACCTAACTTGGGGCTTAGCAAGAGTTGTTCATTATGGAACTTTACAACTTGCCAACGATCTCCCTGATTGTAGAGGAGTGTTCAGAGATTTAATTCGCATACTGAGTTCCATGATGAGGGAATAATTGCCGTATTTACATCCTGTCATCGTTTTCAAAAACAATTCGGCTAAAAGGTCCACCATCCAGTGCCACGATGACTGCCGTTTACTGGACTCGCCCCCTTATATCCACGTCTCAGAAGGATTCTTATCCGCCATTCAATGAGGAAAGCAATAGGGTCAGCCACATGTCTACGAACAAGCTAACAAGAACGAAAAATGTGGTCCAATCACTCAGTGAGGATTCGCGGTTGTCAGTCCTAAGTTTCTGAGAGTCATTGTTAGAGTCACCTAAAGGTGCGAATTGAAGTCACTAGAACTAGAATGTTCATTCTGAGAGCCTGATACCCCCTGCACATCTTTCGATTTAGTTTCCCACTTCGCAGTAATTGCGGATGCAGCATTTGAACTCGTGAAACTTGGAGAAGTATCGATTTCCTGGTTGAAAGTAATTTGCAAAGTCGAGAAATTGTGCTCTTTATCGTTAGTTGAAGTACCATAGCAATCTTTAGAGTCGTAGAAACCTTAAATCCATTGTTGAAAATGAAAAAAGTACCAAGCCGAACGTCGTCAAGGGAGATTGTTGTGGGGTTCTCCATCATGGAATTAATGAAGGCGGAGGTTAGCTATGGATGATAGTTGTAAGCTAGGTGGCATGATAATTTGGGTGTAGTGGGAGACCTAGGATGCGGTCGTAATCAAAACAGGGGAGGCAACACGACGGACAAGATTCTGAAGACCATTTGTTTTTAAGGGAAATATCACAGATAGTGGTCGCTGATATCATCAATAGACTGACTACTCCCCTTGATTGTTTGTCTTGAAGTGATCCATGTGACCCATATCGCAGGTTCAAAAGGCTGCCCCGGGGTAAACAATAATTTTTTCTCTTTCGCTCTCTTTCACCAATATAAAGTCACGCTCTATGTAAGTCTTTCTGTAAGTAGCGGTTGTTCAGGAGGGCTGCACTGTGCAGGGGAGTATAATGCTTATATGGGATAGAGGAGAAAAATTACACCGCTATGTCCTCGATCAGACCAACCTTCCCAACCTTCCCAACCAACAAATCCACAAGCCCATAACCCTTCCTTGTTCCAGTAGGAACTCAGCCACTCTAACTTCACATATTGGTTAGCTAACTACGGCAGCTAAAGCCTACAGCATGCTTGACCTCATCAGCCTAGTGGATAGGTCCGATAAGCCAGGTCCCCGCAAGGCATGCGACCAAGACCCACGGCCGCCCTTGAATTTGCATCCGCAACAGAGTGGCTTGGAGTTTTCTAGCCTTAGCAGGATTAAGAAGCGGGAGGTTTCTTCGAGCCTGAGGTCTTTTCGCTCTATTCGTGCATGTCCGAACCCTGCTTTAGATATCTGGGGCGATACTGCGTTAGAGTTCACCAATCCTCCACACCCTCAAGACAGGAGCGGCAAGAATAATGCGACTAGTGTTAAGATTAAAGGTTCCTCTGGTCGTGATTTCGCGAGTGAGTTGCATAACCATCCTGGTGATATGTGGGAAACGATGTACTAATACCCCGTAGCCAAAGGTTTCGTTCGCAAAGACTATGTGTCGATGTGGAAGGGGAAGAAGGGAGCCAGTGAAACGCCCCCAGTTTCAGAGCCCGAGAAGTTCGGCTCCAACGATAACCTCGAACTCTTCCAACCATCACCACTTCCCGGATCTTCTAAAGAGATCCTTGTTCGTGTTGGTTCTGGTACGCGTATAATGGAAAACAAGTTTGTTCAAACCCCGTCATCAAAAATTCCCCTTCCTCCTAGCAAGTCTATTGGGGATATCCAGGCGCAAACATCTACTTTCAAAAAGCCTGCCGTTGTTCTCTCTTCTAGACTGCCCATCCTTCCCATTACGACATCGCTAAAGGGAATGCGAGAAGGTTCAGTGAAGAACAAGACGATGAGCACCACGCCTCCTGGATCCTCGACACATCCTTTGCCCAGTTCTAGAAGCCCTTCCTTTCCATCGGGTCTGGACAGCCCACTGGCGGTTACCATACCCTGCAGCCCGCTACTTTCCATAACGCGTCCCAAAGAGGTGCAAATACAGAACCCACATAATGATGGAGAGGCTAAGGCTTCTTTACGACTATCCATGGCCCTTGCAAGTATGGAACAAGGACCCAAATACGACGGTAATCTTAAGGTCGTTTCACGGTCGGCCACTACCCTTTCAGTCACGACTCCAATAGAAGTGTATTCCCAAGAGCCCCAGGACTACGGTAGAATTTCTCCTGCTCCAAAAGTGCCACCTAGATTTTGGATGATGACGCCTAAAGAGGTATTTTCCCAGGCACCACAAGACGACAGCGATCCCGAAGTTGCTCCAAAAACACCTCTCCCCACTGTTTCGAAGCCGACTGCTTCCCCAGGGTGGACGCCTGACAGGACTCCCAATTCGAAGCTTTCAAAACTCTCTATGACCTTAGTTAAGACGATACATTCGCAAGAGACATTCATTCCAATTCATCCAATCCCTGCTCCCTCAACTACCCCACCTCTGCCGGAGATCATTCCGCCTCCACAACCAGCACAGTCTGCCACGGGAGGGCTCACAGTCTCCGGCGCTCTAAACGTTATTCTCGGTCTCCTAGCCTCCGCTTCCGTGAGCTTTGAAGTGGAGCATCTCGGAGAAGTGGTCGCTGATGAGTTGGTCCAAAAGATGTGGTACAACTTTCTCATTGGAGTCATACTATGCATTTTATTATTCATTTGGGGTGACTGGGCAAATGGATTGCTCAGGCTTCCGGAGAGTATCGGCTTCTTGGTTGGTCGGAAGGTTGGTTCAATCGCCCGTGCTGCCTCAGATGGATATCGAGATGGTCGTGATTATTAAATTGCTTACATAGGAAGCATATATTCGTGCATGAGGGCATTTTGAAAATGCTGAACTAGAAAACATACTTAGAAGAGTATGAATCATTGCCTGCGTCTGGACACGTTCGATCACCAGAAATAAGTAGACCCAAAATGCGAGCTTAGAAATACCCTGGCAACTTTACTTTAACAGTTTCTAGTATTTTCAACTCGTGATTATAGGAGGCCACTCTTACTAGCAGGACTTCACTCCAAAGTCCGGGGATCGGGACTTCCATGGCCTTGAAACCTTGAACGGCGCGGTCACGTGATATATCAGAATAACCACTGTATGAATATTCGCCGCGCCATTCATCTACATGTGCTGGCAAAAGCTGTAACAAAGAGCTTAAATATCACCTTAAATAATACTAGATCCTGCTTAGCGGTGTGATATTCGAGGAAACCACCTGCATGTTCTTGCACAAACGCAACGCAGATATCTCCGAATAATGCAGCGAAACTCCTCCTATTCGTTCAAATGTCCCAAACGATTGAGGCTCGTATAAATCCAGTTTCAGCCCTGTCAGGAACGAGATGGAAGAAATGTGAGAATGCGGGGTCCCGGTCGGGCCGCTGGTTAGACGGGTTCGGCCCCGCTATCACCGAAAGAGGTATATCATACCTGCGCAAGCTTCAAATTCGACAAACCAAAACTATTTGCATTAAAACTGCTAAGCGATTATTCATTCCGGTCTCTAATCCCAGGCCCAGCGGTTCTGTAATTTTGCGAAAATGCCGAACGGTCAATGGGTCATAGGAGATTTATTCAAGAAGGATTACGGCCACGCAGGAAGCATCAAGAATCTGTGGGAATTGAGATGGATGTTTCCATGTCGAAGGGGTGTGTATCCATTTCATGACGGGAAGTTTGAGGATTTTGAGCCAATGTAATTTCCCCTCCCCCATCGCTTTTTCGATAGAGCTACTCACTATGCAAAGATTCGACCACCTGATCGTAAAGAACATCAACGACCCCTTCTCCGACAACTATACCAACGCATTCTTCCCAACGGGTGAAAGGCTAGCGAAAGAAGCGGAAGCAATGGAAGCAAAGGATCAAGAGGCTGCGAGGAAATTGTACCTGCGTGCGAATGCTGTGTTTCGGCTTGCCCGGTTTCCGTATATTGGGACGGATTTGAAGAGGCAGGTTTTTGAGGCGCAGAAGGGGGTGTACTTGAAGGGAAGTAAGCTTTGGGAGGTTCCGATCACAGAGACGGTGATACCACACAAGTATGCGAGTAATGGGGATGGTAACGAAATTCCACTCTATATTAGACAGCCGAAGAGTGCGAGTGAGGGGAACAAATGTCCGGTTGTGCTTCTCGTAACGGGTTTGGATGGCCATAGACCCGATAATACAGAGGTTGTATTTCCTCGCGTATTAGCAGGTACACAACTGAACTGACGGAAACAGCGGACAGATGAACATCTTAAGCGCGGATGGGCGACAGTCATCTGCGACATCCCTGGCACCACCGTCGACTGCCCTGCCAATAAAACTGACCCTCTGTCCCCAGATCGTCTCTTCTCGTCGATTCTTGAATGGGTCCATGCACAGCCACAATTCAACTCCAAAAAGATTATCGCCTGGGGTCTGTCGGCTGGTGGTTACTACGCCATTCGTCTAGCGCATACCCACAAAGATATGCTTACAGGATCGGTAGGCCATGGCGCCGGGACCCATCATTACATTGGGCGCGAGTGGTTGGATCAGATTGCGAAACATGAGTATCCATTCGGGCTTGAGAGAGCGTATTGCGAAAAGTATGGGTACAAGGATTTCGAAGAGATGAAAGAGAAGTGTCAGAAGACATTCTCGCTGGTCAGTGGCGAAGGCGAAGGAGTGCCAGTGGTCGCGATGGGAATGAAGAGTTGCCGAATGTTGTTGATTAACGGAGTTTTGGATGGGTGCATGCCAGTGGAGGACAGTATGTTGTTGGCAGAGTACGGAAGCCCGAAAGAGATGCGATTTATTCAAGAAAGATTCCATATGGGGTATCCGGAGGCGAACTCAGTAGTCTACCCATGGATGGAAGAGGTCATGTCGTAAGGCGGATTGAGGCCAGCCAAGAATCCCCAATGATAAAGCAAAGGATCTATCAATATGTTCTGGATATATTTCCCGTCGTGGGTTCTGGAGCCTAGAATTCATTACTAACGAAACTTAGTGCAGCGTGTGCGGTACGTTATATCACAAGTATCAGAAAAGCGCTTATTATCCCGGACATTGGCGTCCCAAGAACTGCGCCAACATTTGCACCATAGCATCTCCATGCTTTCTGAAGTCACTCGCCCCCATTCCTAATATTTTTCCAATCTGTCTTCCTCTCTCACTTCCCGTTCCTCTGTGTAACATTGAACTCCATCCGGGTGTACATCTCCTCGCCGAGATTCTCATCTCCACTTTGGTCGTTGGAATCGCCCCTGCGCATGCTTTCGTCCGTCTAGCCTCTCTCCCTCTTTTAGCAGCCATCCTATGGCGATGTGTTCCCAGGTGCATGGGGCATATGGCCCGGATGCCATGAGATTTAATGCTTGGTGGCTATGCGATATCGTTCTATATGTAATACATCGATATTGTGCTGCTGAGCTGATGGGACTTTAGTACTGGCATCTTGTGGGTGGTTTGAAGCTTGCGTCCGAATTAAATAAAGAGACTGGGGAATCTACGGCGCAGCTTACGTTCACCAGTAAGGCGGAAAATAAAATAATCGAGGATCGGGGTAGTAGAGGGCTCGAAAGAGTGAAGTTCGGGTTCTAGGTGCCGACAAATTGGAGATTCGTCAACACGCCCTACGCAGCCAAGAACATCCCAAGGTTCTCTGACTACGACATAGGTTACATTCTAAATCGGAAGGTGTTCTTACTGCCCACCTTAGGAGTCATCGAGATTTCCTATCCCGTCTTAGACGTCTCGGGGCTAGCTCTGACATCGAAGTCACGAACAAACTTTTCTCCTTCCACAAGATACCTGTCTTCACTAGACATAGCGATTTGATCACCACCGAAGAAATAGTGATTCTGTTCTTTGCCACAAGATGCTTAGGATTAGGCGTGAATTTTGTGGAAAGGGGGGCATACAGCATTGTCGCTTTCTTCGCAGCTGGACTAGGTTTCGATGATCCGAGGGACTTGCCTCCTTTCTATAACCCTTACTCTGAAATCTATTCCATTCGGCAACTTCAGAGGTAGGAATTCCTCCCACTCTCTGTTGTTTGATAATTGGAGTCACCAATCTGACGGTCACGTAGCGTCTTCTGGTACTAAACGAAACCCCATTGAGTTTCTTCTGTTTGTCATTTCTTGTTACTTGGGATTTCGAAACTTAGGAGAGGAAGTGTGATTCCCAGAGATTTGAGAGCCTTTACTACGTTTCTGGTCTCCGGAGTCATGCATCTTGTTATCGACATTTCGGCTGGTATTCCCATGAGCAAAGGAAGTAGCAAAATCCTTGGCGAGTCCTACCCACACGCAAATGATTAACAGGTCTAAGCAAAACTGAAAAAAGCAGGATTTCGGCCAAAGTTCACGTCGAGCGAAGATTAACTCGGTGACGGCGACATCGCTATCTTTGACTGAGGCCATATATAATACCTATCGGAACCATCCTCCCATTCCAATCGTAAAGCCTTAGCTGAGGAAATAACCGGAGTAACCGCAATAGTTGCAAGGCTACGCCTCAACCCCTTCGTTCTATTAATATCTTAAAATTAAATGTAGTTCCTGCTGTGTTAACATCAGTTCCATATCTTGACTAGCACCCGTGGCGTAGGTCCGAACATAAGCCCACTCAGAAGTGTGGGAATGAAAGATGACGTCTTTGTAGCAATTAAACCAGACGCGAACTTGTACAACTCCATAACTGCATACCCATCGCAAAGTATAGATTTTGCAACCTAGTTTCAACATTCCCCATGTCCTTCGACGGCCGGTATGCCGAGCATTCTTGTCACGGGGCTTCGCGTTTCAGGACCACTCGTTGATGAAACCGCCAACGCAACACCCCATCTTGGCACACCCCTGCACTTCAGCGTCCCAACCCAACCCCAATCTAATCAGAACTCCAAAATTTCCTCCTGTTCATGTATCTACTAAAGACTCAGCCATGGCAATCTCTCGACGCATGCTAATAAGCCTCTCCACGATCCTCCTTGTCTTCACCATTCTGGCCATCTCGCTTTCCACCGCTTTTCAAGCACGTCATCCCGCAAAAATCCCACAACTCACACTCGCAGAAGCCGCCAAACCAGGGCAAGCAGAGCCAGAAATCAAAGGAAAGACCAATGGGACTACCTTGGATCGTACAGACATCGATATCGAATCTGCAACATCTGTCGCTTGGGCTGCAATCATTTCCATCCCAGCGATATCACGATCGACGTCGGTTGACGAAGGATTTATCGGCCTGACGCCGACACCGCAACCCCCGCGGACAACTGTAGATGAGGGATATATCGGACCGATCGAAACGGAACAAGCACCCATCCCACCGATACCATCGCCCGCAGGCCCACAGTTCCCCATCCTCGCCCTCTCGTATACCGGGTCTGGAGGACCGAAGCACTGTCGCGGCGAGCTGATACATGAGCTGAGAATCCCGCCTCCTGCATCTGCACACAAGAATGGGTCTTGTGTCGACTTGCCTACTATGGCGCGTTGCGGAGTGTTCTTTGCTGGGAAAGACGATAATTGCGAGGCAGAGTTGTTTAATATGCCGGGTTGTTTGAACACAACGAGGTCCTATGTGAATACGGTTGTGTTTATGCCGGAGGAGAGGGTAGTTGGTGCGTTGTGGAAGAGTATGTGGGTCAGGTGTGGAATTGACGCACCAGAGGCTGGGTTGTTGGATCCGAGTGTTCTAGGAGACCTGCTTGTTAAGCCAGGTGGGTGAGTTAGGAGGAGGCGTGACCACGATGACCAATTCGGAATGCTGCTATTGGCAACCACCTTCGATCTAGGGCCATAGGCAACCCTGTTCACTTCATACCTTGTGCTTGGTCCTCTTTGAGGCCTCTCTCAATGGATTAGCGTGGTGGAATCCCACAAGGTTAACAGACTTGCAGAGGGGAGGGAATGTACTACAGGTGGGAAGTTGACGAAAGAACAGTGGAGGGGTAATATCATTGAGGAAAGGGGTAGGGAGAAATACTGAGACTAAGTAACAACTTCGTAAACATCTGATGGCAAATGTGAAAGATTGAGGAAGTATTCAATGACGAGATATCCACGCGTATGAGGGCAGACAAGAAAATAGAAGAAGTAAAATCGCAATAGGGAAGAAAACAAGAAAAATCCCCACAACAGGGTAGAATTGCCAGAGTGGTCATCAGGCCAGGGTATCTGAGATAACAAAGCAGAATATAAGCTGACCTACGTTGCGCAGAATTTCTTCCTAACATCCTAGTTATAGGCATAGCTCTAGGGTTAGCTCCGTGGAAGATGTTCATTATAACTCTATGGAGGTAAATTTGTCATCTCAATCCTTGTTTTCCCCCTTCTGCTCCCCTATATATGTTTTGTACTTATTTAATAGAATTGTGAGGAAATGAGGAAAATAACAACTCTGTTGCCCTTTCCTTGTAAATACTTATATAACCAGTGCGAAGAGTTGTTGTAAGGCCGAGATGGCCCTTACGCGCGACGGGTATATATACTATTCTGTACGCAGAATCAACTGTTAGTTGATTATTCGAACCTTTTTGGTTGTATTGGTGGAGTGGTATAGAGCCTTGTCCTTATAGTTGTTGCGTGGTAAGGACGGAAGTTACATTTGTCTACGCCCTTATGGGACCCGTGGCCCATCTAAACTAGCATCTAGTTGGAGTTAAGGATGAAATAATTCATGAGATAATATTCAAAATGTATATACAGGATCAGAAGGTCGCCTTCATCTCCCACCCCTCGCAATGGATCCGTTTTCGATTCAATCGTCCGCGTCTCCCTTACCCTCAACTAACTTACTCTTCTCCGCAATCTTATAACTCAAACTCTGCAGCGAAGAAGCTTGGAGAATCTCAAATACAGGAACATCTGCCTTCATCTCCCGCCCCAGCCAGTTTCTTATCTCAACAGCAACTAGAGAGTCAACACCATACACGCTCGTCGGCGCCGAGGCATCCAACTCTTCCATTGGAATCATCAACGACTTGGAGAGCTTCGTCAGCACAGCCTCGAGCACAACAGCGGCACCTTCGGTCAAGGACGTCGACTCCTTCAAGCGCTGCGAAATGGAGGGTCCGGCATTTTTGTCAGACTCGACAACGCGAGCCCGCATTTTGTGGAGATGTGAAAACGATGGTTCGCGGAACCAATGTGGAATCTCGCCCTCGGAACGGTCGAAATGTGCTTGTGTGCCAACGCCGGTCACAATTTGAACTTGCTTGCCAGTCATCGCGATTTCGAGCATAGCGAGGAATTCAGCTTCTTCGATTTGAAGGAATCCCCAGCGTGCTAGGTTTCGTTCAGCAGCGCCTTGATTTTCGGCTACGTAGCCCACGGATCTAACCATGCCAAGATCAATCGTTGTGGCAGGAAGACCGCGAGCGACGCGGTAGTGGGCAAGGGCATCTTGGAATGCGTTGGCAGCGGCATAATTGCCCTGGGATGTGTCTCCGACCATGCCGGCTGCTGAAGCAAGCATCACAAAGAAGTCGAGGGGTTGCGAGAGAGTTGCTTGATGAAGGTTCCAAGTGCCGTGTACTTTCGGTCGAACGACCTTGTGGAAAACATCTAACGGCATATTATCAAAGATACGGTCCTACATTAGGTTAGACATTTAACGAACATAAAAGGGGACGGACACTCACTTCAAGATGCATAGCAGCTTGAATGACGCCTCGAATTGGAGGCATTGTCTCCCTGATCTTGGCAAGTCCCGTTTTCAATTCGTCCTCGTTGATGATGTCACAAGCAACAGGTTCGACGCGGACGCCAAGTTCCGAAAGCTCTTTGATGAGGGTCTGTGCAGCTTCGCTCCCTCCACCTGAGCGAGAGAGCATGATCAAGTTCTTCGCACCTCGAGTTTGCATCCAACGGGCCATGCTTCGGCCGAGGCCACCAAAGCCACCCACAATCAGATAGGAAGCATTGGCCTTGAATTGGAGGCCTTGATCAGGCCGTGGAACAACCTATCTAGGGTTAGGGTCTTCTAGATAATTGTAGAAGATGAACCTACTGGTACAATGTCGTCCGCCTTGGGCTCCAAAATGATCTTGCCCATATGCTTTCCAGCTTGCATGTATCGAAAAGCTTCTTCAATCTGAGAGAATGAGAATACCTTGATTGGGGACACCTCTCCGATATCTCCGTTGTGCAAGAGTTTCATCACCTATACCATATTAACACGAGAAGCAACCGTAGATATTTGCACATACCTCAGACAGAAGCTCTGCGCCAAGTGCTTTCCGATGGCGGAAGATTACAGTAAGATCAACAGAAGCAAAAACTACGTTTCGGATGAAGGGTGCCATGTCTAGTCGAGTATTATCTTCAATGTCCTTTTTACCAATCTCGACGAAACTGAGAAAGTTAGCATGTGTTGCTTCCTGAATAAGTCAGTTTACTAACCGGCCAAAGGTGGCAATGCATTTCCAGGTTGCCTTGAGAGCCTCTCCTGCAAGACAATTGAGCACGACGTCAACTCCCTTCCCTCCTGTCATACGTTTGATACCCTCGGCGAAGGAGAGATCTCGACTAGAAAATATGTGATCCTCAGGAATGTTATACGTCTTCATTATATGCTCCTTCTTTTCCTTTGTGCCAACAGTCACATATATTTCGGCGTCGAACAGCTTACAAAGCATGATTGCAGCCTGACCGACACCACCAGCAGCTGCGTGAATCAATACAGACTCGCCTTTAACAAGACGAGCCATGTATATTAATCCGTAGTAGGCAGTGCAGTAGACAATCGGCAAAGACGCAGCTACATGGTAAGGCATACTATCCGGGATGCGTTGGACGAGAGCAGCAGGGTTGTGCAAATAGTTGCAATAGGCTCCGAGAGTCCAAGTCGTGACACGATCGCCGATCTTGAGTCTTGTTACTTCAGTGCCAACCCTGGTCACAACTCCACTACACTCGCATCCCAAAAAGTCATCGACAAGTTGGCCCATGCTGACCATGATGTCGCGGAAGTTCAAGCCGGCAGCCTTCACTTCAATCTCAACATAATCTGGGGCAACAGACTGTGACGCAACATAGTCATCCTTGAATACAAGGGTATCAAGAAGTCCAGGCGTTTCGATTGCAAGAGTAAGGGGTCGTCCTGGCTGATAGAATGGCTGCGGCTCGGGGGCACGGCGGTCGGTATTAGTCTGGCCAGCGATCTGGCTGTTAAGACTAGCAGCTTCAACGCAGCGTTTGATGAATAGCAGACCATGTCTTTCTGAATATTCAAAATCGGTCGACTTTCTTTCCATGTACACACTTCTGAAGACCTTCATAAGAAGCGATACAGCTTGCGTCGGAGGAAGAGGGTTCTCCGCGGAATAATCGAACGAAACAAGTGGGAATCCTTCATGTTCTGCTCGGAGAGTTCTTGCCAACCCATGCATAAGGGCGAGATCTGGTCGAGCTGCCTCTTGGCAGGCGCCCTTAGTCAGCCAGAGCAGACCTGATGATTCATGAAGAATGCGCTTGAGAGTCCCAAAGTCTTGGGAGCTGATGTCGCGTAGCAGCGGCTGGTCGAGTTCGGCAAAGGAAACGATGACTTTGTTTGCGATCTCTAATTCCGCGAGGCCTGCAAAAGAACATGTCGACACATTTATTTGGTTAGCCGCTAGTTCTGTCTGCAATTCGTCAATTAAAGGTTGGCTTTGGAAAGTATTGCCACTGTGAACGAGAATGATAGACGAAGGACGTTCCTGAGGAGTTTCTCCAATAGGCAGGCTCTCGATAGCTTCAGTGATCATGAGTCGTCCAGTTTGGTCACGGGGATTCTGGTGGTCCGGTGTGCTGGACAACAGGGGTCCAAATCTAGTCTCTCGCAAGACTTCTGTCCATTTCTCTTCGGTCATAGTCGGACCCCATTGTCTATAACTCTCCTCCGATAACCACCACCCTGGCAGACATCCAAAGGGGAGGAAGACACGGTTGAGAACATGGGTGATCTCTAGTAGCAGTAGTTTGCCGCCTCTGAAGAAATCAGACATGTGCAGTCAGAAAGGAAGGTGTTAGATGGAACTCACGGCTTGAGGAGTTTTCGAGTATTCTCCAGGGTGTTTTTAATATCCTTGGTGGCGTGAAGGACATTGAATGCCATGATCACGTCGAACTGCTTTCCCTCGAAGCCTTGCTTGTCAGGATCAGTCTCGACATCTAACTTACGGAAGTCAATCAGGCCCTTCCACTCCTTAAATTTTTCCTCGGCCTTTTCGAAGAACCCGGAGGATATGTCGGTATAAGTGTATGACTTGAATCGCGGATAAGTGCCTTTACTGCCCCCGAGGGCCCCCAGGATTGGGACAGTAGCACCTCCCGTGCCAGCTCCAATCTCCAAGAATTCAAGATCAGGGTTTTTATTCGACATGAGAGTTATGTATCTAGCCAGCTGCGAATATGAGGTGGCTATGCCGAGGGAGTTCGCGTAGTAGTCGTAGAGTAAACCACCATCAAGCATCCTATTTAATCATTAGTTATGGTACAAGTCAATTAAGATTAGTGGCCTCACAGAGCTAGGGGATCAACTTCCTGTCGCAGTACTGAAGTAAGTCGGTTTCCCATTCGGCACAAAAGCTGACCCTCATGGTCAGTACCTTCAATACGTGCAATGAGTTGCTGCATCTTCTCTTGCACTTCAGGCTCATCAAACCGAAGCCAGTCCTCATTTTGATGCTCTACTTTGCCTTGTTTTACCAAGTCGTGTTGATGCTGCATGTACCGAAAGTACTTCTGGTGGTGTGAGGACATTGAATTCACTTCCTCATCCTTGATATTACGGATGACCTGCTCATAGAAATAATGTGCCACCATTTCAAGTTGAGCAATATATTCAGAAGGAGTGTCCTCAGCACCACCAGTGCAAAGGACCTGCTCCATCTGAGGCTTGTCCAGAAATTCGAGATCTGGTTCCCAAAGTGGGTCGAAGCATAGCTTCTTAGATTCGGACAGATCGTCATCGTCAGACCCTCCAGAGCTAGTCAGTGCGGTGCACTTGACACCCTCGATACGGAGGACGGGCTCAGGCGAATCCTCGTCAAAGACATGAACAGTGGCAGCAGCTTCGCGGAAACCAACAAATGCAGCTTTGGATAGTGCTCTGAATTTTTGCCCTGGCACGTTGGAAATCTTGCTGGAGACATAGAGCTCCTGTACAAAGGTTGGCATGTATGGCTCTTTGACGTTTGTCGCTACATCGATCAACGCGGGGAAAAGTATCTGAAGGAAAGTATCCATAGTGGCAGGATGCAGAAGATGATCGTGTTCGTACTGGTAGGGCATGACGCTCTTTGTGTCCGGGATCTGAAGCATGCCAAAGGCTTGGCCGGATCCATGAGATACTTCAATGAGATTCCGGAAAGTCGGCCCATAGTCGAGACCGGCTTTAGATAAATCCTCATAGACCGTATCAGGCGACGTTTTAGTAGTGCAAACACAAGCAGCAGTCTCGAGTTCTTGTTGGTACTTTTTCAACGCTTCTCGTTCCTCAGTCCCAGCGTCAACCTCGGATGTTGTATGAATATATTTCGTTGAGATCAAACCGCGACAATGTTCACTCCAACCATCTTCCCTCCAAGAAAAAAGCCTGAACTCATTCCACTTGTCCGACGACGATTTGGAACAGGTGTTGAAAGGTCGAAGAGAAAAGATGGTCTCGATGCCTGTTTCAGCTTGGGGGACTACCAAAGCTCGCGAGATGATGAGCTCCTGTATCGTGAAGCCGACGACTCTATCGACATCAGAAGGAAGAACCATTTGTCTCGCGGCTTCCAAAGCCATACAGATGTATCCTGCGCCGGGGTAGACGATCGATTCTTGAACTTGGTGGTCCCTGACCCAAGGTTGCTCACCAATACGAATGAAGTTTCTCCAACGAGGTTCAATGGGGTTCCAGTCAACCGTCGGGGCTCCGAGGAAGTCGTTTCTTGGGACCTTACGATGTAGATAATCCTCGCTTAGTCTTGACTCTGCCCAAAACTTCTTATTGTGGTTCCAAGGGTAAGATGGTAGATCAACCAGCACTTGGGGTTTCAGGTGCTCCTCACCAGGGAAGTTGACCTTCTCGATGTCCACAGGACAGCCCTTGGAGTGTAGCACAGCAGCGACTTCAAGGGCAGTTTCGCAAGCATCTTGACCGCGAACCAAGGCTGACTGGTACGCAATTCCCGATTTCTGGAGAGCAGGAACGACTAAAATCTGCTTAATAGGACCAGCAAGCGCGGAGTGAGGCCCTATTTCTACCAAGATATCTACGGTGGCTTTGTTTCGTAGTCTTTGGCTTCTACCAGACTTGGCCACAGTGCAGAGCGAGGCTAGACCATCCGCGAATCGAACAGGTGAGACCATATTTCGAACCCAGTAGGATGCATCGAATGACTCATAGCCCGCATCCATCCCGGTGACCGTAGATATCATCTCGACGGACCGTCGTTGGTCTGGGGGTCGGACCTCAAGACCAGCGAGTGTGTCCAGATATTGCTGAGAGACTAGTTGCATGTGATGAGAATGATAGGCGGCGTCGACCATCAACTTGCGGGTAAAGATCTTATCTTTATCAAGAGCATTTTTGATCTCATCAATGGCGCTTTCATCGCCCGAAATCGTGACATTAGACGGCGAATTGATACAAGCAACAACGGCTTTCCCAAAATTCGAATCGAGAGTCTTGACGCGTTCCTCTGCATCTTTAACTCCCAGGCCAGCCGCAAGCATTGCACCGGGTTCCTTAGAGATATCCTTAACTTGGGATGATAGAAGACCACGATAGTAGGATACTTTCATAGCGGACGTAAATGGTAAAGCACCACATGCGTATGCAGCAGCGATCTCACCACTTGAGTGACCAATGACTCGCTGTGGGGATACTCCCCAGCTCGCGTAGAGGTCAACCAAGGCGAGCTGAACGGCGGTGCAGAGAGGTTGGCTGATGAGTGCCTCGTTGACGCGAGAGTTCGCTTTGTCTTTGGTGAGTTCCTCGACCAACGACCAGGGTGCCCCAAATGAGGAGACCGCCTTATCTGCCTCATGAATACTTTCTGCAAAAATAGGGTATATCGAGATAAGTTCTCGGCCCATTCCCCACCACTGGGCCCCTTGACCGGTGAAGACAAACGCTATTCTAGGGGCTTGCTTGTCGGTTCGAATTGGCTTTTGTCGAGAAGACCTCAATTTCGTAACAAGATCATTGACTGACTTGGCAATAATGTGGCATTTTAATGGCAGCTGTGAACGACGCTGGAGCGTATATGCCAAATCATTCAAGAAAATTCCTTCATCGATCTCCTTACGTGTCTCAAGGGCGTTTGCATACGCCTGGGCGTTATTCTTCGCAACCCCCTCTTCATGGGTTGCCCACTTGAAAATGCGATAACGGTCTTTAGGAGGCACCCCGATGCTTGAAACTGGAGTATGATGCCCGCTGCCGTACCCATCGTCCGATCCGATACTAGATGAGCTTGATGAGGAGTCGATATAGGCGTTCCCATTGCTAATTGGTTCATCTTCGAGAAGTAACGGCTTTCGCGAAGTTCGGTGTGCAGCTTTAAGGCCTCTGCTTTTGAGATAGTGGTAGGCGTCATCAAGAATGACGTGAGCATTGGTTCCGCCAAATCCGAATGAGTTGATACTGGCTCGCCGAACGCCTCTCATCGGCCAGGGTATGAGCTCAGTAGGTACCTTGATCCGCCATCCTTCGAAATCAATGCGTTCATTGCCTTTCTCAAACCACAAGTTAGGAAGAATCACGCCTCTTTCCAGACTCAAAACAGTCTTGATGAAACTAGCCAGTCCACTAGCTCCCTCTAAATGACCGAGATTTGTTTTGACAGATCCGACATAAAGCTTGCCATGATCTCCCTCTTGACGATATTTTGCCAGTGTTGAACCAATAGCCCCGGCTTCCTAAAATAGAATTAGCTTAAGCGAAGCATGAATACAGCTGGAAATGTACTTACCAGGGGATCACCTGCTGGGGTTCCGGTGCCATGCGCCTCGAAGTAGCCGACGGCTGCAGGATCACATCCAGACTCGTTATAGGCCATTGTGATCAACTCTTCTTGCGCTTGTCGAGATGGCAACATGATCCCGGCTGTTCTTCCGTCCTGGTTGCAGAAAGTTCCACGAATAACGGCTCGGATGGTATCGTTATCTCTCACGGCGTCCTCAAGAGGCTTCAAAATGATCGCAGCGATGCCTTCCCCACGACTGTAGCCATTGCTTCGGTTGTCATAGGTGTAGCATTTGGAATCCGGACCCAGAAAGTGGACATTTGACATGGCGATCATGACGTCCGGGGAGAAGATGAGATTCGTCCCACCAACAATGGACATTTTGCTCTCACCATTCCGCAAACTTTGACATGCGAGGTGCAGAGCAACCAAACTGCTGCTACAGGCAGTGTCCACTGTCAAACTAGGTCCTTTCATATCAAAGAAATAACTAACACGATTCGAGAGAATAGCGGCACCATTCCCAGTCGATACATATACTGGGGCTGTTTCCGGGTCACGGGCAAGAAGCTCATTGTAGTCGCGAGAAAAGCAACCAACGTAACAGCTGGTATTGGACCCTGCAACATCTTCCATTGGAACGCCAGCGTTTTCCAAGGCTTCGTAGGCTGATTCCAACACCATCCGTTGCTGCGGATCCATGGCCTTAGCTTCCGCAGGGGAAACGGAAAAGAAAGGAGCATCAAAAGCTGCGATGTCATCTTTCACAAAATGTGCCTTTCGCACGTTAAAAGTACCATTCCGATCGGGGTCCGGATGATAGAAAGCGTCGATGTTGAACCGAGATTTTGGGATCTCCACAAGTCCAGATTTCCTACTCGAAAGCTTAGCTAGAATAACGAAATATAAAGGAGCATGTTGTCCTACTTCCGAGCGAGCATCTCCCAGAGAGCTTCTGGAGAGGTAGCATCTCCGGGAAACCTGCATGCCATACCAATGACAGCAATAGGCATGAGCTTGTCTCGCCCCAGGATTTGGGACATCTCAGGCTCATGGTACCAGCTAGACTCATTGGGAGTCTTGGAAGGAGACATGGTGGTTGCGACGTTGAGTCGAAAATACAATTATTGTACAAAAAGAGAGAGACGGGGATTTTGGTTGAGCTACATGAAAGCACTCAAGCCATCTTTAGAGAGACTTAAGAAGTTTTCCTTCTTGAAGATAGCTGTAAATATCGCCGGGCGGAGGGTTTACCTTGCCCATGAGCACTGATTGCATCCAGCTCCGTGGCTGGGGAGGCCAAACCGGTCCGGTGGGGTCTGAACGTGGCCATGTGGGCATACATACGCGCACGAGGTTGAGTCCCGACGATACTAGTTCATGCAGAGGTAGATGCCAACAGATGCGAACGCGACGAGAGGAGTGGTGCGGGTGGTTGACGAGGGGGTGAGGACGCATCTCACGCCACACTCCGTTTGTCGAATCTAGCTTAGTAGAGCTTGGCAGGGGCCTCCCTAAATGGCAACGCCCCATCATAGTGGATCTCTAACTCGCCTTCCACATCCCCAGTTCCACGGTTGGTTATCCTCGCGATGAAGCTTGTTAGAAGTCCTGGTCACGCCAGCCAGTTCAGAACCGTTGCGGCAGCCTAGCGCCAAGCCGGCGAGTTTTTATCCACATAGTGCCCCCCGACATGGGCCTCTTCCTGCGGGCCTTGCCTCATTCCTAATACAACCGTATGTATATAAAGCCAACAACTGATGGAGTAAGGGAACTAGGCCCGTGTTCTAGTCACGCCACATCTTCATTGTGCTACAACCACCATGGAAGACCAGCCTCTAACTATCCTCCTGGTAGTAGGAACAGGCGGATTTTCGCACGCCGGTGAGTACTAACCGCTCGTGTTGGAGATCGATATATCTGACTGCTGCTGGCGTAGTTCCGGTACTCGAATTAGGGCGAATTCTCCATGACCGGGGTTATCAGATCGAGTTTGCGACACACCAAACTCAGGAACAATGGGTAGAAACGCCATACTATTCCTTTGTTTCGGAGGTTCACGCCATGGGTCCACGGATGCCTGCCGATGTTGAGGATCGCCACTATTTTGAAATGCAAAATTCGGATATGAGGAAAGACTTCGGAGCCGTCTTCAAGCCAAAACACACAGTAGATGCGTTTTGGACATCAGATTATGCGTATCTAAAAGATACAATCATCCCCAAGTGCAACCCAGCATTCATCGTAGCGGACTTTTTCGTTGATGCAGTTAAAGATATCAATCACCAGCTTGGAATCCCCTTCTGCCATGTCTGGCCTCAGATGCCCTACGGCTTCTGCAGTGTACCCTACATCCCGGGTATTCCCGGATTCCAAGTTGACGCATTGAGCAGCGAACATGCATCTATTTGGACAAGGCTACGAGCTGAACTGAGACCCCTTCGGGCACTTCCGGCAATCCTGCGTTATCTGCGTTTTGTCAAAAACATGCGAAAGGCTTCAGGGGTGTTCTACGCGATCCCAATTTTCAACAAGCCTAGCTGGTTGATCCTAGTAAATTCATTTTGGGGCTTGGAGGTCCCCAAGGAATTACCACCCTTGGTTGCTGCAGTTGGTCCCATTCTTCCGGAACAGTATCCGCCGCTCGATGAGGCCTTCGGCGAGTTTCTAGCATCTCGGCCGAAGGTTGTTTATATTGCGTTTGGGTCACAGTAAGCGAGATATTTCGCGAAACAATTCAAACTGACGTAGATACAAGCATTCGAATCCTTCCACCGGAGCTCGCCAAGTTCATAGAAGCACTTTCTTTACTCTTACGCGAAGGTCTTATCGATGGTGTGATCTGGGCGGTTAACGCCCCGCAGCGGAAGCTATTCAACAGGGATGAACAGGTCCCAGGGGAAGATTTCAACGTGGGGACTATGTTGGACGGAAAGCATCGCGCCTGGATGTTCACACCTTTTGCTCCACAACGGGCTATATTGGAACATCCACATACAGTCCTCTTCATTAGCCATGGCGGAGGATCTTCTGCAAATGAAGCACTGTATCACGGAACTCCGCTGCTGGTCCTAGGCTTCTTCTTTGATCAACCGTTGAACGCCCTCCGTCTCACCGACGCTGGGGTTGCTTTGACACTCGATAAGGCTGGATTCACAACAGCAGAAATTGTTTCAAAAATACGGCAGATCCTTGAAGACAAACTCGGCTTGTTTGCGAAGGATGTCGCTCGTATGCAAAAAATCACTCAAGCCTCATCTCGAAAGAAACAACATGGTAAGTCAAATTCCCGCCAAATGCTGAATGAGAAAATAACAACGAATAGCCTGCGATCTGATCGAGGAAATGATGTGGGACCATCACTTCAGCGTCGAGCCATCCCCCACGGAAAACGGCCCCAAGCGACGCAGACCCATGCATTTTCAAACTGCTGACATGCGGATGTCCGCGTGGAAAGCTAGGAACTGGGACCTTGCAGCTGTTAGCCTTGTGGGCTCCTGCATAGTGGTCGGCGTCGGGGTTGCAGTTAGCATGGGGGCTTGGGCTCGCAGGGTTCCCTCTCTGCCAACCAGTTGGTACCTTAAATCCTAGGAACACCAACAGTGCCTCGTGCGCCGGGATGTTGAAAAGATTAGCGAATAGGGCGGATATCTAGAGTTAATCCTTCAGTAGCTGGAATTCACCCCTTAGCTTGTTCCGCTGTCTTTGGGTGAATCCCTGAGTCTAGGCAATTCATCGGATAGCTTCGTCCTTTGCATGCAACTGCCCTGTCCAGAGCTCACATCGTCTTCCCCTCCTCCAAATTCCAGGATAGTTCAGTAGACATTCAACATGCGTTATCTCTGTCTCCATGGCATGGGCACAAATGCCAACATCTTCGATTTTCAAACAGGTACTCCTGCTGTGAATAGATCTTCCTTACAACCATATCTAATGTCCATTGTAGGACCCCTCCGCCACGCTCTTGGTACCCACGATGAATACCAGTTTTACGAGGGCGATCACGACATTGAGCCTGCCCCTGGCATATCCAACCTGTTCCCACATGAAGCAACAAAAGCATGGTACGCTCCATCTCTAGGCTCCCACACCCATTCCGAAGCCAAAGAGTTTATCCGTGAGATCATCGAAACGGAGGGTCCATTCGATGCATGCATCGGATTCTCCCAAGGTGCGGCTCTGCTCGCAAGTGTGATCTTAGATCATCAAGAAGAAAATCCGTTTGGCGAGGGGCTATTCAAATTCGCGGTCTTCATCTGCGGGAGTAGTGGTTTGAGTGTTTCCACAACCACCTCGGGGGCTTCGACGCCATTGCGTTCGGGTGCAAATTCCCCCTTTTCGCAATCCGCGACTTCTCTGACGTCTGATGATGGGGAGTGGAGCAAGATTGATCCTGTGCAGCTCAAGCTAGACGGGAAGAGGATTCGCATCCCGACAGCTCATATTTACGGTTCAAAAGATGATGCATATGATGAGAGCCTACGGTTGCGGGATATGTGTGAGGAGAGCGGAGGTCGGAGGGTTGAGTTCGATCACAGGGGAGGGCATGAGATTCCGAGGGATCGGAAGACGACTATGGAAATGATGAGGGTGGTGCAGAGGGTTATTGGGAAGGTCATGGCGAGTTGCTAAGTCGTTGGAAATCCTTATATAGATTAGATCATACTGTGTGGCATATTGTCAACGCTCATGTTTGTAACTCTCCAATGTCTATGATTTACTATGATCCCAGATTCACAGCAATGATTCTACCTACTATCTCACGCTATTCCACTGCCTCTAGGCTCAGCCATCTGCAACTCACTCCCATCCATTCTACCGCATTTTTCTCCCTCGTGGTCATTTCTGGACCCATTACTTACTTCCTTTCCATCCGCATCATCTTTTGACTCCCCAAGTGTATCCTCCCCTTCTCCATTCCGCTCATTCTCTCCCTCGGCCTCTTCTCCGTCCTCCTCACTCTCATCACCCTTCCTCAAACCCCTCCGAATTAACCCTGCGAGCACCAAACCAGACGTTACCACTCCCAAACCCGCAAACCCACTCAGTGCCTGAAACTGATGGTTATAAGTCTCTGCATACGCGCCCACAACCTGCAATCTCAAGTCCGCAGGAAGCCCTTTCAATATAGCTACAGATTGGTGCAAAGCCGCTATCTGCGTCTCTGATAAGAATCTAGGCAAGGAGTCGGAGAGGTCCGCGTTCTGGACGGATGCGCAGATCGCAAGACCAATGCAGCCACCCAAAGTGCGGGCCATATTCATAGCACCCATTATAGATGCTTTTTTTATTCGTTAGCGGGGGATACTGAGAGGGTAGAGGATGATGTAGGTTGACTTACCAACATCTTTATCTTCCACCTCAACCTTCAAGAGATACATTAGAGGCGGCATAAATAGCCCGACCCCAACACCAAGAAGTGCCTGGTATCCAAATTGCGCATTGGAGATTTTGGTCCCAGTGGGAAGGCTGCCGAGAAGCGCCATCGCGATGACAGTGAAGATGCCACCAATGAATGTAAGATATCCGGATGTGGATCCCTTTTTACCGACTGCCGCACCAGCAAGGAGCGCGAAAGTGGGCGAGACTAGAGTGAAAGGTAGAAGCAAGACTCCTGCGCGAGAGGCCGACACGCCGTTGACAGCTTGGAAACGCTGTGGGATAGTAATGATAGAGCCATAGAAGGAAAATCCGAGCGCAAACATGGATCTAGAGATATCAGTATGCGGAATAAGCGGAATCATAGAGATGTTAGAAATACAGGATCATCATCGTCACTACTAAACTCCTGAAAGCGTTTACCGGGAATATTGTCTCTTTCTTATCCCGTCGTGATTCCCACCATTGGTGAAGAGCGAAAAGAACGATACCACATGATCCGACTGCCAGTGTCCCGATAATCGTGCCACTGCTCCATGGATATTTTGAACCTCCTTGTTGTAAGGCAAAGACGAATGGGATTGCCCAGGCTATGCATATTACAGAGCCGATATAATCCACTCGTTTCAGGCGCTCAGTGTCCCATATTCGTTCCTGGGAGGGTGGCATGGCATACAAGAGGAGGGCTATTGCGACGCTGACACCCGGTGCACTTCACTTTTCATCAGTATTGGGGATTCCTTAATTGTATGAGTAGACTTACTTCAGCCAAAATATCCATCGCCAAGTCGTATTAACAACGATGACTCCACCAAGTATTGGGCCCAACAAGCTCGCCAAAGCGAAAACAGAACTTAAAACACCGCTGTATAGTCCAAGTTGATTCATCGGCACAATCTTCGCAAGAACCACAAACACCAACGAGTAGAGACCAGAGCCTCCGATTCCTTGCAGCGCGCGAAAGATGATCAATTGCTCCATCGTTTGCGATACAGCGCATGCGACCGAGAAGACGCCAAACATGACATTGGCTAAAATGAGTAACACTTTAGTGCCAAAGGTATCACTGAGTTTCGACCATACGAGAATAAATGCTGAGCCTTTGTCAGAAAGCCTCCTGCAGAATATCCTACGTTATGAATTGGGGCCCTACAATTATAGGTCAAGAGATAAGCTACTACTATCCACCCTGCATCTTTCAAAGAATGGAGGCTGCTGGAAATACTCAGCAAAGCTGTTGATACGATACTTGTCTCTAAGGCTGAGAGAAAGAGGCTGATCCAAAGCCCAAAAACGGTAACATTCAGGCGGAGGGAACCGAGGTGAGAGCCCGGCTCTGGGCGGCCAGTGGCGTCAGACATTCTGGGGAAAATCGAGTTGAGTTGCAACGGTCGAAAGGGGTGGCGGGATTCGAGCCCGTAGCCAGCGAGAGATATCGATGATCAACAGTTCCAAGCAAATGCGGCGAAAGTGGGTTCTTCATGTTCTCGTCTGTGCGCATGGCGTGAGTCCGAGAGACCCTCCTAAAATAACTTGCCGAAAAAACCCACCGAGATTGAGTAGCGGACCCAGAGGGCCTGCCCTGGTAAGCTTGTCAAGCTGGTGCCATTCTCCAGTCTACAAGGCTGACAATCGTCCTATATTGATTTCGTGCATACAGTATACAAAGCTGCAATTAGGGTCAAGAATGCAATGTAATCTCGACAAAAACTTATTCCTCTTCGTTAAACACATCGTCATATACAATCTTCATGTCGATTCCACATTCAGAAAGCACCGCTGCGTCTGAGGACAGCCATGAAAAGCCACTACGAGTGGTCATCATTGGTGGAGGCATCGGCGGGCTCGCCTTAGCACAGCTCCTTCGAGGCGACGATAAATTCCAGGTAACCCTTTACGAGCGAGGGGAGTTGGAGGGAGGTCAAAGTCAGCTGGCTGGCTTTCGAATCATGGTCGCATTGGAAATGCTGACAGCCCTGAGGGATCGTTTACCCAAAGATGTTCTGCCCTTGCTGGAAGAGTCAATTGGAGTGCAACCTTCTAGTGGCCAGAGCCTCTGCATGTTCAACGAGAAGGGCAAGATCACGATGAAATATACCACTCCCGATTTCAGGGCTGCTCGTTCTGTTTCGCGCTGGAAGCTGCGGAAAGCGCTACTCGTCGGATCTGAGTCCTTTGTCAAGTTTGGGAAAGAATTCGAGTCATATAAGAGCACCACCAACGGCGTTACTGTGATCTTTAAAGACGGGGAAAGAGTTGAATGTGATCTGCTAGTTGGAGCCGATGGCGCTGGATCCAAGGTAAGAAAACAGTTGCTTCCAAAGGCATCGAGGAGTGATACCAAAGTCACCGTCATCTATTTCAAGATGCCACTCACGTACGTATTCAACTGGGCTACCCACATATGATACTCTGGTGTAACATCATCTAGGCCGGAGACGGAATGTATGATGCCATACGGATCAGGATGCTTGGTAAGAAAGCCACCAATTCAGAAATCAGCTGTGCTGACAATGTAGATTATGGCCCCTCGGCGCTCCATGATTGTTTCGTCGTGGAAAAACCCAAAAAAACACTACGGTCCTGATGACCTCAAGAAGATCGACGGCGATGAGTCATTTCTTATGTGCGGCCTTGGTTGCTATACCAATGAGTTCGTGAACCAAACCAAACACCCAGATGATATGACTCCCGAAGAGCTGAAAGATGAGTGTCTGGCGCGGACTCAGCACTGGCATCCCTTGTTTCGATCACTCATAGCCAAAACAATCCCAGAATCCGTTTTCGTTTCGCACATCAAGACCCAAGACAGGATTTCTCCTTGGAAGTCGTCAAATGTTACTCTTCTTGGTGATGCTGCTCATAGGTACGTTTACATCGGCTTCATCTGGATATCCATCAGAGGTAGGTAGATTAGCAGATACGAGGACAAAGTTAACACAGCACGGCTAGCATGACCCCTTACCTTGGAAAGGGGGCAACATCGGCACTATTCGACGCACTCCAGCTCGCAAACATTTTGAAATCAGATAGCAACCCGCCGCTCTCGGCCAAGCTCGCCAGATACGAAGGAAATATGCTCAAGCAGGGCTTCTCAGTCGCAGATAAGAGTATGAGTGTCCACAAACTCGTCTTTAATATGGGCAAAAATCGGATGATGGCCAAGTGCCGAGACCGCTTTCTGTCATCGTTGGATGTAGTGGTGGGTGAGAAGGAGCCAAAGGGAAAGCCATTTCCAGGCAAGTAAAGTGGTGACCGAACAGCACGAAAGCAGCTGACAAGTTTTGACTAGTGAAGTATGCTGAGACTTGAGAGGCTGGGGATGTGTGGACCGGTGGTCTGGAGGAAGACGACACCTCGCCCCGCACTAGGCCCAGAAGGGCTTGGGAGAAACCGAGCACGTGACTCGCCATCTCATTTTTTAAATTGTTGTCTAGCTGCCCCGAGTGGGCTGTCTTACTCCTGTACATAATAATTAGGCAGAACATTAATCCAACTTAGCCGGAAAGCAATCGTGTTGGTTGCCAAGCATATGTATGCTCGCTTATCGCAGCACAACCATCACCATCAACCTCATAGCACCGCCCTGCTCGAGCGTTCGCTTACTGCACTTCGCACAATGTGACCCAATGCGTGTACTGAGTCTTCTACCAGCCACAATGAGGTGTCCCTTAGTGAAACTCGAGAGCCGTTACCCATGACACAAGCTTCGATAGCGCGACTGAAGAACTGGGCTCGCGCTGGCTCCAACGCTGTGGCTTGCAGGTATCAAGCCCTCCTGGACCCTGGCGGAAGGAACCTTTCCTCCAGCCGATCCCGGTAGTTGGGATGAGAGATCCTGGGGCTAGCCGTTGAGGAGAAGCCTTCGCGCGTCGCTCGTGAGATGTTACTGATGACAACGCCTCAAATCCCTCAACTCGATCTTATCAGCCGGCCTTTCCCTGAATGGTGTGCAGACAATGGCGTGATGTGCGGCAAGGACCTCCCAAATCTATCGAGCATTTCCCGACTCCGAAGCACATAATCTGCGCACTGACTCTACGGTGTTGGCCCTTACATCCTCTAAATCTATAACGGGCAACCTCAACAAAATCCATCACAAATAAATGGCTAGCATGAACCAACCAGAAATCCGCCCAAGATTCCTTCCCACAATTTCCGAGCTTTAGACCTTGGGAGAATATCTGAATCCCTAAACACGTGACATGTGTGGGTCTCGAGCCCAAGGGCTGGTTCCGTACAGCCGCTCCTCTTCCATTGTTGGCCTGAGCTAACCTTGTCCCATGGTCCCGCGTATTAGCGGGTCTGTGCAAGTTGCTGATGACGGAGGCCTCCACAAGGCTTCAAACGGTGGGCCGACCCTCAAATTAAGCACTCTGGTAGCATCCGATGGTATTGATCGAAATGCCGAGAAAGGAACGGCATTGACAGGCTTTCAATGGATTGTTGACATTTTAAAAATTAGCTTTGCACTTTCTGGGTTATGATACGAGCCTTTCTGGGATTCCTAACACAATCGCTGCTTAAAACTTCGTACATGCCAAGCCCTTATTCGCTCAATCACATCATCGTACGGACATGAGAAGGTCGCAATGTGCCTGAAGCTCGAAGCGTAATCCTTCATTGTTGGGACCAAACTGTGGGGTCCAGGTGCGAATATTCATATATCCCTTCCACCGGGGTTCACGCCGCACCACGTTGTTTCCATCTAATCAAGTCAATCTTGATCTCAATATCTCGGAGTTCAGTAGCATGGCAACAGAATCCTCGGCCTTGGCTCGCCGGCTTGCATGTGATCGATGCCATCTCAAGAAAACGAGGTGCTTGAGGCCAACAGGGCAGGGTCGATGTCACAGGTGTCTTCAACAAAACCTGCACTGTACCTTCAGTCCTCCAGCCAAAACAGGAAGGCCTCCGGGAACCAAGAGCTCCTCATGGAACACTCAGCAGCCAAGCCCTAAGTACAGGAACTCGCCGCCATCGTTTGATCTGGAGGGGACTGGCCATAGCTCCACGGATCGGACTGAGTACGATCCCCCCAACTGCCGGCAAGATCACGGCGAAGTCGGTCCCGAGGCTGTGCCTTGCTTCCCCTCAGAACAGTATGGAGTCGGCAATATCAACTACGCCGTTGAAGCTGGGTCCATGGAATATAATCGATCGCCAGATCTCAACCATATTCTCCTCAATATTCCGCCCGACGCAGCTTGGACCGCCTTGCCTCCATTGCATACCGACCTAATGCAACATGAGGATGTTGCTGCTTATCCATCGCCTGCATTCAACAGCTCACAGTCCAGCCCTACGGCCGCCTGGCACAGTCGTTCCCCGCCAAAATCATCCCCAGCTTTGGCCGAGCTCAATGTAAGCGACACACTACGGGAGCTATCTGATATCCAGCATGAGCTATGCGCAGCCATCAACTCCTTCCATTTGAAAGGGACCTCCCATACACTTCCCGTGTTCCTCTCCGCAAGCGAGAGAATGGTAACGCAGATCTGGCCGCACTTCAACAGCAATCCGCAAACAGCTACCTTTTTCGATAATGCATCACTCTTAGTCCTGCTGTCCGTCCTCGCAAGAGCAATCGACGCTTACACTTTAATCTGCCCCGAATCGATCAGTCGGCCGAGCAGCTTTGACAACAACGCAATGTCCTCAGACTATGATCACCAAAGGCAGAGATCTCAAGATAGTCTCTCTCCCATGTTGGACGCAACGACGATAGAAATCCAAATAGGATGCTTTTCCCCGTCTGAGCGTCTCGGCAGCTGGATTCTTATCAATACCCTTTTCTACAACCTCTGCAAACTTCACCAGCTCCTACACAATATGAGGAATCAGCTTCACTCGATCGGTTCTACCTCCCCTTGCATCATTGCCGTTTTAGACGAGCAGCTCGAGAGGTTGCGATTGACAAGAGGGAAAATGCAGGAACGTATAGGAATATTCTTCGACGATACCAAATAGACTTAGATTTTTTTTATATCCCCAACCTGTACATCCGACACACGACACTCATTCAAATCCATGTTGTTCCAATCCATGACAGGGAAATCGGTTGCAAAGCTGCGCTGATGAGGCTGGCAAAAAAGAGCGCCATATTTCAGCACTAAAAAAAATATCTCAACCTGAATCCTCTGGACCTGATAGCTGGGCGAAAGGGCCGGCAGGAAATATCACTAGCGCCTCATTCTTCGCCGTTCATATTCGCCTAGCCTATCCCGCGCTTCTGCACCTCTCTTCCACTCTACCCATGTACCCGCACATCTTATCTCCACGAAATAACTTGTTTTATCCGTCAAATCCATAAACTCGATATTTCTGGTGCCCTAATCCTCTGCCTCCCCTCCGCTTACGTCTTGTCTTTCCCATGATTCTCTAACCCGCTCAAAGTATAAAATGAAGCAAGGACCAGAATTGGCAGAGTCCACAACACAATCAACGAGATCTCCGTATGCTCGCAAAACAGCGGGCCACGAAATGATTGAGGTTCATCAAATTCGCAATGCCTAGTATGAGAAACAGCATAAATTCAAGGTCGTTTTCTTCGTGATTCCGAGAACGTTGGACAAGAGTATGCTGATCAAGATAAACCATGCTGTAGAGTAAGATCCGATCATGAAGAAGTACGCAATGAGTTGGCCGTATTTCTTAAAGGGTGTGACGCTTCCGAAACCGGTGTAAAACGAGACCCAGAAAGCGACAAGATCCTGCGGCAATCGCAGAACCCGGATGAGCCTAGCGGAAGGGATTTGGGAGGAGAGCACCAAGACTACGTAGATACAGGTCTCTCTTTTAGTTGGGATTAAGTTATGGTGGCGTGAGAGAGTTGCTTACTCTGATAACTAGGAGTGATTCGACGGCTTGGTAGCGATTTTTCTGCTTGACCCAGATCCTTGGTGGTTTTCTCTCAGCCGCTCTACACCCTCTCCTCCTCAATGAAGAACCACGCTTCAACTGCCGACGGCGCGATGAAAAACCACATGTAAATTCCGTAAGACATAGACGCTAAGCCCGCAACTAATGGAGGAATCTTCCAGCTCGAACTCACAGACTCATGTTCCGACTGGTCGTCAACGCATCCAAAGCGATAAGCCCTTCCGACTATGGTCGCCAAATCCGTGCAGGAAGACCAGAATGATTCGATCAAGATGAAGCCGTTGTTGATGTGTTTCAAGTCCACTGAGAAATTTGCGCGCCACCATTACCCCTGCGAAGTTCTCGCATGTGCACATACCGGACAGAACCACATCCTAGGCCACCACACAGTCTTCGATCCATTTAAAAGGTGGAAATGCCTGAAATGCACAATTGTGGATTAGGGCCACGATGATGCATCCCGCGTAGTAGATAGAGCCCAACTGCACAGCGATGAACAGAGGCCACTATCTTTCTGCCAGCCCATCACGCTAGCATGCGACAGCCTACTCTCCATCGAAAGACTAATTGCGGCAGGACAAGATAACCCACCTATAGCTCTACTATTAGTGCCATTAGCGGACCTCTTAAAGCACTGCAGAGGTAGCAATTAGCGAACTTTTAGACCACTCTGTTTATCTTACTAGGGATAATTAATTATCTAATACATATAGACCTTAATCCTGCTTCTCTAGAGACCTATTATCTTAGCTGTTTTAACTAGATTACGGCGTACTTTAATTAAATTGTACTACTTGTACAGATCAGGTAAGCTGTAATAGTTCCGATACGTACACCTACCTGTCGCCCTCCCTTCCATACGAACGTACACAAAATTTCACCCGTATAGACATCAAAATCACCCAATTGTACAGTACTACACCTCGTTGATCGGAATTGCGGGGCATGGCTAGACTTGGGGGGAATATCAAGACCAATTGCAACGAAACCACAGCTCAAGATACTAGACTTGAGAAGGTCTTCAGTTCGCGGACTTAGAGAAACAGCATGACTGTCCCGGAGCAAGAACTAAGTCTAAAACACCTTTCCCCATCCACCAAACTTACACCACCCAGTACGTCTACTACAACGCCGGCGGCGCTCGTGGCTCTCGCCCCATCATTCGAAGTGCTGCGGCCAAATAAACTTTCTCCTCCATCCCCATCTCCAATGTCTCTAGCCTCTTCTTTTCCAACCCTTCAGACCAGAAGAACGCCACCGACGAGTTCGGCAAAACCTGTCGACAAGTTGGATTCTTCTACACAGAGAACCCCGACATCCCCCGCCAGTGTAATCTCAGAGACTTTTGATGCCGTGAAGAAGTCCTTCGCGATGCTGATTGAGGATAAGATAGAGGTTCATTTGCATAGGAGCAAAGTTCTGAGGAGTTACGAACCGCTGTATGAGACGAAGATGGAGGGCACGGGACAAGGAGGTATGGTAGAATTTTCAAATCTACAGTACATAGAGTCTTGAGTTGGAGTGGCGAGGAGCGGTATTCGGTGACGATTTCCTTTAGCTCGAATCGGGAGGTGATTTTAGTGGTGATGCCGACATGGACGGGGAAGGAGGACGGCGAGGGGGTAGAGGATGTTATTACGGGAGAGTGTTTTAGGGAGAAGTTGAGGGCCGCTAGGTGGCAGCATCCGAGCAATATGGGGAAGCCCCCGCCAAAGGTGCAGGATGTGGCTATGAATGATGTTATCACTGTGGCTTGAGCTATGATACATCTTCATTCGATCCCTTCGCGGTACTTTTTTTTTTTACCCTTGCTAGCTTTGCAACTATTCCATGCTACTAGGAACAAAATTGTGATATTATTGTGTCCAAGGCTTCGCCGCCCGCTGCCCCAGCCAGCCTACGCCCGGGCCAATGTTGGACCCCTGACATCTGTGGATGTTTTCTCCAGACATCAGCACCGCGTAAAATAGCTGTCCCGCACACCACATGTAGATCTGCGGTGTAGGTACCATTTCCGGACCGCTTGATACCCGGCGATAGGCGAAGGCGTTTGCTGAAGAGCTTGTTTACAAGAAGCAAATACAGCGTCGACCTCTGCGCTGGGCTAATCACCTCGGAATCCTCGAAATATGATTCAGAGCTACAGAGGTTTGATTTGGTAGTTTGTATTACCATCGACATCGTTCTCGAGCCACCGTTCGTCATCGAGGTCTCCAGATTTCCGTGTACGAGGATCACCAGACATTATTTTGAGACACAATAATTTTCCAGAGAGGCACCCGGCTTAACTGTTGCGGCCAGCTATCTAGCCTTTACTAACTACCACATCTTCCAGAGCATCTAAGGCTTCAACTAAACTCCACTCACCAAACCCCAGTAGATTCTCCCTCCAGAAACCACCCCAAGAAGTGAGCCGAGTAAATTCCAACTATTTGTTAGGTGGAAGATTATCGAACTTGACACCGTACGGACACTCGACCCTGATGCGAACCTTCTGACCAAATTTCTGCTGATCATTACCACCGAAGAAGAAATTCAGACCGTCACATTCTCCTTGCCCAGGTGGTGGACACCACGTATTCGGATTCGCATACCAGAGAAAGCCATGGTCATACTGAAGTGGCTGAAAAAGGTCACCATACGCATCGTGAAGGCCGAGGTAAATTTTGCCAGACTCATCGGTATGAAAGAGCCACCTAGAAAGAACAGCGTCAGGATCCTAATTACCGATGATTGGTAAGGAGAGAGTGCTTACTTGTCAATGTTGAAAAGACGGGGAGGATTCTCTGACCATGCAAGAGCACCAACTAACGCAAGCATTCCAGCCCCGGCGCCGGGAACCTCGAAAGCGGAATCGACGACGTATCCAAGATTACGGCTTTCGTTTGATTGCACCGGCTGGATGATGCGGTAGGTGTTGTTGTGGCCTGTGGCGTTCACGTACCATTCAAGAGGAATTTGCTCGACGGCGTCACGCTTGCGCAACCAAACACCGACATCGCGAGAAGTGCCGTTCTGGCGGAGTGGTTGGTTGTCCCACGGGTTTGGCTTCGACTTGTCATCGCTAGGAGCTTGTTAGTAAGTGGGGATGAAGGAAATGGAAAAGGGGGGATGCCGCAGAAGAGGGACATACAAGTCTGTTTTGAGGATGCATCCGTTGCCTTGGCTTGGCGCCGGATCAGCAGGTTTGATGTTGACAGGGCTGACATGGACGACAACGGCCGTGGCCAGTATCAACACAAGAGAAGGAAGCCTAGAGAAGAGCATTATCGTACGGTTCGACAAGAGACCTTGTCCAATTTCAGGGGTTGACAATGAGAAGGTGGAGGTGAGAGGGCCTTTTCATGCATTGAAACTTTCCTCAAAGCTACTTCAGCTTTAGAAATCTCTGAACCACGTGGAAGCGCTCGGCATAGAGCGTAGAAGAGCCTCCAGTAGCCGGTAGCATTCTCGACAATTTTAGATAGCGGTGTACAGCTTACCTAGACTATCACTGTCCGGCTCCCTCCTACCACGGGCCGACGCAACGTCATCAGTATTTTAGGGTGTTTAGGGTCATATTTACAACGTTGTTGCATATATTTTGTATTATCTATTTTGTCATTAACTTTGTGCAATATAGGAAATTTAGGCCTTGGCAGGCGGTTGCGATCGATGGGAATGATTAGTATTAAGCCTTATTTAAAAGAATGCCATTCAACCCGCGAGTTCTAGTTCCGTAGTCAAGATGCCCCCCCCCCCCCCCCCCCCCCTTCTGTGAGAAATAGTTTTATAGCTCGGGTGTAGTTGATGGAGTGAAATCAGGTGCAAATGATTCACTTCAAGGGCGTGTGGAATGCCTCGAACCTGCCGCTTGTGCAGAGACCTTTCTGAAGCATCTGAAATCGAATGAAAAAAAATATTGGTAGTGACACGATAAGTCGTGTTCTTCGTCAAAACGGGATAAACGTTCCTTAGAACATGATAGCGCCCTAATACGTAGTACCAATCACTGTATGCAGGAAGCAGCTAGAGACGATCCTGAGATTCTCAAGCACGGAGAGTGTGTTCGGTCACTTTTGGGGTGATTCACCATTAGTGTGTGGCCTTCACAATGATGTCAGCCTATGACTAGGCGCCCGGCGCTGAAGAAGTTCTGGAGAACACCATGAACTAAATGGAACTTATATTCGACCTCCTTGACAAGTACCCTACTATTCTCTAGAAAAGCACACCCTCCCAATATACTGCGATCAGAATACTACCAAATTATTGGAAAGAATCGAAACTCTTTCCATCACGGCTTTGAACAACATCTCGATGGACTAAAATGGCAAGACACCGCGAGTAGATCCAACATCTCAGAGAAGTTCGGCAACAACGCTATGTCTTTGCACATCCTCTGCCCACCTAACCCAGCTCCCCCAACTCGAGATAATGCGAACCCTCCTCGGTCATCGTCTCTAGTGCGTGCGCTAGATAGTCTGTGTAGCACCATCCTCGTTAGTTTAGATGTGGAATAGTTTGAGCGGGGTAATAATAACACTACAGAGCTCGGAATCGCTATCGTTGGCATGCATATAATTCCCCTAACCGCGGATGCCTTTTCTAACATTCTCCGAGATGAAGATTTACCATGCCCGTATCCTGGCCGACTAGACAATTCTAGTTTAGGAGGACCAAGTTCGTCACCAACTTGGAGGCAATGTTCTTGCTCTTGGATTCCTTTCCCGGAAGCGGGATAGCGGAACCCTGAGGCCTGGAATATTTTTTGGCCATGCAGTGGACAACGAAATGGAGATGATCAAAGAGTAGTTTGGAATAGACCTCGAACAGAAGGAGGTGGTCGTTGCGACTCTAGATATCAAGATGACAGCTCGAGAAGCTGGAATTCGGCCGGATGGTCCGGACAATCTTTGGATTGAAGAGCCCGCTGAGCCACTTCCGCATAGATGAACAGTATCTCCATACGGCTAGGTGATATCATCTATACCATGATCGCGGTCTTCGTTACTACTGGCGGCCAATAGCAATATCCGCATAGTCATCCAACCCCCCATATCAATGAGCGATCAATATGGTCGCATATTAGTCAAGTCAAGTTCTCTAGACAAGGCGTGGCAGCGCCACATTGGGGTATTGAGTGCCATTCTTCTTACTACACCGTTGAGTCATACCCAGCTACCATGCGATGCGGCAAGTGTCATGGATCTCCGGATCGTAAGCGTTTTGCGTTTACACACTGGATATTGAAACGGGGAGTTGAAGAATCGAGGAGGCTACCTAACGAGATTGTTTTAGTTACTTACCAGATGTGTAGTGTTTTGACAGATACAAGGCGATGGACGAAGGATAGAACCCACACAGCGGAGAATTGCGGATACAGCAAGGTAGATGGTTGGATCCCAAGCCTTCTAGTCGATGCCATGGAGGATGTTGTCATGGCGGAAAAAGACACGGTCGATGTTTACCACGAATAGGTTTGTTGCTCCCTTCTGTCTCAATCTAGACGAATGTTCGCCATGATCAGAGTAGCCAGATTTTTGGGAGCCTAGGTATCAACGTAGCTCTGAATAAATTAATCTACTTCAGGCCTGCCTGATGTGTAATGATCCCAGTGCCCGAAGTTTGCTCTTTCAAAGCTACTCCTCTTGCTGCATCTAGATTGCTGCTAATTGATATGGAGGCGGTGAATATAGTGAGGTTAGAAAGAATATATGCTCGCGGCGTGCATACGGTGCAGATGTCTATGTCAAGAGCTTGAAGTTTGATAGATGTTTGGGAAATGCGGGGCAAAGGACAGTGCAGAAGCTAACCCATTACGGACTAGTGAGCCCTTTCACACTTGACGTGAATTTCATTCTCTACTCTGCAGTTCCCATCTCATCCAACATCGCCATCACCTCAGCTTCCTTAGCCGAATAGCCTCTCCATCCTGTCTGTTTACAAACAAGCGTCTTCAATATCGGCTGACCTGGATCTGGAAATTGAAGTGCCTCTTTCATTTGCTGTTTCATGCTTACCCACTCTTTAACCGGTCCTGCCCACCAGAAACCAGCAAACCCGGAAACAATTTTTGTTTTACCGGTGAAACTTCGTCGCGATATTGCAGGGTCGGAGAATTGGCCGAAAGTAACCCTTCTCAACCAGGCATTTTCCTCGCACTAGCATCACATTTAAATTGTTTACCACGATTCGATGCTTCATCACCAGCAAGCTACACCAGTTCAAGGATGGCATGCTGGCTTGTCATATGGACGGGCCGCAGGTTCCTGGAGATCCTCATTCTGGGCCTGATCTTTTGAAGCTAAAATTGAGGGGTTCCGTTTGGCCTATGGTCGCTGGCATTTAAACGCAATCATACGGCCCCAGTGCATTTCCTCGTCGGATTTCCAGCCAAGTTATTCCTTCGTTGTGTATCATGGTTCGTCTCAGTATTCTCTCTGGTCTGGCTTCAGGCCTCTGTGCTTTAGCCAACCCACTCGTCAAGCGTGCATCGCTGCAGCAGATCACCAACTCGGGTATCTCCAACCCTACAAATGTCGGCTTTTACATGTATGTACCGGACAAGCTTGCATCAAGCCCTGGCATCATAGTCGCCATCCATTACTGCACGGGGACTGCCCAGGCATACTACTCCGGATCCCCGTACGCCACGCTCGCAGAGCAGTACGGATTCATCGTAATCTACCCAAGTAGTCCACATAGCGGAACTTGCTGGGATGTCAGCTCTAAGGCAACTCTTACTCATAATGGCGGTGGAGACAGCAACGCAATTGCCAACATGGTGACGTGGACTATGTCAAAGTACAAGGCCGACTCCAGCAAAGTTTTCGTCACTGGAAGTTCGTCAGGAGCCATGATGACCGTGAGCAAAGATGAAGATTTTTCTTAGATCCCACTGACGCTAGTGTTAGAATGTCATGGCCGCTACATATCCGGATATTTTCAAGGCTGGTATTGCCTACTCTGGTGTCCCTGCTGGATGCTTTGTTTCTTCTAGCGGTGGAGTAGATGCATGGAATAGCACCTGCGCTCAAGGAAACTCCGTTGCCACCCCTCAGGCGTGGGCAAATGTAGTCACTAACATGTACGCTGGGGTATGTCTGCCTTCTTCTTCATGTCAAATGAGAAATTGACTTGGCTATTAGTATACCGGCGCTCGTCCAAAGATGCAAATCTACCACGGAACAGCCGATGCCACACTCTACCCCAACAACTATAACGAAACCATTAAAGAGTGGTGTGGTGTCTTTGGCTATGACTACACAAACCCCACATCGACGGAAAAGAACACTCCTCTAACCAACTACTACCGATATAGTTTTGGACCTCAGCTTCAAGGTATCTATGCTGTTGGCGTTGGGCATACTGTTCCAATCCAAGGCACTGAGGATATGAAATTCTTTGGCTTCTCAGTATGAATAAAGTGGCTGCCTGTTTCACTATACCCTGCTAATAATCGATCTAGGGCTCTTCTTCATCCTCCTCAAGCATTACACCTGCTACCTCCACTCTACTAACGAAGGTCGCGACTAGCGCTGCCTCCACGCCAACTGCCAGCACTGGAGGTTCGACCGGAGGAACTGTGGCTCATTGGGGACAGTGCGGTGGTGCTGGATGGACGGGGTCGACGACATGCGTGGCTGGATATACGTGCACGAAGGCGAACGATTACTACTCGCAATGCTTGTAAGTCTGGTCTTGAGGAGCATAGGGGATAATAGAGAATTTGGTGCAGAAATGTATGTATGATTTATGTTCATTGTTTATATTTTGAACTAATTTAGATTCAAGCATAACTTGGCATCCGTTAACGATATGTTAAAATTAGCAGGAGATTTGCATTAGCCATCTTAGTCATGGCATTAATGTTGTTCCTAGTACTGTAGGGTCCCTCTATTAAATCCGCTCCGATTTCTACTACATCGGCAGCTGAGGTTTGAAAGAAATTTATGGGGTAGAGGGTAGTTATCCTATATTACTAATTGGAATGAATATCAAGAAGTCACCGAAAGAAGGTTAGTTACTACAGATGGCTGAATATATCTGCAAATATTTCAGGCTTGATTTCTTATCCCCTCACAGTTCTAGTAGCAGTTGAAACGCGTGCGGGTAGGATTGGATGTTGTGCAGGCGAATATCCACAAAATAAGTCTGATAAGAGCAGGTACTATTACCACCCGAGTTTTGCATTAACTGATCCTTTTAGACATACTAAGAAGCTGTTCGATTTCATTGGTTTATAGTTTGAGCAAATATGAGTCAGTCGCCAAGACATTCAATCTAACACATTTCCCCATTGGGTCAAGTCCGTGCAGACCTCCGAAACTCTCAAAGGTTGAGCGACATCCCCTCCATCCCATCACTGTTTGCTGTCGCTGTATTCTAATTTATTTGTCCTTTCTTGCAGGTTCAAGATGCTCGGTGCACTATTATTTTCGTCCCTTCTAGCACTAAACTGGGCAGTGGCCTTAGAGGAGGAGGCACCTCCAACCCCACCTTCCTGTGCGGCATCAACATTCACCCCGCCAGCCGTGCCAGGAGCGAAGATCCTCTCCATCACCGCAGAGCCGAAACACAACGCTACCTTGGGTATTCCTGGGATTTTCTATGGTGCCTATTCTAATCTGAATTACTGCGACGTGAAAATAAAACTCAACCACCCTGGCACCAACGACGAAGTGTTGGTAGAGATTGTGCTACCCCTGACCCACGATGCCTGGAACGGCCGGTTTCAAGCCGTTGGAGGTGGGGGATTCGCAACCGGTATCTTTGACATTGGCTTTGGAATGGCGCTGACAGATGGCTATGCTGCGGCTTCGACTGACGGAGGACATGATGGTATCAGCAATATGGCCAACCTCGCCTGGGCGCTGAATCCGGACAAATCTGTCAACTGGGACTTGCTGCAGAATTTCGCGACCAGGAGTCTGGCGGATCTGGTGTATGTCGGGAAATCCGTCACGGCGCAGTATTTCGGCAAGGGGCCGCACCATTCGTACTGGAATGGGTGTTCAATGGGAGGGCGTCAGGGATACATGATGGCGCAGAAGTATCCGGGTTTGCTGGATGGGATTCTAGCTGCTGCGCCGGTGCTGAGTATGACGTATTTTGCTATGGGAGATTATTGGCCCCAGGTTGTGATGAAAGAGGGGGGGACTTGGATGTCGAACTGTGAGTTTCAATATTTTGGGAAGATGGCGATGGAGGAGTGTGATTTGATGGATGGATTCGCTGATAACGTGATTTCGAACCCCGATGAGTGCGGGTTCGATGAGAAGACACTCGTGGGGAAGAGGGTGCAGTGCGATGAGGCGGAAGTTGAGATTACAGAGAAGATGGCGGATGTTGTAAGGAAAATCAGAGAGGGCCCCAGGACCCCATTTGGAGCAAAACTGTGGTTTGGGCTGCCAGTCGGAACAAGCACTGATTTTCTCGCCAACATCACAGTTTCACCGGAAGGGCCTCGTGCTTCGAATCCGTTAGGCATCTCCGCCTCCTTCATCAAGTGGCTCGTCCTTAAGGATCCATCCTACAACATCTCCTCCCTCACTTACCTAGATTACTTCGCCCTCTGGACCCAAGCAAACCGAGAGTACGACTGGATTCTCAACGCTGATAACCCAGACCTCTCAGCTTTCCGCGCGACGGGAGGGAAATTTCTCTCCTGGCATGGCATCAACGACCCAGTCATTTCATACGAAAACACAATCCAGTATCGGAAACGGGTGGAGATGGAGATGGGAGGCTCGAAACCAACAGATGAATTCTACCGGCTGTTTATCGCGCCGGGCGTAGGGCATTGCATGCATGGGGCGGGTCCAGTGCCGACAGATCCTCTAGCGCAGTTGGTGCAGTGGGTGGAGAATGGAGAGCCACCAGAGGTCTTGGAGGCTTCTACTACGAATGCGGGGGGTGACTTGGTCACGAGGGATGTGTGTCTGTACCCGCGGAAAGCGAAGTACATGGGCATAGGAGATCCCAAGCGAGCATCGAGCTGGAGCTGCGAGGGTGGAGAGGAGTCGGAAGCGGAAGAGAAGCTCGAAGGTGGCAGTGACTTCTTAGGCGGCTTGAAGAACCGGCTCATGGGGTTGGGTATGGGACTCAAGATTGGATAAGGGTTCCGCACACCACACGTATAGGCATGGAAATACCGCAAGAGTGGCTTGGTGTTGTCACGGATATAGGATTGATATGACAGAATATCAATTCTCCGCTGCCAGATGAATTGGCTGACAGCGATGACCTTGGAAGAGGCCTTGTACAGACCCTAGAGTAGCCCTCGAACGATTAGGAAATTTTCCTTGAGGATTCAATAAACATCATCCTTATAGCCGCCAAGACATCCATCCTATGAGAGGCTTGCGGAAACCCTCAATGTGAGGCGTGGCGGAAGCATGTCCAAATACGAGCATTGGCGCTGAGGGCCGTGCGTCGAACATCCAGAGTGCGGCTACGGGGAATCATTCTAGTTCCTGCATGGCCCACCTCGACACAAACAATTTATCCACCATCGGCCGTCAATCACGCCTCTCCCGTCCCCTAAATCTCCTTGCAAAAGCCACGAATCCTAATATCGACGACCATTTGCGGCAATTGGCCTCTCAGATGCTACCGCTGACCAGCCTGAGAGCAATGACTGACCTTGGTGGAGCCTTGTGCTCAAATACTTGCGCGATGGCAGGCTCGAGGGGTGCTCCTGCCGCCCACCACGCGCCTGGCTTCCTGGAACTATTACATCTTCTAAAACAGGAAGCGACAGCATGCTCCTCTCCTTCCTCACCAGCTTCATCGGCCTCGCAGTTGCCGCCACCAACCCAATCGACACCTTCGCCAACGTAACCGTCTTCCAACCCGACTCCGGTGCTGTCAGCTACGCCCGCACCGAATCGCTCACCAACGGCACGCTACTAGCAACCTGGTCCGACTTTGCTGCAGCTAACAACACCATTCCCATCTACCGCTCCGCCGACAACGGATTCTCGTGGTACACCTTCGGCAGCGTGACGTCCGATACTGAAGGCCGCAGACTTGTGCAACCGCATTTGTTGTATCTAAATGAGAGCTTTGGGGACTGGGATGCGGGAAGTGTGTTGTTAGCGGTGAATGCGGTGGATGATAAGAGCACGAATATTGAGGTGTATGGGAGTGCGGATAGTGGCGAGAGCTGGAGCTTTGTAAGCACGGTTGCGACGGGTGGGAAGGCGAATACGACGAATGGGGCTACGCCGGTCTGGGAGCCGTTCTTGATGATGACGTAGGTTGTCCCGAATCTGGGTTGGGAGCCCGTGGAGGAAGGAGCGACTGGCAAGAGGCGCAAGTGCTAACGATGTGCAGCAACCACAAGGTCGTCTGCTACTACTCGGACCAACGTGATACCCAGCATGGGCAGAAGCTCTCTCACCAAACTACCTCGGAAAGCCTGGATGCTTGGGGCTCAGCGGTGGATGATGTGGCGTTTAGCAACTACTCCGATCGGCCTGGCATGACAACCGTCGCGAAGGTTCGTATACCCTTCCACTGTTACCTACTACTGAAACAGGAATACTAATCTGGATAGCTGCCCAACGGCAAATACATCCTCACCTTCGAATATGCCATGCTAAACGCCACTGGTAAATACCGCTACCCGATTTACTACAAGATCTCCAACGATCCGGAGAACTTTGGCACAGAGAAAGCTTACCGTATTAATGTGAACACGGGTGTCCAACCGAATGGTGGGCCGTATGTGACATGGTCGCCAATTGGCGGCGTTAATGGAACTATTGTTGTCAGCGATTCGGACCACAATTCCATCTTTGTGAACCGCGCGTTAGGAGATGGGATTTGGACTGAAGTTAAGACGCCGGCGGGGCGGGCGTATTCGAGGGAGGTGCGGATTCGTAAGTCGGCACCCACACTATAGGGCAAAGGTGATGTCGAAGACGGGCTAATACAATATAGCGACCAACGACGAAACGAAGCTCCGAATTGCAGGTGGCGCGGAATACGGCCAGACGGACCCAAGCCAAGTGCTCCTTACAATTATGGATCTTGCGAAGGCACTCAACATTACATCGTAGGGGTTGCTAATGTAAATTGTGGGAAAATATGGGATGGGGTTCAAAATTGGTTGGATTGGGAATATAGAGGTATGCGTGTATATATGTTCTCGATCTTGGATAAAGCTTCGTTTACATTGGCGATCGTTTATCGCTAACGCTAGGTCATAACCTCATCGAACATATTGACCTAGACTAGTCTTAGCAAGCGACCTGAGCTAACTACCCAAGCTCAGGCATTCATTGTTCTTGCTCCGTAGCCTACCATAGGTTTGTAGCTATCATTTCTTCTCTTCTGGTCTCCTTCCCTTCAGTCATGTTCATTTCTATTTAGCGCTGAGCGCTGCAGAATTTACACATCCTGTTCTTCTTGTTCTAGATCATAGAAACCACATCTCTCACCTCATATCTTATTTAACCTCTACAACCGGTCCCTTATACGTCCTCCTTCCCCAAACTGCAAACCAAATCAAGCCAAAAATCACCCAAAATCCCGTCATCAAAGCACTATAATTCATGTTCTGAACCGTCACATTCTTGAACGGAGGCCAGAAGCTGAAAAACATCGCCACCAAAATCCAGCACAATCCAAAGACATTCACAACCGTGCCCAGTGGCTCCGGTATCCGCCAAGGTCCCCACTCCAGCACCTCGTGGGAGTTCTGCAACGGCTCGAGTGGGGCGGAGGGCGAGTCGGCGGGCGAGGATGTTGACACGTGGTTGATCAGTTGGGGAAGGGTGATCAAGCCTGTGGTTCGGCGCCAGAGGAGTAGAGAGAGGGGGAGGAAAGCGGCGAGGAGCCAGGCAGATGTTACAAAGGAGAGGAGGTTTAGGAGGGCGATGCTGGAGCCAGAGATTATGAGCCCGAGGAGGAGGGGGATGGTGAGGGTTGTGTAGATGGCGTTTAGGGGGAGGCGGGAGTGTGGGGATATCTGGGGGATTTGGTTAGTATCACTTCTGGTGAGAGTTTGAGAGGAGAACTTCATACATATTGAAGGCGAGAAGAAAATGGCACACCGAAATCCCTAGCAAAACTCCACAGCTGTCGACTCGCACTCGCAAACTGTCCAAACATGGCCGCAAACACGAGCAACAAGATCAACACCGTCATCAGTGTCGTTCCGGTCGTGCTCTTTGTGGCATCGTAAAATATCTGGATGAATGGATACTTTGTTGGAGACGCAAGGGCGGCGTCAGGGGATGTCAAGCAGAGGAGAACGGTAAGAAGCATCCCGAGGCCAAGAGTGCCGTTAAGGAGGAGCGTGATAAGGATGCTCCAGGGCACGATCCGGGAGGCACTATGGATTTCCTCCGAGAGGTGGACTGCGCCGTCGGAACCGAGCAAGGAGCCTACGTTCGTGATCATTCCGACCAGAAACGCGATGCCGGTAGATGGCCATTGCCCGCCGTTGGAGAAGGCGGTGAAGACAACTCGCGCTGGGACGCGCTCGCTGAGGTAGAGGAGAGGGACTAGAATTGCGAAGAAGCCGAACAAGTGGATGTACAAGATAAAACCCTCGATTTTGGGAAGATGTTTCGCAAGCACCGTGTTCACGCACAAACTCAACAGCACGGCGCCCCAGAGCAGCAACGTCGCCTGCCATCCCTTGGGTTCGTAGAATGCTGGTGCCTGGGTGGGATCGCTGGCTGCAGCGGGATTCAAATTATGCAGCACGATAAGTCCCTGGATGAGCGTTCCGCAGAGATACCCGGTCATCGTTACTACCCCTTGCCACACTGCGACGGACAGCCAACCAGTAACATAGCTAGCGATGCGGGAGAAGGGCTTTGGGGCTAGGATAGAGACCCAGTAGTATTGGCCCGCGGCTGTGGGCGCCATGGAGGAGAGTTCCGCGAGACAGGACATTACGGCCAAAACCCCGGCCCAGGAAAGGAGATACGAGTATACCAGGCCGGCGGGGCCTCCGTTTAGCAGTCCCGAAGAGAAGTACAGAAGCTCGCCTTCCCATGTGAGCATCAGGGTGGTGGACATGCCGAGCATAGATACGAACCCGAATCGGCGCTTGAGGACCTCTGGAGAGGGGTTAGTATACATGTCTGGCCGTCTGTCGATCGCAATGCGATTTGATCGGATCTCCGATGCATGAGGTCGAGATGAAGAAGGAATGGGACCAAGGAGTGGGATGTCATGGGGAAGGGGTTAGCATACGCTTCTTCCCCGTTCGCGCTAATTGTCGTTCATCACTTTTTTCCAATTCCTCGACGGCCTGGGCACTGCGCCCGGCTGACATCTTCCATTCTGCTGCCTTAGCTTCGGGTGACTTCTTTGGTGAACTCATGGCTGAATTAGCTTAGCAAAGGGTAGCTAGGTCAGTCAAGTGAGGTGAGATGACGAAAAAGATGACAGGCTCGCAAAGGGGCGGCGGCTGGGGAAATTATATCGATATTTGCTCGCACCAGAGCGAGTCTGGGGGTGAGACGGTGGGGAGGCGAAACGGTCGTGAACGGTGGGGAGGAAATGAGGGATATTAAACTCAATTGAATGGGAAAGATGTTGGGGTTAGGAAATTTCTCCGCTACCCATGCGGATGAGATGCGATGCGAGGCATAAGAGATCTGGGCGGACGTCGATGTCCGTTGCTATGCTCCACTTGGGTGAGCATCCATGTGTCTGGCCTGGGGAAACTCTGATGACACGACGCCGCCCGCAGGAGGTGTGTCAGAGGGGGGGCGTACGTTCCTTTCTCCCCTCTGTCTCCCTGCGATTTCCCATCCTCCCGAGTCCTTTTTCATCATCATCTGTTTGCGAAGGGCACTGTCCTGTCAATCAGTCATGCACTTCTTCCAAGGATGGGATCGGATTCCCAGTGTTTGGTCGTTCCCCGATGCGGACACCAAGGCTACGCCCCGTCCAAAATAATCCTCGCAGCTGTGTAACCATAAGCGCAGTGCCAAATCACATGGCCGCTTCTCTTCCCTTTCTCAGAACCATCAAGCGAGGTAGTTCGGGGGGCTAAGCGCCGCGTCAAATTTAGGGCTGAGGTGGTGCATGCTGTGCTGAGTCTGACAGTGCAGATCTGTTCGTCTGCGGGCCGCAGGGTAAGTTTGGATATTGCAGGGGTTGCACGATGAGGGGCGCAGTGCAGGGCGGGTATCGCAGATTGTGCCGCAATCGCCCATCGAACCACGTCACTATGCGAGCGCATTCTGGTCAGCCTCGACATGAATAATCAGCGAGTGGGTGCATTGGTGTGTCGGCCTCTGGTCGGGGCAAGCCTTGCTGCGGTGCCTCCTTCCCGAGGCATGTCAACAGTGCAGAGCCTCGCATTAGTGGCCCGTTGCTGGGGCTGGGCTATGAGCGACATACGTCCCTAACATCTCCTGTTCGATCGCCTGTTCGCTCTCTTGTACGCTCCATTTGGTTTCATTCCTTTTGCTGTCCTCCCCTCCTTCCCCTCCCCTCCCCTCCCCCATATTTTCCATCGTGTCACGATCTGCCGCCGGGGCTTGTAGTTCCTTCGACATGATTGCCGCCTCAGCGCGTACGACAACTTGACTCCTTCAGCTCCTTTCTTTTCGTCTTTGCATATTTCCTTTGTGTGTATCTGTGGGTCTGGTGGTCGGTGGGCGTTCATCATTTTCCTTTCGACATCATGAGGATACCAACAGTATCCGTAGGTGTGAGGGCAACGCCGATTACACCAGATAATAGGAGTACTGCTGTTACGATTGCGACATGGCTTCTCCTCATTATTCTCATTATCATGTTCCTGTCGAGAGAGGCGATCAAGTTTGTTGTATTGCGGAAGTTCCAGATCGATGACTTGCTCATATTACTTGCCACGGTATGCTTGAATTGAAGAACTAGCCGACTGCTCTAAGAAGAGACTTGACTGATAAAAGACGCAGTTATTCGCAGTTGGGCTTTCGGTCACAACGCTTGTGCTGGCTTCTAATGGCCTTGGAGTGTTGCGTCCGCTTACCGTCCGACGCGCTGATGTGTTTATGAAGCTGTACTACGCTTCCGACTTTCTCTACATCTCTTCTCTCTGCTTCGCAAAGCTCTCATTAGTTTCATTCTTTTACGGCGTTGGCGTCAAAAAAGTGCACCGGCGAATCGTTCAAGGACTCGGTGTCTTCATTATTACTTGGACAATCGCGTCCCTAGTTGCTGTCGCGTTTCAATGCGGACTCCCAAGACCATGGGAGATGTTAACACTGCGCTGCTACAACTCGGTACGTCACCACCTTCTAGAATCATATCATTTATGCTAATGTTGGAATATTCGCAGGGCGTATTCTGGATCGTCTACTGCATAATCGACATGACCACCGACGTCTCCATCATCATGCTGTCCGTCAACCTAGTCGCCTACCTCCAAGTCAACTTGTCCCGTAAAATTACCGTTGTCGCATGTTTCGCGCCTCGTGTCCTCGTCATCGTTGCTGCGCTCGCTCGTCTCATTTACCTGTACCCTATCAACCCGCACATGAAGCCCGCATTTAATCTCTGGATCCCGGTCATTTGCACGCAAATCCAAGTTTGTCTTAGCATTTCCACGGCCTGCATTCCTTATATGAAACCGTTTTTTGAGGGTGTGGAAGCCGGAGTTTGGAGAGCTGATGATTTACGCAGAAAAGGAATGATGGTGGATGAGCTGTACGCGTACAGGTCTGCGGGTGGGTCCTTGGGAACCAAGGGTCACGGCCACAGCAAGGGCAAGGAGATTTACTCGATGGACTCGACCATCAGAGCAACAAGTTATAAATATGGAAGGAGTACGGATGTCTCGCCTCAGATCCCCACTCCGGTGCCGCTGAGTCCGTTGACGACGCCACGCATCACGACACCTAGGACACTCACTCCACCACCACCGCCCAATTCCCGAGCAGCGAGTTCGAAAAGTCCGAGCGAGAGAGGACTGAAGATATCTATCCCGCCACCGGAATCGAGAGTCATGATTGATGTCACGAGTCCGCAGACTGCGAGTTCGATTGCATTATCTCCACATTGTCTGTCACCTCAACCACTGCTTTCGCCGTCGCCGACGCGACCGTTGCCGCAACCTCCGACGATAAGAAGCCCGAGGCCATTAATTCCAAGTTCGTATTATGGAACGCCGGAGTTGAGTGCTTTCAGTCCTCCGAGGACATTCTCTCCGCCGGTCGTGATTCCTCCATTCCCACGACCACCAAGCTCGCAATACACAACACTGTCGCCACCGACAATGTTTAACATTCCACTGCCGCCGATACCCCCGCTTAAGGTTCCGAGATCAAATAGTCGAAATATGAATGTAAGGGTTTCGTTGCATCGAATGGCGCCAAAAAGTGAGCAGCCGCAGCGAGAGCCTCTGGATTTTCAGCGAGAGGATATAGATACGGGAAATCCGCTTCCACCACCTCCACCACCGCCGCAAGCAGATCAACAGCCCGTTTTCCCACCTCGAAGTTCCTCCCGCAAATACCAACACCGCCATCCTACCCCCAGACAACCTAAATACACATACACAACAACCCCACCACTACATTCAAATCCCCATCCCCGCCCACCCAGCTCCACAACAATACCCTCATACTACACGCGCACGCCTCCTCAAGCTCTAGCTACATCGACCCCGCCAAGTCCCCATCGCATCCGTAATCAGCGCGTTCTGAGTCCCAAGAATTCAAGTCGTTGGGATCAGATGAGTCCCGTCAGTCCTGAGACTCCGAGTGCTGGCGTGGGATCGAGTCCGAGGACGCCTTTGGGGTTTTGGAGGGAGGATGGAGGAAGAGGAATGGGAATAGGAGATGCGGGGAATAGCGGCAGTGGGCTAGGGATTGATAGAGGGGATTCTGGGGGGTGGGATGATGGGAGACCCGTGATCCGCGATGTGAGAAGTAGTCCTAGGATTGTGGTGCACCGGTATTCTTGACGTAAACGCTTTTTCAGTCGACCGGAGGTTTTTCTTTTGTTCTTGGGTTTGATGCATTGCATTACATGGGATCTGGGTCGGGTCGGGTTTCTTTTTCATCATTTTGGTTTGCATTGGATGGCGTTTTTGTGTTGTATGTACTGTACTAGTGGGTGGGTCTTTGTTATTATACTGTAGCATGTTCCTGTGGCGCGAAGATAACTTGATACCCCTTTCTTTAATACAACACTATTTTCATTTTTCATCATTTTTCATCAATACATTCGTGCAACACTCTGAAACTATTCTTTCCTATTCTCATACCATCCATCTGCATTTCGACTTCCAGAAACCTCCCAAATCCACCCAAACACCCCCTACAACCTTGCCGCATTATTTCCAGATTGTTTCTCTATGGATGCATAGCTCTCCGCCTACGCATGGTGTGCAACAACCCACTCCCTCAGCCCCTCCCAATCCCGACACGTCCTAGCCTGTCTGTCTCCAAACACAATACCATCTTCCGTGTACAGCAGAGTACTATCTGCTGTACACATCACACTCTGCCGTAGGCTATCCAGACAATGAATCGCATGATCCCACTTCACCCCTTCCTCTCCTGAAACTCTCCCTTCTTTATATTTATACAAGGTCGACCTAATCACGCTCAAACAGTGCAGTTGATGATACGCAGCAATAAAATACACAGCCTCCGAAGCGTTTGCAGAGTTTAGAATACTGGTAGGAAGGTTTTGAGAGAGTGCCCAAGTAGTTGGAATATATACAACACCTTGACCAATAGGAAAGAGAGAGCGCCAGAGGGTATTTGTGAGAGTTTTGTTGGAGGCGGAATAAGGGGTTGTCCAGTTGAATGGTTTGGCGACAGTGTGGTATGGTGATGATGAGGGGGATGGGGATAGTGGGTAGGGTACTCCCATGCTATCAGCCATTATGAGAGATTCCGGGAAGGGGGTTAAGGGTGTGCGTGGAGCGATGCAGTGGTGAAAGTGGTGCCAGTACCAGATCCAGTTCGTGATGACCAGGCTTAGTGTTGTGAATACCAATGCATAGGGCAGAGTGTACGGTCTCCGAGAGGGCTGGACGGGTAATTTGAGTTCCCCAGTTTCGTCATCAGAGTCCGAAGTGCTGATTTGATAATATGACGGTGAAGACATGGCTAAATCTCGAAGAGGGTATTGAAGGCGCCGAGGCTTGGAATGGCGGTTGAAATATTGAAGAAAAAGAAGCAAGAAAAGGCGGTAATCCGGGATGGAGAAGCGTGGAAAGCCAAATCCCGATGTCCGCAAGCCACGATGTAATGTCCACGTTGACTTGGGGCCAACCGATCGGATGACCTGCACGTGACGCCACGATTTCACCGGCGTTCATGGCCAGCATACACAATCGCCCTCAACCTCAGGCACCTCCAGGCAGACAAGACATATCTCCCATGATTGATGCATGCATGCAAGCATATCTCCTCGCCCCAAGTGCCGCCCTCGCACCCTCGTCCCTTCTGCCCCCTCGTCCCCTCTGCCCCCTCGATCCTCTCACCCATTCCTCCCAGCACTGTGCACCTGGCAAAGTCCGGCATTGCCCCTTACCCCACCCACCCGCCACGTAAATTACGCCCGCTTCGCCGCACCCTAAATAATCCTGGATGCAGTGTGGTGCGAGCCATGCATGAACACGACGTTTAAACTCGGAGCCTGAGGTAAGCCGGGCCGGGATCGAGATCCTGGCGAGCTCGCCGTTCTGCGGGACGATCCCAATAGGGCGGGTGTGGCGTTGCGTGACAGAGCAGGGCTGGAGCGGGAAGCGAAATCGGCCTTGCCAGAAAGGGTTGGCGCTTGTAGTGTTGCATGATTGGCTGGTTATGTAACTGGGAAAAGGCGTGTGTGTGGAGACTGGACAGAGAGTCGAAGGATCTGGGAGGTGGGAGGATCCGTGGAGGGAGGTAAGCGATGGTTGTGAAGGATCGGGAAAGTTTGAGATGGGGACATGCATTCGACTAAGGAGTGGTTGCAGAGTGAGGGACAATTATTTTTCCAGTTGAAGCGCTGCATGAAGCCTCCCGCCGCTTGATGCGGAAGAGTAGCCGCTGCATCCACCATTCATGATTCACGACGTTTAAGATTAGTTGGTGGCGATTTGGAAGCGCAAGAGGATTGGAGATCGCGGCGATAGTGTTGAGAAGGCAGAGTGGAAGCGCTGCAGTTTACCGCGTATGCCGATTCTAGTCAGCCGGCATGAGTCGTGCAACGAGAGCGTATCGATAAAGTCTCACAATCGTTGTTGTCGAAGGATTGGCATATCGGCTTCTGAGACGTTCACTCCTTGCCCGTGCATCTTTTAAACATCCCGTCCCTTTCTAGTGCGCTTTTCCGTATCATACTGCAGAAGACTTCCAGTGCGGCACATGTGGCACAATCTGGGAATCGAAGACTCGCTCATTGCAACTTCACCTTCAGGGGCGGGTAAGAAGCGTGCCCGGAGCTGCTTCGTGACATAGATCAGGTACCACTCTTACCGAACACTGTAACCCGTGACAGCCTATTATCATCCGCCTTGATATTGGAACCTTATCGTCATAGGGCCGTATTTTCCATTCTACATTACTTTCATCATGCCCCTATCCCTCACCGTCGTCAAGGAAGCCCCTGAATTCTCAGATATCTGGCCTGTCCTCTTCGAAGCCTACCAAAAACCCTACAATCCCTTCTTCAAACACTTTAACCCGATCCATACAACTGAACAAGCCGCCTTACAAGCCTCCAAAGAGCGCCATATCAAGCAGTGGTACGACGATCTTAAGTGCCACTGGATCAAAATTACAGATACCGATACTGAGGACGTAATTGGAGCAGCATGCTGGCTAATTCATGATCAGCCGGCGCTCGACGAAGTCCCTGGGCTAATAAATGCATACTGGCATGAAGAGGGAAGTGTGGAAAAGAGATTTGCGGAGAAGTTGATTGGAGAGGGATTGGGGGGTTTTATTACTAAGAGGATGGCTGGAAAGAGATATTGTGGTATGTTCTAGTAGCTCTCCACTTGAATACCCTAAACATCAGCCGCTAATCAAGTCCAGAACTCGACCAAATCATAGTGCACTCAAAACACCGCAATCGCGGAGCGGCACGCATGATGATCAAATGGGGGACAGATATTGCTGATGAGATGGGATTTGAATGCGTGATTGGGTCAACCCCATTTGCAAGGGCGGCGTATGAGAGGTGTGGCTTTACGATGGCGGCTATCATCAACCCGGATTTGGATATTGAGAGTCCTTGCGAGAGGTGGAAAGAGTACCAGATGGAGGACTTGCATGCGTATATGATGTGGAGGCCTGTGGGGCATGACTTTGTAAACGGTCAGGGTGGGATTCCGTTTGAAGACATATGAGTTATACAATATCTGCAGAGGTGGATCTGTAGTAGAGCACCGAGAATGCTTGAGGTTGGAATGCTTGGTCTATGTCCTTAAGAGCGAATTAATAATTGTGACGTCACAGTGACGCTTGATCTATCCATCTTGAGTCTAAATGTTCCACCGGGATATCTTTGATCTTACAGAAAATTCACATGAAGCCTCGAACTTCCTCGTTGCTTGGATTCATTGGGATGAAACATTACTACAGTCTCGATGGGACTGGCTGTTGCGCAAAGCGTTCCGAAGTCTTAGCTCACATCCTAGCAATCGGCATATCTAACTTAAAAGGATCCCGAAAACGCTCGTGCAGGTATCTTTAGCAAGGCGCAATTTTTCCACACATACTCCCCCCTCAACCTCCACTAGCCCATTGAAAGATAAACATCTTGCATTGTCGGTTTGAGAATGCGAAGCCTCCACATCGAGCTCTTTACGGAATCCATGGGAGTGTTCCTTTGTCAGAATGAGGATGTCAAAGCATTACATTTCTCAGTAATGCATCCGACATCCCGTACCGTCCCGTCCCGCTTGCTCCTGATGGAGCTGCAACGGAAAGGATGAAGGAATGGAACTTGCCTTCCATGTATGCTTAAGGTAAGTTCACATTCTCTTCGTGAAAACAGGTTCGCAAGATTTCCCAACTCAGAAAGCAGGTTTGCGTTCTGCATTTCATGAACTTGAGACGGATTTCGCTGACGTTATGTTGTGGCTTGTATGGCGGTGTCAGCCTTTGGGGCGGGCAAGCAGTGAACCCAAACTTTGGGCCTCGGCCCCCCACAACACCTTACTCCTAGCATGTAGAGCTTCACTTTGGTGCACCATATGCAATGCACTCACGATTCATATCGATTCAGTGTCAATCCGATGCATATTAAGAAATGGATGATGAGCTTCGCCCCAATCAGAGACATGGAATTAATTTCAGTAGGGAATAGCCTGCTAGGAGGAGAGGAGAACCAAGGGATTCAAAAAGCGGGTATATAGAATCAACCGGACCGCTAATTTTTATCTCATTTCAACTCAGATTTTCTAGTGACTCGTAAAATTATCCAAAGCTCACTTTTCAACCTGCCAAACGCTGTCGCAACAATGTATCGCTTCACCATTCTCACCATAGCCGCACTCTTAATAGTCAGTGCCACTGCTGTACCAGTTCCACAAGACCCACTGCATGTGATTTCCTCAGGACCCCTCATTCGAGTGAGAAGCTAAGTTTGATAGTGACGACCCGCCACAAAAATGCCCACCGGGATACCAATGCGACTGGCCATTTGGGTGTGGTCCTCCAAACCTTCATGTATTCAATATGCTAACTAGCTAAGATACGAGGAGGCAAAGGCCTAGATTATATTGTTCTGGGAGGTATATCGTAATGGACCGGGAGAGAGGAATCCTGGGGAAGGTGCTGGCATTTCAAGTGCGGTTTTCCTCACGACATCCGTATTTCTAGGAACGAGGTTTCGAAGCATACCAAATTATGCTATGATTTTCTAGAAGGATTTAAATGTATTAAGAATCTTGAACTTCCTTACAAATTGGGGAACTTGGTCATTGTTGAAGGCTGGAAGGACTGTACAAGAACGTTCTCGCCCTAGGCTCTTTCATTCGCCAGCAGAAAGGTCTCATTTTCGCTCTATGGATATTGTCTCTAGCGAAATCGTCTCTCATCTAAGTGCTGCTGCACAAATTCCGACCATAAGCGAAAGTCATGCCACAATACTTCACATACCCAGCAAGGCGTCGGGACGTGATTTGCCACGGTAGAGGGTGGTAGTCGCGAATTCCTCTCAATCACAGTTTGGACTTGCAAGGATGTTCCCAGAACTTGCCGGCCCCTCCCTGCTAATGATAGCAGCGTGACACCTGAACTACCGCGAATCTATCATCTCCTACGTAGCCTGACCATTCTTGCATGTTGCTATATAAAGGCTACACTACAGCTTATCTCAGTACCTTACATATACACATTTTACTACTGTGTCTTTACTTGGTCATAGAAATAATGTATTATCCTAACCGTACACCCGCCATACAAAATATCTGGTAGGAAGCGGACTATTTTTATCAAGTAAACCCATACTATTTGGTTGCTACCAACTACTCTGCATTTCCTGTATCAGAGATAAACAGTATTTAGCACATGAGATGGTAGTGGAATGCTGTAGACCAAGTACACGTTCGAACCCGCTGTTTGCCCTTTAATATAGAACCGAAGCAGCTTTGTATTATCGCGGCTTATGAAAAATGAAAGCTAAGCAGTAGAAGCTGGTTAGAGTGTCAGGGTGTTCTTTCCCCCGCCCCTTCTGTCTCCCCTCTAGCGCTCGCTGGTTCGTTTATTTTGCAGCTTTGTACTTCCCCCGATATTACAGCGCCAACTCCAGCCAGGTTGCTCACGCTGGCCAGCGTGTTAGGATGATCTTTTCCCACTTCCTTCTCGCTTCTTTTCATTACTTCTATCAGCGGGTTAGTAGCTTCGTTGTATTTTCTGTAGCTTAGGAAGCACAGTCTAAATCTCGCACAGAATCTTAGTCTTTGATTCGAGCTTTCTCCCTGGAGACTAGAGCCGAAGATATATTGCGCATGCCGTAAATAGGTTCCGCGGATTTTCCGATTTGCGTGGTTTCTGTTAAGAAATACATCTTCCAGTCGTGCAATAGTCGTAGCTGCCCCACTAGCTAAGAGTCCTCTATAGCTAGCCAGTTACAGGTAGCGAGGTGCACTAATCGGTGGAGATTTAGCGATTGACTTGACTTGCAGACTATCTACTGACGAACGAATACGCTTCTCAAGTCCCAATCGCATCAAATCCTTCTTTGTGTGACTTTGTAGGTAGTAATAGTGACTGCGGAATTCCTTTTAGATCGATACAGGACATGATAGATGAATATTCAGCCGCGAGAGGATCACAGTGTCGGATCTGGTTGAACGAAATCAGCCAGGTGGTGTCCGCCGGGTTTCTAACGTATTGATATTGCACTTCATCTTCAAAGTCCTTACTAACACTCAATAGCATATTCGTCTGGGTCTGTCAGCGGCAAGAGATAACCTGCACATGTGATCCTATTCTTGCTGATATAAGCAGCTGCCTGGGCGATAGCTAGTGGGAGAAAGGCAAGTTTGGGCGACCAGCTCGGTCATGTTCTGGTGGTTTTCAAGGAGACTTGGGTTAGCCAAGAATCTTGCCAGCATCTGTATGGCTGTATCTTTATCCATCTGGGAAACCTCGATAATATTTTTGATGCGCTAAATCAACCGCAACTTCCCGACCCCGAGTGGTGAAAACGATCGAACACAAATTACACCGTGTGAGGTAGGTGCTTAAACCAGCCCTGCTCTTGTGTTATCAGTCCACATATCAATATCATCGGCATTATTGAGGATAAGTACCCATCGTCCGGCTTTCTTCCGGCTCAAGTATTGTTGTACTAGTTTCTTTAATTCCGCCTGTTTCTCTTCTACCCCGGATTGCTTAATTGCTGCCCAATGTCTAGGTAGGCTTGCTGGAAGCTTTCAGCGTCTGTTGCCTGCACCCAGAGAAGAGAGAAATCTTTATACTTTTCTCTTGTTCGGTATGCTAGCTCGAGCGCGATCTGGGTCTTCCCCGCTCCACCGAGACCGAAGATTGCAGCCTTTTGGGTCCAGCCATTTACCAACGAGATGCTCTCAAGCCTTTTAAGCTGAGGGCTTCACCCCCCAAAAACGCAAGTTCCTTCCAAAAGCGACATTCCAGCAAGTTTGACGAGTGTTTAGAGAGATACTAGACCACGTGCCTTTCATAGAATATGTAACCCACTAGCTTGAAGCCTTAAAGCGCGATTTGCATTAAATTCCTCTCCGGCATAAGTAACTATTGATCGTATTGAAGGTAAGGATAACCTCTCACATTGATGATCGACGCGAATGTAGTATCTGTAGTATCTATGTTGTATTAGCAAAAAAAAAGGCGCGCTTATATCTAAGTAGAGGGTTTCCATCTACACACTGTGCTTTTGCTTCAGGTTTAAAACGCAGTCTCTAACCCGGAACTTCTGCGCCAGGTGGCTGAGGTATTCATTTGTGGCTGCTTCGATAGCGCCTTGCTATTGATACTCGGTTAGTCCAATGTCCTGTAGCCCCTTGCCCACGCTGAAGCAGAAGTATCGCTTTTCATTAAGATGCTGACGCCACTTTGCTATAAGTCTTTTCTCGGCCTCGTCTGTCTGTGTAGTAATTCCCACAACTCTTCTAGATAGGAGCCCAAGTACGTTGTCCTCAATCGCCTTCTTCCCAGGATTTTCCGGTTCTGATTGAGATAAACCACTTAACCAGAGGCTTGAGGTCTCCTGTTTCGGCGCACCAAATATTTGAAGCCTCCACTTCCACCTCGTCTACTGGGTTGTTTGCACCTAAGCCTCCAGCTGCAAATCTGCGACCAACGATACTGGCAGGGTCGAAGTAGCTCGTTGCGGCGGATGTTACCAATGCTGTTTGGCAGATAGTAGCAGGAATGCTGGTTTCGTCAGTCAGGCTGTATCTTCTTAGGCGTACTATTTCCTTCCTTTCGTGGGCAATACTGCACACGAACCTGTCATTTCGCATCAGCGTGATGCGATCCGTGTATTCGTGCTACTAACACTTCACATCCTCGCGCAGTCCCGTTGTCGAAGAGCTCTGCGCAACCTTCTCAATAGCACTCTGGAGCTTTCCTGAGTCAAAGCGTGCCTTGGTTTTGCCAGTCCAGCCGTGTCGATGCCAAAGAAACGACCCATGGAGGCCGAGGAGTAAGCCTTCGCCTCCAGGTGATGCAAAAGCTTAATCCATCACAGGCCACAGTAGACCCTGTTTCAGCCATGCGAAAATATCAATGCCAGGGTTCCGCAAATTGTGGCGCAAGGCACGGCAAGGCGAAATACTCTGGATGTTTCAGAACTCCGTGACTCGGATTCGTAATCTAACCTATAGCATTCGCCCCCGAACGCGATCCTTTCGCTACTTGGGGACAGAAGGAGAGTTCACGGTGTAAATGAATTGTCGTCGTCATGCGAACAGCCATCCGGGTACATATTGTGGAGATCCTTCCAGCTCCTGCTCTCGAACAGTGCCCCTTCCTCTCCGCATTGTGCAAATCTTCATCAGCCCCGCCATTTACCATTTATTCACAAATCCATTCATCTAGATATCCTCTCAAAAATGCAGTCTACTCTTGCACTGATGATTTTCTTTCTTGTCCGTTCTGCGGTGGGAACTCCCGTCATACCCGTTCCCGGTGGTGCACTAGCCGAAGACGAATATATGTCATTCACGTCGATACCGGTGCCGCATATTCCTACAGATATGTAAGCTTGGATTGAGAAGAGATCATAGACTATCTAGAGGGAGGCTGACGAATATGTGGCAGACCGAATGTCGGTTCGTGTAGTCCCCCTCCGTGTAAACCATGGCCATTTGGGTAAGTCAGTGCATACGATGGCAGAATACATGGTGTGGCTCATGAGTATACGTAGATATGAGGAGGCGTAGTGGTGTGGCGATGCAAAGGAGGGCGGAAGGCTTCAAGGATTTACGCAGAGCGTAGTGCGCGCAAGGAGGAAGTGGAGAGAACCATGGCGGCTTTCGATGCGCCCTACGGTGGTCAATGCTTTATGTAGGAAAGCTAAGCCATTTACCTTGATTTGAAGTGGGTTAAGCCATCTTGCGCCGCTCTCACTTCCAAGGTTCCCAAGTAAAGTCTTACACGTGACGCTTCCTCCTTCAAATCTCTCGGATCAGTGTCTTGTCTAATTCAATTTATTCCAAACTATCCCCGGTATCTTCCAAATTGGGGTGTCTTGTTCCTAAATCGTCGTGTCAGCCTGACCTCAGCGTTCTGTGCGAGCACGGCGCTTGGATTTCTTGGCACCACACTTCCAAATTTGGAAGTGCACGAAGAACGCTGTAAAGCTTGGCTAAGTAGCAGATGCGGTAGAATGGAGGCTAGGTTGCAATATTCTATCGAGATTAACTCTGTCAGCGGTCTCCGACTCGCTCAGCGGCTTGTTCGACCAGCAAGGTCCGCCAATTGAGTCTTGGAGTTCGCTTGCGGCGAGGTGTATATTCCTGGAGCATGAGAATTTGGCGGGAGAAGATGCTGAGTAGCATTTCAGTCTTAAAGAGGCATAGAACATGACTTATGGATACTAATAGCTCCCTATGGCGAAGATTTTCACCGGCTAGCGCAACAAGGGTTTACGTCTTCAGAAGCATCATGAATGAGCCTGAAACGTACGGTAGATGCATGTTGCTACCCTCACGGGAAAGATAACTGGGTTGTTTTAGTTAAAGGAGAGTATGGCTAGAGTCTGGGGAGAGGGCTCGGCTGCAAAAAGCTGACCATCCGACGCATGGCGCTGTCTTGCCATCTAAAAGTGTTTGGTTCCTGTATCAACGTCTGAGTTGTGATATTTATTGAGGGCGAGAACGCTGGAACTGACGACAACATCATGAAACTAGCACCTCTCCTTACCCACTCTTTGTTTGCTTATCCTCCGCCTACTTCATGTCTTCGACCTTCTCGAGCTACGATTTTGCGTGATCTGGCCCTGTCTGCTGATATGCGTGTTACAACTCCATCCCTGCCACTCGACTGTCATGCAGCTCTGCGAGATCGATGAGCGGTTACTTTATGTTAATAAGGTCTTCTAATTACTACGCGAACGACATGGCCTTCTTGGTAACGTTGGCATACTGCATAAACTCGTGCGCCCCATTTCGGAGCCAGCTTAAAAGCGATAAAAATTTATCACTTGTGAAGTGACTATCTTGCCTAAATGGCCCTCTTTGCGAGTGCTTGATAGGGTTAAGGAAAGCCCGAAAATTTAATTTACCTCTAGGTCGAAAGAGACTATGAACCAGATGGTGTTAACTAGTAAAGCGAATGTATGCGATGCAGAGCAAGATTATGGTCACGGTTAACTATCCGGAGTTGTTTCAAGCGAAGTACTCGTGAGAAGTGCTTGAATTTCTAGCCTTTCGATCCAGAAACTGATTGAATCTATGTTTTTACTCAGCACGGTTGGCTTTTGCACCCTAATATTCATTCACCACCCCTTGCGCGCCTCCCATACGACCTGCGTTCTTGAGAAAACCAAACCATGGCCTTGGACCTCTACTATTGGGACTTACCCTGTTCGCCCCCCCTCCCCCCAATGGCTGCTGGGTAACGCCCATAATATCGGAAACCCACTTTAGAAAACTTTTTTTCCATCCTTAACCTGAACTTTAGATCCGTTGACTGCTCCCACCCATGGCAGTTCGGGCCTTGAGAAGAATCCCTCGACTGCATACGCTATCGAACCGAGTAGATTGGCTCCACCGTTCCTCTACTCCTCGTCCTTTTTTCCGCCACAACAATGCCCTCCTCTGTATCACAGCCAGTCCATTCTGCCTACCTCCTCCACCACAAGATGGTCCGCAAATTCGCCATCCAAGCCATTGCCCACAATACCACTCTCGGCTTCACATGCATACCACGGCACATGCAGCTATTCAACCGAATCGACGTAGAGCTACTATAGGGAACGTAGCAACCTTCCTCACCTGTGTCATACAGAGCCTCAGGAACCCATCATCCGCCACCTAGCTTACGAATTCTTCCTTATCCTGCATATCATCCTTCCCCCCTTCGTCAAAATCCACAGCTAGTACTACGTCTTCCTCAGATAGGGCTACAATTTCTACGACAACTGGCCGTGGGCCGTGGGCGTGGTGTGGTTCTTCGACCGGGTAGTCCGCGTTGTATGCGTCGCTAAGAAAGGAGCCCGGCGGACTGTTGTTGCCTAAATACAACCAGACAGCGTACGTGTAGATGTTCTAAGCATGTGGTGGAAGAGTAAGTCGAGAGGAGCAGCGTATTGTAGATGTTCTAAGCATGTGGTGGAAGAGTAGGTCGAGAGGAGCAGCGTATATGTAATTTCCGATACTGAATCCGCAGAAGCCGTAGGCAAATCATCCGATTAATTCCACAGCGTTATTTCGCAGCTGTAGGCATGCGATTGCGCTGGAACATGGGTCTAAAACTCCAACGGTAGAACACAATTTATTAAAACCCCTCACGAAGAGGAGAAATCGCTAAGCAAGGTGCCTATATCTGCTGGGTTGCCCGCAGCGAGCGCGAGTACCACTGGCGTGATGTTGGTTATCAAGAAAATGATCGACTTGACCAGACTTCTCCAGTTGAATAGCCACTTGATGATATTGCAGTATGGTCCATACTGGTAGAACCCGGGCAAAATCCGGAATTTTGATCGCATGTTGATGATAGGCGGTAGAATCGGTATCATAGGTCTCATAGCCTGGATTCCAGCGTATCCAAAGTGCGGCTATCATGGAACATCAAGTCTGCTGCAGAGGCGCTAGTCAATGATGCGGATTCTGTTTTGAGGGGTGTAGCAGATAAGAAGTTGTGGTTGGCGAGCGATTGAACATCGACATTCTGTTAAGAAGTGAGGTCAAAGCTGGGTATGTGAAGGTTGGAATTGCTGTGCGTGGGCCGGGTCATATGACGAAGGGGGCTAGAGCTGAAGTAGCGGCAGGACCAGGGAGAGGTGGGAAGACGGTGTTTGAATTGGAGATTGATGCGTTTTCGTGGTAGGACATGAAGGTATTTTGGCAGGACGGCCGTATATGCTGGGAGCCAGCGCTGTTAGCGGTATGGTTAATTTGCTAATTCATGTTACCAGCCCTGAAGGAGGAGAACGAATATATGGCTGTAGGATGTGTTTACCATCCCTAATCCAGTACCGCTTTTCCTTGGTGGGAAGGGAAAGAGAGTTCTTGTTACACAATTCGGGAAGAGAACACCACCGTTGAGATAGAATAAAGGGAAGTACAGATAAGAAATATCGTCAAAATGTAGAATACGGTATTATTCTGTGCTGTAAAGGCAGAGGGAGATTTCGGCCCGCGTTTGAACTTTTGCACCAGCTCATCTTGTCAATTTTTGGTCAGAATCGCAGAGCATTATCATGAGCTCATTTCGCTCCTCTACGCACTCGTCAGCATCCACTCCCGTGCTACCCACCCATCCGAAACACTCACTAAAGCCCTTCCTAGGGCTTCTAACGAGGCGTAGTACTGTACGATTAGGCGATTTTGAGGCCTGTACAGGTGAGATTTTGTGTACGTTCGTACAACAGGGAGGAGGAGAGGTAGGTGTACGTATTGTAACTGTTACAGCTCACGTGATCTGTACAAGTAGTACAATTTAATTAAAGTACACTGTACTCTAGTTAAAACAGCTAAGACTATAAGTCCCTAAAGACACAAGATTAAGGTCTAATTAACTATAAAATAACTAGTTCTTCCTAGTAACAAGAGCAGATAGGACTAGATAAGGCCTGTAAAGCAGTAAAAGGTGTAGTGTAAGGGGTATTAATTAGGAAACACAGGTTACAGAGAGGGAATGCCTCCCTAATTTACACGATTCTCTCCGAGCAACCTTTTCGCACATGTATGCACGGTTGATTGGGTGAGGTAGTAGGAATTTTAGTTAGTGGGGTCAACTTCAATGTGGTCGACTTATCTTTTGTTTGGTTAGCCGAGGTAAAAGTGTGGTACTCTCTCAGTCACGCGTGAAATCGGCTTCCGTCCTCGGGCAGCTGTAACAAAAGTCTCACCCGCTTACCTTGCATATATACCAAAAGGGACAACTTTAGGCACGTAATTCCCTGCCGTACCATACAAGTAGGATGTTTCTTAATTCTAGTTTGAATTCACAAGGGTTGTGGCTGGAGAGAGTCAGCCTCTCTCCTTAATGGCGGTGGCGAACCGAAGCCTTCACCAGCCCGAACGTGCCACCGACGTGCCACCTCCCACCTCCATGCAACCCTGGCGTCACATGTTCAAAGCAAATGTTCCAAGCTGAAAATTACCTCTCCAGTTTTGTTTTTCTAGGCTTATTTCCCCCAAATATGGACCGTTCCACGTATAAGTAAGCCTTATCTATCTAGAATTCAAGCCGGACAAGGTTTACTTTCGCTAAAATCGACAGCGCTGATAGTACATGGTAAATAGCTTCATCACGATTCTTCTTAGCAAGCATCATAAATTGCTCAGCTACCATACGTTAGTCGAATTTTACATTTGCTAACATATAATGCTTAATTGGGCTGTCAGACCCAAGTAAACGTGAACACTTTACCAGAAGGATGAATATCATCTACGCAATTGAAACAAAGGTCTCTCCAGATTCTAGTGCGCATTCATCGTGGTCTCTATCCAACGTGATCTCGTCTTCGAGTTCCACCTCAATCATGTCTTCAGGCTCGCCTTGAAGATATCTCGTCCCATCATATCTTTCCCACCATGCCTTTTTTTTCAAGTGTCACCTCGTCTACTTTGTTTCGCGCAAACCACCTCCAACTAACCCTGCGATACTGCACTGCATATATCTGTTCGCCTGGCGCTATGAGCTGTCCTTGCTCTTCCTCAATGCGGCCGCAAAACCCGCCAAGAGCAGGGTCTACCGCATTGGCGAACAGAATAACGACACCAGATGCCGTCAGTGCCGTCAACACTAGTACCCCCAACGCCCCGCCGCATCGCTTTGTCTTCCCAAGTGTGCTGTTATTCGAGCGTTCACCAATGTGTGATACGCTACTATAACGTATATGTCTTCCCCTTGGTCAATGGTCCTTTCAATCCACTGGTGTGTTTCTCGAGACTTTACAGCTTCTCGGAACCATTGACCGGCGTGGTTTAGATAGTATGTTTTGGCTTGATCAGCGGTGATCCGAATTGATACTTTGAGCCGCTTAGAGAATGAGGAGGAAAGGAAGGCCGTAAGCTGCGATGCTATATTTTGATGCTTGACTGAATGATGGATACTGTCGTATTGAGTTTGGGCGCTCCGTAACATTTGGACTGGTAGTGCAATACGGCTCGTGGAAGTCATGATGAGGCTGATCAAAACTAATAACAAATCGTCCCAGCCCAGCAGCAGACTACGGGAGGAAAAACTGTGAAAGCAGAATGTTTTGCGGCATTGTCAAATATATTCACTATTTCCAGAGTGAGAGATGTAGAGGGTATTATTTTACTGACTATGCACATTCATTTATGGTCTCGAAAGTGGAAAGGCTGTGTTACGAGTATGACATTGACGTAACTTCCTCACACCACCCAGTTCGGCTGTGCTGCGCCACAGCATGCAAGCTGAAAATGCCAAAACCAGCTCATGATGTGCCCATAGATATTTGATTGCGGATCCGGCCTATGAACCTTTTCTCTGGCTTATTTGCGTCCTAAGTCAAACAGCTGTAGACAACAGGATCAATTTCGACAGGCTGCTGCTCGAGAATTTCGAACTCTTCTTGAGCTTAGCAGAGGGGAAAGACAGCAGCTTCGAGACAGAACTATATATGCACTATGCTGTGTTAAAAATCCAGCTATTTCAGCGGTAGGGACGAATACAGGATCTCTAAGAAGCGATTGAGAAAGGGAGGTATGCAGTAGCAGCAATGCAAGGAGACAATGAAGCATACGCAAGGAAGCTGGACAGCCTAGGTATCATGCTTGAAAGTCGATATAAACGTATGGGAAAGATAGAGGATCTCAAGGAGGCAATTCGAGTAGCACAGTAGGTGGTCGATGTGACGCCTGGCGGCCATCCCAATCTCACAACCTCCCTAAACAACCTGGGAAACAAACTTAGTCGCCGATATGACCCCACGGGAGAAATGGACGGCCCTGAAGAGGTGATTTATATGGCACGGTATGCCGTCAACCTGGCGTCTATCGACCATCCTGATCTCGAGGCCTAATCAACCTCGGAAAAAAACTCGGCCGCCAATATGGAGTAATCTTCTAAAGACTAGAGTTGAGAAATCTGAGGTCAAAACAGCTTTGGGGCCTTTGGACTCGATAGAGACTTTAGAGCATCTAGATGTTGTAAGCACCTTGGCTCAACTCCAAGATTGCAACATCTCCCACTTCGCCTATCATAGCATATTAGATACAGCGGACCTTTCCATGAGTGGCCTAATACTGCGGAAAGCTAAGACACCAACTAAAGAGCTAAGACAGGACATACTAAGTGTCCGTGAGATATCTCAAGCCCACCCTCGCGGGCGGAAATTGCGTACCTCTCAGCCTACTCTACAGCGCAGAGCTAGGCAAAAGTATTTACGACCAAGTGCTCCATATTGTTAGTGGGTTCCAGGTGGCATGGTTTAGGCATGCGGTGGGTGTCTGTAGCCGTCTGATGCTGTGTGCGTGGATGTTACATAGTCCTTCTATGCTGAACTAAGCAAGACGGAGCAGTGAGTTTTGGAAACGACAGAGCGATTGCAGTAGCACTGCATAATGCGGTTGTGAAAATCCGAGGAAGTGTTAAATGCCGCAAGCGGCCGCTGTTAGGCGCAGTACGTATATTCCGGAGTATGAGTGGCAAAGAGACACGCGCCTATGAGTATGGTACCTTACCATTATAGTGGGGTACCACGGCTTTCGTCCAAGGGCGGGGTTTATTGTAGCTACACTTGGACGGAAGCGGATTTCGCTAGCAGCTGTAATGCGCATAGACGACCGTTTGTGAAAACACGACTGTGGAATGTAGAATCTAATGTGGAGAGAAGGAAATAAAGCGGGTGTAAGATAATAGGAAGAAAACTAGAGAAGGCTGGAGGGATCTAGGATTAATTTCTCTTTGTTTACTATCTATGGATGACTTGCCTGACGTATGTGAGAGGAAGCTGGATAATCTCAGGGCCAAACCGGGCCGTGCCGAAAGAGAGAGAGATTATAATTATGGATACGATGACTATGAACGTAGAAGTCGTATCCTGACTGTCCCCAACACCGACAAACGCAAACAACCCCAATTCCATTCTAGCATGCAAGCGCACCAGGGAATAATCTATATCTCAGCATTAAAACCTCCAACAAACGAAACGGAGTCTTCAGAAGCTGAACAGCCCACTTCTCTTCTTGCCCAGCGGATACACCAACAACGCCGCCAAAAACAAGCCCACGGTAATCCCTATTGCGACTTGAATAACCGAAAAACCCACATTCAGCGCCACACGATTAACATTTGTTGAAGAATCAGCAGCCGTGACTGTGGTGATGCCAGTCGTATTCCTGGTGATCTGGTCAGCGGAGGTAATCCCACTGACAAGCGAACCATTGACGCTGAGGCCTGACGGGACTTGTACGAAGATAGCCGGTAGCATTGCTGCGGCCGCGAGGCCGTAGCCGATTTTGCGCGTGTACGGAATGTAGGAGTCGGAAGTGACGGAGGAGGAGCGGTAGTGTGTTTGAGTTGGGGATGAATTTAGCCAGTGGAAGTTGGGGGATGTGCCGTGTCGGCCTCGTAGCCAGCGCTTGTTGAGTTTAATCCAGCGCGGTCGGAGACTCATTTCCCAGACGTCGAGACTCCAGTTTTCGATATAGCGACCGAAGCGCGCGTGGAGGTTGGCGGAGACGCCGATGGCAAGTGCGCCGAGGGTGTTGCTGACTTGTGCATTTCCATTGAAGTATTGCGAACTGTGGAAGTTGACGACATAGCCAATGAGGGCAATGACCAGCATTACCGGAACCTGTTTCCATTTGGCCTGGTTGATGACGATGAGGCAAAGGGAGAACGCTAAAACGAAGAAGTAATACCAGTGTGAGGACATGGGATTGGTGCAATGAGTTGCCGACGTTGCATCTTTGTACATGATGCCGAACAGCACCGTGCCGATGGTGATGCCAAACCCGAGGAAGAGAGAGTAGATAATGGCATATACCATGCGGACCGAGCCCGCTACAATATGTCTTGATTGTAGTTCCAGACTGGCAGATAATACAGTGAATCCAGGAAGAATGAGAGCAATGCTAGATTGTGCCATGGCGCTGAAGCAGAAGATTTCCTTGCCGTCGTGCGTGATCGAGCCAAGACCGCGAGCGATGAATGAAGTAATAACTGCTGCACTGATTTCGAATACGTTAGAGATCATCTCATTTTGTGGGGCGACAATGAGTTGCAGCCAGCCGAGTATGCAACCTAGGATGAAGCAGAACGGGAGGTCGATAGGCCGCGCTTCGAACGCGAAAGGTCCGACAGTAGCGGATGCCAGGCCGTATATTGGTACACGGAGCCAATTACTGAACTTAGGTTTGCGAGCGATAATGGCTTCGAGGCGGGGTGTTGCTTCTTCGACTCCAATCCTATCGTGGACGACGTCTTTGTAGATTTCGTGAACGTCACGAAGCTTTCCTAGATCAACTCCTTGTGACGTTCGAACAAGCTTAACCTCTGTAGTATGAACAGAAGAGTCGTCAAATGAGATGATCATACACCCTGGAATATACAAGAACTGAGCCTCGATCTCCAGTACTCTAGCCGACATGTTCATGTACTCCTCCAGTCGATGGGTAGGAGCGCCATACATCATGAGGGCCTTGCAGAGTTTACGAAGGTAATTTTGGCGAGCTAGCGTTCCGGCGAGATGTATTTTGATTTTGATTTGTTCATCCCGGCTAGGCTTGCTTAGTTTGCTGAACGCGGAAGCAATAGACGTGCTAGACTTGTTCCGCTTGCCCATGCCCAGCCGACTCTTCTTATACTTCTCACCCATCTCTTGACCAAACCTCATCTGGCCAGTGGTTGCAAGCATCGATGACGACTCGAGAAGCTTCGAGATCGACGCTGTAGACCCATTAGCACTTCTGTTACACCAGTGATTTCCATGATCGTGAGCATGGAGGGGCGTGGAAGTGCCAGATGTGGGAGGGGATGATGTTGGACTGTTGGCAGCGGTAGATGCACCACTAAATGTAATGCTACCCGTGCTCGGATTCTTCCCATGCCCTGTAACCTTTGTGTTCCGCCGTGGGGGCAGAGGAGTGTGGGCAGAAGCCTTGAGCAACGTTCCCAAGACGCCAGTTCGGAACTTGGACGGCCGTGGAACATGTTCATCCTCCATCTCCATCTCATTGACTGGAGTGACTTGGCCGGAATTTAGTTCAGCCATCTCTGAATGGAAAAGATCTTCCGATCTTATTTCAGGCGCATGTCGAATGGTGTGCTGTCTCAGGAGCTGGTCCGCCTGTTCCAGAAATTCCTTCTTAGCAGTCGCTAAACCTAGGTCGTCATCTTCATCGGTAGTATCACCAGGAGTTTCATGGGCAATTTTGCGTAATGGAATGTTATTGGTAGGCGGAGTTGATATCAATCTTTCGTGGGAGTTGCGGCGAGAGCCAGGTGCAGAGGCAGAGTATGCGCCAACGCTTCTTGCAAGTCGAGTAGCCCTTTGCTGGGCAGCAATCCCAGACTTCCTCTTTTCATCATTTTCATCCTCTTCAGGTGGCTCGCCAAGGTAAAATTGGGGAGGGGTACGATTTCGCCTGATAACCGGTCGTGGTTTTGGAACGTACGGTTGGCCAAAAGCTCTATGAATTTCTTGCGACAGCTCCTCGTGGGAAACGTCGGATCGAAGTCCGGAGAGAGGGGTGCCATGCCCTCCAGACCCAGAGTCTTGAGCATGCGGTGGAGTGTAGGAGGAGGACGGGGGGGTGTCGTCTGGAGGCGTGGTCTCTGATGTAAAGCCAACACGTTTTCGGCCTGGTGGCATTGGTTCGTCTGAATGACTATGTGAGTGGGAGGAGGAGGAGGAGGAGGGGAATTGAGATGGTGACAAGTCGTCCGGGGGCTCCATAACTATGTACGGGTCTGCAGCTCCTCTTGGCCGTCACACTCGAGCTTGGCTGGGGAACGCGATTGCTAGAATACGATGTAAGACAATTGGTTATTGTCTGATCCGTTGCAATAACTGCGGACGGATTTACGCGTTCGAGGCTACTATGAACGAACTGGGGAGTCGGGGGATTCTTTGTCGGGGAAGTGGAAGGGTCAATTATCTGCCAAGTGGAGACGGGCGCAAAAGAGACTGAAGATATCAATGGGCGGTGTGGTGAGATAAGACGCCGACGATGAAATGCTTGACGTGGAATTGCGATAAGTCACTGCAGGAGGAGATGGAAGTTGTCAACCTAGCCTACCGGAGTCACGGGAACGGCGATCAAAACCTGGTCGAAAGTCATTTGTGGCGTCAAAGGACCCAGTCTTCTGCAAATACAAAGGGCGAGAAGGTTCGAATTTGCAGTCATAGGCAAGAGAAAGAGCCGCCGCGAGGGACCGCACAAAGGGCGGGTGGACGTGGGAGAAAACGCGCACAGCGGGAAGCCAGAGCGAAGCCAAACCATGGTTCTGGGAAGCAATGGCGCATGTGGCGGCGGCAGTGGCTGTCCACGGCGAACATTGTTATCAACAACGTAGAGCCTCTTGGATATCAATACAAGACACATGGCCACCATTCGATCTTTTTTTGCCCACAAATTGCCGCCATGGTTGCAGCACCAAGGGGTTAGCAGGAAACGTCGCCACCGGCAGCTCCACCGCACGAAGAATGAATGAGGAAACCCGAGATAGCAATGAGTGGGTACATATGGGTCCTCGATGCCGGGTGATGCGCGTCCAATAGTCGGCTCCCCCCGAGCATCGTGAAATGATAAGATGGTGGATCAGTGCGACGTTGAGATGGAACTGGAACGGAGCAGTGCTTGGTTGCGGGGGCAGTGAGTCAAAGCCGTAGCTCTCAGGCGACGTGAAAAACCCATCTGTGATTGCATTGCATCGGAGAATTGATGGAGTTGATTACTCGCATATGAAAGCTGAGGGATGAGTGAGTTTCGAGGCCGTGGTCGGGGGATGGAAGCTGCACGGAGGTGAAAAGTGGAAAAGCTTAGTCGCTGCCAAGGCCGCGCGCACAGCATCGGCTTGTGCATCTCAACAAGAGTTTTGGCGCCTCCGGTTCAACATGTTGCGAGAGCCGTTGCAGCTGAGTAAACCTGCTTCAAGCCGCCCGGGATCCAAATATAGAGCCGGACTCAACAGTCAGTCGATCCACGTGCTAATGCGCGATGCTCTCCACGTCCTTTTCAGACGTCCCCTCTGAGAACTTTTTCCCTGCAGCCCTTCGCCAGTCTATTTTCATCTAGAACTAGCAGGCCCACCAACGTCAGCATCTTGGAGTTTGGAGTTCTGGACATACAAGGATAGCCTCCCCACCCTTCGGGGTCTTCAGCGCGCCCTCAACCTCCACAACCCCCAAGTGCCGTCAGGAGTATCCTCCCTTGACTAAGCAAATCACGGGACTGGTCTTGGCAACCTCGGCTGACCGTCGCCCGACGCCGACATGGATGTGGGGCATCGCCCTTCTCATGTCCCTGCGTGCTTCCCCCGCACACTGGAGAAGAGCGGAACAAGCCAGGAGCATGGAGAAGGCATCCCGCTCCCTCCTCCGCTGACACCATGCCTGCCCCACCTGAGCAGAGCTTCTCGCTCCTTATAAGGAGAAATAGATGAAAAACACTGATCTCATATCGCTGACCATTGACTGCAACCCTAGCGACACCAACAGAAATAGCCATGCCAAAGATCAATCACGTACGACGTTCTTCGTGGCAAGGGGGATTGGGTTGCTAATGAGAGCAGGTCGTTATCGTGGGCGCTGGCCCTTCCGGCCTTCTGCTGGGTATCATGCTCGCTCGCCAAAAGATCAAAGTCACCATCCTCGATGCTGACACCAAAATCAACGGCAACCCCCGCGCTGCCCACTACGCCCCGTCCGCCGTTTATGACTTCCACCGCGCGGGCATAATAGACGATGTGCGCAAGCAAGGCTTCTCGCCTAGAGGTGTTTGCTGGCGGCTGCAGGATGGCACCTTCCTAGCCGGCATGGGCCGCGAACCCGAGCAGTCGCAGTACGCCATGGTCGTGCTTCCCCTAGATCGCCTGGGTCCTTTGCTCGTCCGGCATTTCGAGAGCTACGAGGGCACACAGATCCTCTGGGCTCACAAGGTGGTGGACGTCGAGCAGGACGAGAAAGAGGCGAGAGTCATCGTGGAGACGGCTGACGGAACCAAGAAGTTTGGTGGAGACTACGTCGTGGGTGCTGACGGAGCTACAAGTGGCGTCCGCAGAGCGCTCTTCGGCAAAGAATATCCAGGAGAGACGCTCAAGCAGCAGATCGTGGCTACAAATGTAAGTGCCTGGCCTTCGTGCGTCTTCCCGCGTGTTGACGCCCCAGGTCTACCTCCCATTCGATGAGAAGTTCGGCTGGTGGGACTCCAACTTCATTGTTCACCCCACAGATTGGTACATGGCCGCCAAAATTACAACCGATGGCCTTTGGCGGGTGACTTACGGTGACGACGGAAACCTCTCAAGAGAAGAGATCATCGAACGTCAGCCGATGCGATACGAGCAGATTCTACCAGGCAATCCCAAACCTGGCGAGTATAAGCTGGCCTCAATGAGTCCCTACAAGCTGCAACAGAGATGTGCTCCGAGTTTCAGAGTCGGCAAGATTGTGCTCGTCGCAGATGCAGCGCATTTGTGCAATCCATTGTAAGCAATTTCTCCTCGCATTCCATTTCATGCTAAACGATAGCAGCGGCGGACTTGGCCTCACTGGAGGATTTGCAGATGTCGGTTCTCTCTATGACTGCTTCATTGGCATCCACGAGGACCAACTCGACGAGGACATCCTCGATAAATACAGCGAGATCCGCATTAAGATTTGGCGTGAAATGATTGACCCAATGTCGCGCGCAAACTTCCATAGGTTGTGGGACCCCAACTGCAAAAAAGAGCAAGAAGAGTTCTTCCAGATGTGCCAGAAGGCGAGCGATGATCCAGTGTGGGGGAAGTCGGTTGCGGAAGCCGTCCATGCTGTGAGGCACGACTTCACGCAATATTACAAGAACAAGCCCGTCCCATTGAACGGCGCCCAGGCGTAAACCGTAAGAGTTTCCTTCTCTTCTAAGTCTCCACTGTTGACATACCAATTGTACGATTTGGATCTCAACCTTAGCCAAGTTGCCTTAAACCATGCTCCGCTGGCATTCTACGTCTCGTTCCGCTTTCAATTTGACTGGTGGGCGCTTCCATTCGAACCGGTTGTGACAATACATCCTCTTTAGCATTCGCATGAAACTATTCCAAATATTCCTAAGGTGTCCAATCATGAACGCCCCGTTCCTGATGATGCATATGTGCTCAGAGCTTCAATGCCCCACCATCACGTTTCCCCTTGAACTTTCTACCCCACTTGGGGAAGCATGCGAAACACGGTGCACCCAACACAGACGACGGCAGCCTCATCGCGATCTGTGTACTCCACCTCATGCGCCTAGGCGTGCCCAGGTTATATGAGGTTGGTCCAACGTGAGATTCGAACGCGCGGGTCGTCGGGCGTTTGTTGATAAATCCACTACATTTCCATGTCCATTCCCGTGTAGAGTCGGGAGTCTCAACATTTCCGCATCAGTTAAACAGCACCATGACTTCCACTAGCTTTTTCATTGCAACACTCTTACTCGCATTAGGGGTTCTTGTCCTCGGAAAGCTGTGGAATAATTACCAATGGAGCAGGAAGTACAAACTACCTCCGGGTCCGAAAGGTGTGCCTTACTTCGGCAACATGTTCCAAATGCCGCCGTTCCATCAAGGTCCCTGGGCAAAAGAGATGGCCGAAAAATATGGTGAAATGTATTCCCTCCCTCCTTTACTCCCGCATCCCTTTTTAACAGTCCATCTAGGTTCACCATCAAAGTTGCTGACAACACATGGGTCTTCTTAAATTCCTCTCGCACCGTAAACGCCCTCCTCGAAAAACGCTCCGCAATCTACTCCTCCCGACCACGCTTCCCTTACACTAGTACCCTGATGTCCGGCGGCTGCCGCATGGTTGTCCAACCCTATGGCCCGCAATGGCGGTCCATCCGGAAAATCATGCACTCAATTCTTAATATCAAGAATGCTGCTACCTTTGCCCCATTCCAGGACCTAGAATCTAGACACTTGGTCTGGGACTATTTATGCAAACCTGAAGAATGGTTTCGCGCCAATCAACGGTTTGCGAATAGCGTGATTATGAGCGTGGTTTTTGCAAAGCGTGCAGAAAGCTCCGACGAAAATATCGAAAAGCTTTTCGACACAAGCAGAGAGTTCATCGCAGCCTTGCAACCCGGCGCCAATCTCGTCGACACTTTCTACATCCTGGACCGCCTTCCTAAGCCCCTCCAGTGGTGGCGCGTGCGAGGCAACCGCGCATTCCAAAAAGTGCTGAAAGTCTATACAACTGAAGTCAACGACCTCAAACGCAGAATGACAGAAAATAAATGTCCTCCTTGCTTTGCAACACACTTCCTCTCCGCCCCCGAAACTGCCAAACTTGGCGAAACGCAAACGCTCTTCGCCCTTGGCTCCCTCATGGAAGCAGGCTCCGACACCTCGCGCATGACGCTCTCGCAAATCATCGCCGCCGCGGCGAAAGACCCCCGCTGGGTTAAAAAAGCGCAGGATGAGCTCGACGCTATATGTGGGTACGCAGTCCGCTTGCCAGATTTCTCCGACCGCCACGATCTACCATACATGTCTGCGGTTACGAAAGAGGGGTTTCGGTGGCGACCGTTCGCGGAGATTGGGGTTCCGCATATGCTGATTAAGGATGATGAGTTTGAGGGTTATAGGTTTCCAAAAGATACGGTGTTTACGTGGAATTCGTGGGCGATTGCACTGGATGAAAGGGAGCATAAAGATGCATTGAGGTTTTGGCCGGAGCGGTGGCTTGACCCGGAAATCGAGGGCTTTGGTGAGGGAGAAGAGGGGAATGATGAGGGACGGAGGAAGTTAGTCGAGGATCCGTTGAGTGGGCATTGGAGTTTTGGCGCGGGTTAGTGTTGTTTCCTCGAACCTTCCTATCTGCCTATCCCCATTCCCTACCGCCATTGCACCCTACCAACTATCCCATCTCCACCTTTCCCTACTAATCCCACCAACACCAATACTAACAACCCCTAGGCCGCCGCGTATGCACCGGCTACCACGTCGGCGACACAAACGTGTGGATCGCCGCGGCTCGTCTTCTATACTGCTTCAACTTTGCGGAGAACCCGGAGCATAAGATCGATACGATGAATTTGAATGTTGGAGAACATCGGTTCGCACCGTTTGAGGTCAATATTACGGTGAGAAGTGAGAGGCATAAGGAGTTGATTGAGAGAATTGGGAAACCCGCTGTTGGGGTTAAATATTAGCATAGAATGGGAGAGGTGCTTGAGGTGGCTGTCATACAACGCCGTGAAAGAGGTGGATTTGGCGATCAGAGCACTACAGATCTCTTTTCGGCAGTTCTTTTATGGATAGTTCAACCGAGGAACGAGAACAGTAGCATGTTCCTCGCTCCTGACCAAAATAAGGCCTACAATGCAGAGCCTGCACCCTAACGAGTAGTCCTGTGATATTTTTCTCACATAGGTTACATTTCCTCCCATCCACACGCTACCCGTAAGGCCGACACAGCTTTTATACAACACCTTTCCACAATGACTGCGTAGACGACCGTTCCCAGGAAAGACGTCAATCCGATTCAAAACCGTGTATTCGGTGCGAGTATATCCGTCTGCGGCACATTTAATTATGTTTTCCTCCTGCCAGCGCCAATTGTAAGCCGGAGACATTTCTGAGAATCGATCCCTTTGGCGAGGAATACTCTAACTGCAACTTCTGCACCTATTTTCCTACTTCCCTCCTGGGTCACTGCGTGCACACAAAAGATGATTATTTTGTCATAATACATGGAGGCCCTTTCTCACTAGAGTTTCCGAAGCTTTGTGATGGTCCCTTTCCCCTTAGACTTATGAAAAAGACAACTACTTGCGCTTTATGTCCAAACGAGGTGTAAATTCCTCATTGCAGCCCGAGGGATGTGATACTCTGCAAACATGCAAAATAGCTCCCGATCTATCAGAAGATATACGCACTACCACAAGCATCACGAAAGGGAAATACGACGCTTCCAAATCTCAAGCAAAGACTTCAAGACCTCCGAGTTATCCCGTAACCCCGTCATGTATTCAATACCTGCCTTCCAATTGCGGCTTTGTCGCTTTGTCGAGTATATGGGGGAGAGAACCAGTTGGGCAGTTCGATCTACACAGGGTACCATCGACGAACTTGGCGAAGAAGGCAGACTTGGAAATTGTAAGCCTCTCGCGGACTATTACCGACCTATGACTACGTTCAGGAATATCAGCTAGAGATAGTTCCTGGTGGATTGGCTGTACATCATCCAAGATGACTCCTTGGGTCTGAGGACTATGCAAATTGAATCAGATGGGTGGTCTCTACCGATAAACAGCCTTCACCATAGTAGCACTTGCAGGGATGGCGCAACAAACAGCCTACAAGGGGTAACCCAGCGTTGTATATTCACCCCAAAAAACTTAAAATTGACGATTCCGGGCGCATAGATAGCACATGAGGTTTGAATTCCTGCCTGGGGCAAAGCAAATGGCGAACGTATGGCAGGACATATTAGAAATCGGAAGTATCAAGTTATATATATTGTATTTTTCTGACTTCGGCATATATTCCTAGTGTCGCCAGATTCAGCCATCCAGAATCTAGCCACAAAGACGAGCGCAAATTCCCACGACGCTGATGATTGAAGAATGCAATCTAGAGAGAGTAGCCGCTTATACATTGATATGTTTGACATATACGAGTGATATATTACGGGCTTTCATGGAACCATAGCAAGGAATTTGCAGTGTTTGGCCTTCAATGGAATTCCGTGGCATGCTTTCGATCGTGCGATTTTGTGGGAGTCGGTTGCTTATAGCCAAGAAATCAGACTATCAACAGGATAGGGTACTTCCTCATCCTAGCTAGATCAGCATCTAGACCTAGTCGCTTCCGCGCGCTGTTCTTAGAGGGCTTAACGTGCATCCCTGCGTAGCGAGACACCCTGTGTGGCGAGACAAATGAGGGGTACTTTGACTTTAAGCAACTAGAAAACTAATACGTACAACTAATATTACTATAAATATATAAAGATAATCTGTTATAGCTAATTCTAAATGCTTGTGATCCCCTTTAAACTAAAAATTACCTTTGTATCGTCGCTTCGGCGCCTGATTTGTACAACGTATCCTTCCGTGGCGTAACAGATTTCTCTCCCCACACCACCAACGTCAAGCTTTTATCACTCTAAATTTTTATAGAATAGCCTTGTCTGAGCCTTAGGACTTCCCTCTGATACTAGGAAGTCATCATTAGCCCTATGCGCGCTGCGGGGCGCAATTTCATGCAGGGCCGTCACGTGGATTGGTACACACACACACATACACACACACACACAAACAAACAAACAACCGCTCGACACGGCCATCGTACAACTTCGAGGTGCGGTTCAACGTGGATATTAGACACTCCCCAAATTACCAGATACGAAGACCACAAGAACTGCTGCATAAGCTGCTGTTGCCGTAAATATCTCTGCTCTCCGCGCATTTGTAAATAGAGCTACGCTCAAAGCAAAGAGAATTGTAAATCCTGCAATCATCCCTAACCGCACACCAGGCCGCCCAACCACATAGAGAGACACAATAGCTCCTATCAGCAATATTGCTGACGTCAGGACTCCGATAAAAGTGACAATCTGCGATATGTGTTGCTCGGAGAAATAATGGACTGAGCTTGCACTGTTACCGTTACCCTTGCAGAGAAAAGTGGCATAACCACCGTATTTGTGCAAAAACTGCGATAATCTGTCTCGCTCTAGTGCCGGCCGCAGAGCTACGAAATCCGCTAACTTCATGGCTTGCATGCCATTAAAATCTTCGATTAAAGGGCGAGATTTGGAATACCATTTTCGAAAAACCTCCCAGGTGCGGGATAATGGATTCTCAAGCTGCATGACTTGACTTTGAAGCAAAATGGCTTCGTCTATAATTTTCCGTAAGCATCTCTGCAGAATTCCTCAGACTCATTGGATGACCCTCACGGTATTCTTTCATGAGCAGCCGTATCTTTAGAATAAGGGTTTCCCGCTTCTCGGCTCGATCGCTGCGTGTTGCTTCTGACCGTAATGAGATCCAACATCTTGTACACAGCATAACATCGGTGTTGGATTTCTTTTGCTCTCGGTCTTCTTTATCAAATTCCGCCAACCGCTTCTCCGCTTCAACCAGCTCGCTCTGCAGATACAGAATATTCCTGGCGCTCAAGTGTTGGAATCTACGGTATATGGCCAACTCTGGATCCCTCTCAATGAATTCAGCAAACGAGGCATAGCCGCCAGCATAATGTTGTCCAGCTTCGATATCTTGTGGGGACATGTGATTTGGGCTTGGTGTATAAAATTTTTAGAGAATTTTAACTTAGTGTAATTGATTAAAGTTTTATTTTGCTCAGCTCTCTGCTCTAGAGATTTAAAAGCAGATCGTTAAACATCTCAAAATCGTGCGAGTTCTAAAAACCGTGCGAGTGCTGATTAATCACGGTAGCCTAGCGGATAAATCTATTGTATGCAAAAATCGGGGCCTTTCTTGGCACTGCCCTTGGGAATTTTTTTCCCCCACCAAAATTGTATGAGAGATCGAAATTTCAACAGGATCCACTATATATCAATAAAAACCTAATGGAACTGCCCTAGGTAAGTTAAAGCTTTTATTTTGTATAGAGGAGCGCGTATACTAACTTTTTTAAGAGTAACAACGCGTTAGGTCACAATGTATCGCGCCCATAGCATCTCCAGCCTTCCTTGTCGGCTCCAACAACCCCAGTATATCAAACCAAGTAGTCAAGGGCTCAATAATCGCGTTCGTATAAACATCTGTCAGTTTCTCCTGCTTAGGTGGTCTAGAATCACTATTGCCAATTGTAAAGGCTGCTCTCTCCATGCAGTTCAAAATATAGAGGATAACCTAAAGGACTATAGCAGCGTCCGTAAACCACTACCTATAAAGCTTAGGAGACCTGCTAAGATCAGCAATAAGGACAGAGAAGCTCTGTTTAAGGAATTAGTCCGCAGTGGATAGAGATACCAGGATAAATTTAAAGCTGCCAGCCGGCTCCGCGCTTATCAGCTCTATATTAAACTGCGCGCGAGGTAACACAGAAATCTCAACCCTTCACATGCTGCTGTACTAACAGGCCCTTAATTATAGCGTCAACCTAATCCTCCACCTGTAAGAGCAAGAAAAACGCCTATAGGACACCCTTATCTACTAGCTTACTATCAGCCTTATCACCATTCACGCGTATTAGATATTGTACAGCGACGTCAAACTCCATCACCTGCTCAGGGGGAGAAGACTCTCTAGCAGCCGCAGGAGCAGAAGCAGGCTGAGATAAGATAAAAGTTAGAGGCAAGCTCCTCAGCAGCAAAGGGAGCTCATTACTAAGTATATTAGATAAGGTATTAGGCTCAGGACAACAGACAGGAACCACAGAAACAACTTCTTACTATGCTAGAGCAGGAGGAGCAGATTTTTTAGTGGCTTTTACTGCTTTCTTAGGGGGAGGCTTGCTCTTTGTAGGCGCTAGAATACAGTAAGCTTCTTCTACTTGCTCCTATCACCAGATTAACTTACAACGCGCTAGCTTCTGTTTATCACCACCAGCAGGCTCCTTAGGCTTCTCCGACGGGCCTTGCGCCCTCGCCCGCGTAGAATAGGCTGGTGGGTTGCTCTCCAGGTTAATCTGATCTATCTAGGGGGCTGGGGCTGCTCTGGCCCTCTGATTTGGGCCCATCGTCGTCCTGTTACTCCAAAAAAGCGCTAAGAACAGTATCTTCATATAAACTTAAGGCTTCAACCTACTAACAATGTTCCTAGGAAGAATTTGTTAATATATCCAGAATTCTGTTAAAATTTAGTTACCCCATACAATTTTAGTGAGGGAAAAAAAGATCCGAGGAACGCCAAGAAATGCCCCGATTTTTGCATACAATAGATCGTGGGTGGCGAAGCCGCATTGCACGATCACACCGTCTCCATTGCGAAGGCTAGTCTTACTGGTTGATGTGGCGCGTCCTTGACCGGCCATACGATGAAGTGCCTTGGATTTGCGGCAGATCGGCGATCGCGATGCAGAAATGCTCTTATCCGCTATTCCGCATTCTGTTGACCGGTTTTCAACAAACTTTCCAGGCCTCGCCCGATTTTTTTCGCTCAAGACTCTGAACAATTCTATCAACAAACAAGTTTAATATTAGTAGATAATTTCAACTAGAATCATGGTAAGCGAATGCAATAAATAGAATGTCGACTGAATGGATGGCTGACGACGCTCTCTTGGTGGTTGTAGGAGGTAAGTGAATCCTGAGTATATCTCTGCTGAATGGATGGCTGACGACGCTCTCTTGGTGGTTGTAG